TTGAATTCTTACGAAGAATTTTTTTATTCATGAAAATAATTGTATTTCTGTGAAGAATTGTGTAAAAATTTTTTTTAATTAATTGAATTCTTATACGAGAAATTTTATTATTTATGGAAATAATTGAAATCCTGCGATAAATTCTATTATTTATGAAAATAATTTGAATTCTTACGAAGAATTTTATTATTCATAAAATTAATTATTGAATTCTTACAAAAAATTGGAAAAAATTTCTGAAAATAATAATTATAATCATCTATTTAATAATTGGATTTTTTAAAATTTTGAATCTAATGAAATAATTCGAAAATTGAAATTGGTAGCTGGAAATAAAAAAATTCGTAATTTGCATAACAATTTAGTAAATAATAATGATGATAATAATAACAATAATAATAATAATAATAATAATAAAATATATTTTTGAAACATTGCAAATTGATTGTATATTTTAATAAGAGTGTAATTTCTATTTATTTAGAAATAACGTGGGAATAATGAAAGACAAGAGAAATAATTGTAATATGAAATGAATGTAACGTAACTTGTACGCGAGTTTAATAGTGAAATTAGGAGCGTTGCACCTCTTCTGTATTATAACGACTTAACGATGTAACGCGACAATTATAAAATATTCTCACTCTCAACAAAGTGTTGTTTCGACTTAATGTCAGCAGTAATTACTAGTAACGTAGCCATGTTTGTAATTATGCGTCTATCTTACATTGCACCTAAAGATTATCATCCATCTACTCATTAACAAAAGTTGAAGGTTGAACGCGTGTGGTAGTCTCTAATTTACATCACACACATTGCGAGAAAGTATCTCTTGCCTAAAATTATTATTTCTATATACGATACGATAAGACATCTACTTTTTTTCATTTTCTCTTTCTTCAACAAACATTTTTCTTTTTCAAAAATAAATATTTATTAAAATGCAAATTTTTATCTAGATATTATAAATATATCTGTAATAATGAACTTTATCTCGTGGAATCTCGAACAAATTAAGTATATTACAGCTTTTGAAATGAAAAAAAATTGAAATATAATTTACATAAGTTAGATTGTAATAAGAGGTGAAAGATTTATTATTAATTTCACAATGTCAGTACCTATGCGGATAAATATATTTATATTAAATTCAATAATTCTCGAGGCATCTGTATCATATATTTAAATTCATTTCATACATTTCATTCATTTTCAAATTGCAATTATATCTCTAAACTGTTATTTCATCTCGTTTGCAATGTAAACATTTTAAATGTCGTTCTTGTTTTGCATGCAGAAAAATTGTTCACATAAAATGATATCATTTTTATTTATTTTTTATTTTTTATTTTTTATTTATTATAGACGAGACTATTTTGAAATATGGTTTCAAAATAGAAAAATTGATTGGTGTGAGAGATTGTTATTTATTTACTTGATAACTGCTCACTTGTCAGATTCAATTATAAGATTATAGTGCAAAACTTTTTCCTTTTTAAATTGTATAATAAAACTGGCGCACAAGAACGTTATTGCATTTTTACAAGTCTTGTTTCACAAATTTTTTTTTTATTTACAGAAACAATTTCAATTTTTTAATTTTAATGGTAATAATATAATAACAAGAAAAGCAACGAATTTTAACTTCGTTTTAAAAATATATATAATGTTTGAATTATTTTTCAATATAGAAAAATGTTTCTATTTTTTCTTTAGTTTCAATTCGTTTTTATCGTATCTACTAAATATAATTAAAAACATTTATTTTATATTATTTCTTATTTATTTCTTTCATATAATTATGAATCTGTAAATAATTGAATTCTTATAAAGAAATTTATCCAAATTTTTCAAAGTAATTAAATTTCTTGCGAAAAATTTAATTCAAATTATTTAATATTTAAATTCTTATTAAGAGTTTTATCAAAATTTTTTCAAAATTATTGAATTTCTTGCGAAGAATGTTATAATTAACATTTTTTTAAATAACTGAATTCTTTTGAGAAATTTTATTGCAATTAAAGTTAAATTAAATTTAAATTGTAATAAAATTGTATTAAAAATAAATGAATTCTTATAAAGAAATTTATCAAAATTTATCAAAATTTTTCAAAATAATTGAATTTTAGTGAAGAATTTTATTATTTAGGAAAAGAATTACATTTTTTCAACTTATTTAATTGCATTTTTGTTTATAAAGAATTTTTATTGAAACTTTTCAAAATAATTAAATTTCTGCGAAGAATTTTATTAAAATTCTTTAAAATAATTACATTCCTGAGAAAAATTTTATAAATTATAATAATTGAAATCCTAAGAATTTTATTAAAATATTTTAAAATAATTGAATTCTTTTAAGAAATTTTATTAAAATATTTTATTGAAAGTAATTGCATGAATTTCTGTAAAGAATTTTATTAAAATTCTTTTTAATAATTAAATTTCTGCTAAAAATTTTATATATTATGATAATAATTGAAATTCTGCCAAGAATGTTATTAGAATTTTAAAAAATAATTGAATTTTTTCGAGGAATTTAATTAAAATTTTCCAAAATAATTGATTTCTTTCGAGAAATGTCATTAATTATGAAAATAATTGCAATCTTGGTAAGAATTTTATTAAAATATGGAAATTTAAATTATAAAATATGAATAAATCGAACACTCCGAGTCAAAGACTCAGAGTAATCGATTTCTTCATATTTTACAGTTATGAAAAATTTAATTTATAGTTTTGAGTAAAATGTTCTCTTATTTGACTCGGGGTTATATTTTTGTCAGTATAATTTGTCACCGATGTTAAAATTATTATTTTTTAATAGTTTCTAAAGAAAAAACAATTATTATATGATAAAAATAAGAATTTACTTCTTTGAGGAAGCAAAATTCTAAAAAATCATAAAAGATTTATTTTCTAATAATAATTTTAAAAAGACAATAAAAAAAAGATTTTTTTTAAATTAAACAGAAAAAAAGAATTTAGTACCAACATTTTTTTCTCATCTAATCAGACTTTGAGGCACGCATTTCGCATGTATATATTATATTATATTGCTTCTGTGGGAAATACAAAAACAATAAAACGCACGTGTACCTGTATTATAAAGAGTCGCGTACATTGACACGAGACGAAGATTTTGCAACAAAAAAACCACACGAGAAATGAATATAATAGGAGAATAAAAAAACCCGCATTCTCCTAATAGAAAAATATTGTAAAAAAGTTGAGTAACAGCAACAGAAATCCTCCCTTGTGTCATCATATTATATTGCAGTAGCTGGTAATAGAGCGCGAGCGCATCTTCAAAGGCAGGAAATAAAAAAAAAGAAAAAAAAGAAAGAAAAAGAAATAAAAATATATTCAAAGCCATATCTCGCAATGCCTCTCTACTTGAGAGTAAATTAATACGTGACTAAGGTGAGGAATCCTTGGTTGCTCTTTTCATGTAATGTTACTCAATTCAATAATAATTTTATGAATTTATTACTATTTAGACATATTCTTCTTTTTTTTACCTAAAAAAGGCATAAACTTTATGTAACAAAACGAGATGGGGTTAATTTGAGAAAAGGGTTTTTTTTAATTTTCTAATAACAAATTTAAAGTGGTATTGTTATGAAACGTAATTACTGATGTTTTCTTTGGCAATAATCATATTATTTGAACTCTTCCAGTTGCTACTGAATTTTTTTTTTCAATTAAAATTGTTTCTGAAATCTTAATGATTCGCTTACAAAATAAACATTATGTGTGGAAATGTGAACAAATATATAATAATATTATACCTATTATATATGTTACAATTAGATAATTATAACTCTTTCGAATCTGAATTAACTACAAAAAATTATTTATAAAAATACGAGATAAAAAAATTTTTATTTGCAAATATTAATTTCAGTTTTTTAATAATAATTTCAGATTCCAAAATTTTTAAAAACTCAATTATTAACTAATTTACTAATTAATTATTATTATTTATTGTTTTCAAAAACTTTGAAATAAAATACTTCGTGGGAATTCAATTATTTTCAATACAATTTTAATAAAATTTGGAAAATTCATTTTTTTTTTTATTTGAAAATTTCAATTATTATTATAATTTATGAAATTTTTCGTAGAAATTTAATTATTTTAAAGAATTGTAATAAAATTCTTTTAAAAAAATTCTTTACAGAAATTCAATTATTTTTAATACAATTTTAATAAAATCTTAAAAAGGATTTTTTTATTTACGAAAATAATTGAATGATTGCGAAGAAATTTATGAAAATAATTAAAGGTTTGCGTAGAATTTTATCAAAATTCTTTGTAAATAATTGAATTCTTTTGAAAAATTTCATTAAAACATTAAATATTAAAAATCATTGAATTCAGAAAAATTTTTGTAAATAATTGAAATTTTGCCAAGAATTTTATTAAAAATTTTTGAAAATAATTAAATTTTGGAGAAGAATTTAATTATTTCTAAAGAAAATTGAAAATTGAACTGAATTTTTAAATTGAATGAAAAATATACAGAAAAGAAACGAAAAATTCATTAATGTGACAAAAATAATTATTGTTAATTTTCCAATTATTTAAAACTATATATATATAATTACATTTACTTATATGTTGACGAAACGTTTTCTTAATTGAATCAATAGATTCGATGAAGTCTTCAATTTATTTCTATATAAACATCTCATTCGCATTTAATTAGAATCCAAAGAGAGGATAAATGATCTCATTCAGTTGAAAAATTCTTACAGTTAATTTATCGTGTTTTTCAATTCAGTTCTGATTCCTGTATATCTTGTCAAGAATCTTTCTCTCGTGCACTCCAATTTACATAAATAGACATTTTTTTCCCCACTTTAATTGTAAATTATACGAATGTAATAGAAAGAAAAAATGGTATTTCACGTTTATTCGCGAAATATGTAAAGTAAATTTGAAATTTTTGTTCTTTTTTCATCAAATATTTATTGATTTGGATTTTTTTTTAATTTCAGGAGCCCTGCACACCTTCACAGACAAGCAGAGGTACGACGGGTGGTATAATAATTTGGCACATCCCGATTGGGGTTCGTCTGGCAAGTATAATTTATTTCTTTAACAAACGAATAACAAATATTTTTTATTTTACAATTTTTAATTTCTTTTAGTCGAAAAAATATCAAATTTGGCTCTATTATTGCTATAACGTTGCTATAAGAATAAGAAAGCAAAAATTAATATGAAAATAAATTAAAGGGAGAAAAATTAACGTAAAAATAAATTAACGAAAGAAAAATTAATAGAAAAATAAATTAAGGGAACAAAAATTAACGTAAAAATAAATTAAAGAAACGAAAAGTAATAGAAAAATAAATTAAAGGAACAAAAATTAACGTAAAAATGAAGGAAGCAAAAATGAATGTAGATAAAAATAAATTTAAAAAAAATTATTAAATAATTAAAAAACAAAAATTTACGTAAATAAAAAACAAAAACAAAAATGAACAGTAATTTTAGTAGTAGAAAAAAAAATGATTCATCGTATTGTAAATCGGAGAATAAAAACGGTAAATATTTTTATAGTTGATAAATTTTTACAATTCCTTATTTATGAGACAATATATCAAATACAATGTGACTTCTGTGCTTTTAAATTGAAAATTAATGGAATAAAATAACCGAAGTTACAAATCTGATTGCGACTCCAGTACTTGTATTAATTTATTAGCTAATTGATTATGTATATTTATTCATTAATAATGCGAAAAAAAAAAATTGAAATTAATTACGCTTCCCTATGTAGATAGCAGGCTGATACGAAAAGTGCCGGCTTCATATACAGATGGAGTTTACATGATGGCAGGCCAAGATCGGCCTTCGCCTCGGAAACTCAGCGATCTCTTTATGCAGGGCGACGATGGACTTCCGTCTGTTAAAAACAGAACGGCGCTCTTTGCTTTTTTCGGTAAATATTCTCGACTTTTTCCCATTATTGTTGTTTTTTAGCTGAATAACTTTCTATAAAGACATTTTTTCCAAATTAATCTCTAATTTTTGAGAATTTGTATCCAAAATAAAATCGTCGCATTTTTTTTTTATTTTTTTAATGCATTTTTCGCAAAGACAAAATTTAGTTCTTTCTTTTCAAAAAGGCAAAAAATTGCTTTTCAAAAAGCAATTTAGACAAAAAAAAAAATACGACATCAATCAAAATGAAAAAATCATTTATAAAATGATTGAGATAAAATAGAAACAAATCAATTCGATATTGTCAAGTCAATAAAATACGTAGAGTCGAGTATAAATTGCAGCTTAACTGAAGAAATAAATTCAGGTAGAGCAGGTGCCTTATATACAAGAAGAAATGCACTAATTGATGTGGATTTACTGCGTACAATAAAAATTGACGAAAAAAAAATGAAAAGAGATAAAAAAAAAACTGTCGAATGACCTTGAAGTGCGCAATTGCTCTGGTACCCTTGTGGCTTACTTAGTATTTTACACTTGTTCTTTTTCTCTTTCTCTCTTTCTGAATTTTTTTTCCTCTTTTTTTTTGTCTGTATTAAAGTGAACCGCGCACACGCTTTTTTTTCTCTTGGTTAACGGTTCGAGTTAAATGGGATTTTTTAGGGCAACTGGTCACATCAGAGATAATCATGGCCAGCGAAAGCGGCTGTCCAATAGAATTCCATCGGATCGATGTCGAAAAGTGCGATCCAGTTTTCGACAAAGATTGCCAAGGCAACAAATACATTCCTTTTCTCCGCGCTGATTATGATCGTCGCACTGGTCACAGCCCCAATAATCCCCGTGAACAGGTAAACAATTAATTCATTTTTTTAATCGTGGAATTTTTTTTTCATTAAAAAAAATATTTTTTTTCTCTGTTAAGGAACCAAATTTTTCTATTTAGAAATAATGGTTTCAAAATATAATTCCAGAAGATGAAAAAAATTCGAAAAACAGAAATAATAAATATTTCTTCCCCTGTAAAGTAATCAAAACTTTCTATATAGAAATAATGGTTCCAAAATATAATTCCAGAAGAAGAAAAAATTTCAGGGTTGCCACAAAAATTTAATTTTGTTTTTTTCTGACTTTTCCCTGATTTTCAGACAAAATTTTGACTTTTTCCCTGACTCTGAAGAATATTCTGATTCACTCCACAAATATTGAACCAGAAATTAAAATTTTCAAAGATTTTAATTTAAACCCTTTTCAAAATTCAATTATTTCTAAAAATTCACGCTATAATACTTTTAATATTCAATTATAATTTAAAATTTTAAGTGAAATTCATTTTTTTTATCAATTTTTTAAAAAAATTTTTCGAGAATTCAATTATTCAAATACAAAAATAAATAATTTCTTCAATAACTGAATATTTTTTAAAATTGAATTTTTATGAAGAATTTTATGAAAATTTAAAAAAAATTGAATTCTTTCGGCAAATTTAAAAAAAATTTGACAATAAATTATTAAAATTGTATAAAAAATAATTGGAATTCTGCAATAAGTTTTGTTATTTATGAAAATAATTTAATTCTTTGCAACGAATTTTATTCAAAATTTTTTTTAAAGAATTGAATTCCTGTGTAGAATTTTATTTGTGAAAATAATTGAATTCCGGAGCAAAATATTATTATTTATGAAAATAATTAATTTCTTGAGAGGAATTTTATTCAAATTTTTTTAAATAATTGAATTTCTCAGAATTTTTTTTAAACATTTTGAAAATAATTAAATTCTATCGAGAAACTGCATTAAAAAATTAAAAATAATTGAAATCTGACAATGAATTAAAAAAAAATTTTTTTAAATACATAATTGAATTTTTGTGAAAAATTTTATTTTTGAAAAGAATTGAATTCTTGGGGAGAATTTTATTAAAATTTCTTAAATAATTGAATTGCTTCGAAGAATATTACTTTTTACGAAAATAATTGAATTGTTTCGAAGATTTTTACAAACATTTTTGACAATAATTGTATTCCTAGGAAGAATGTTATATTTTACGATAATATTTATATTCTAGGATTAATTTTATTATAATTTTTAAAATTTATAAAGCATTTTATCAAAATTTTAAAAATAATTGAATTCTTGAGAAAAATTTTATTATTTATGAAAATAATTGACTTCTTGCAAAGAATTTTATTGAAATTTTTTTAAATAATTGAACTCCCATAAAAAATGTATTATTTGTGAAAATAATTGAATTCTTAAGAAGAATTGTATTGATAATAATTGAATTGTACAGGAAAATTTTATTAAAATTGCAATTTTATTAACTAAATCTTGTAAAGAATTTGGTCAAATTTTTTTAAATAATTGAATTTTTAAAAGAATTTTATTTAAATTCTTCGAAATAATTGAATTTCTCAGAACAATTTTTTTCAAATCTCTAAATATATTTGAATTTTTCCACGAAACTTCTATAAAAAATTAAAAATAATTGAATTGGCGAGAAGAAATTTATAAAAAATTTGTAAGTAATTGAATTCCTGTGAAATTGTTATTACAATTTTGTTTAAATAATTGAATTCTTTTGGAAAATTTTATTAAAATAATAGATAATAGAAATAATTCAAATGAGGAAAATTTTTGAAAATAATTGAAATTTTGCCAAGAACTTTACAAATTTTTTTGAAAATAATAGAATTTCAGAGAAAAATTTTATTATTTAAGATAATTAAAATTTTGACGAAAATTTTTTTAAATTTTTGAACATAATTGAATTTATGCAACTCTTTTGAAATCCAATTAATTTTGAATTTTTTAAGTAAAATTATTCATTAAATAATTTATAAGTAATAATTTTATGATTGTTCTTCAAGAATTAAGTTATTTAAAAAGAAATGATTACTTTCCTGACCTGTGGCAACCCTGAAAACTTCCAAAAACGGAAATAATTCCAGAAATTAAATTTTATATAATTTTTCAATTTTAGAGTTTAATTTGCATAAAAAGAAAAAATATCCTTTGAATTTTAAAAACGAATTACTTATTCGGAAATTGTTAATAAATAAATAATGCCAGTGTCTGTCTTCCTCGAAGAATAAATATAATGAATGCTTCGCTTGTCGATTAGATAGCAATACTTTTTTTTTTAACTCGTAAATCTCTCGACTGTTGAAAGGAATAAGAAATGAAACCGATGAAACGCCTTATTTTAATCCTGACAACAATTCATTCGATTCATCTCTTTGATAAATTTTTTTTTTGCTCATCATGTCAAAGATTTTGCATTGTAATTCGAGAAATTCGTTCCTTTAGAATGAACGAAATAATGAAAACTGTTATTTAAAATAATTTTTTGTAGAAAATAATAATTTTCTACTTTTTTTTCCTCTTTTTAAATGAAATAAAAATTTCCAACTTTTATTATACAATATAAACTCACTTCTTAAAGATGAAATATTTGAAAAGGCGGTAAAAACTTGTTTTTGTTCTATATTCTTTTTCCTTATTTCTGGAAAAAAAGCCCGGGATCCTTGAAAATGTGGAGTAAACAGAATCCATAAAAATCTTATATAGTTAAATGAATCGACAAATAGGAGAAAACAAAGAGACAGACAAGGTTATTATATATTTATATAATTTAATAAATATAATTAAGAAAAATAAATAATTAATAATAGGAAAGAAAATTATATTGAAAATATTAAAATTAGTCTTTTATACAAAGAGGATTTAAAAAAATTATTTTTTTAAATATTCCCAATATTCCATGAATATTTCAACTAAAAGGAAATATATTTTTCGATTTTCAAATATTTGAAAAGATTTTCGAAAAGTTTCCAAATTTATTTAAAAAGAGATTTTTTTGATATTTTTAAAAGGAAGGAAAAAATCATATTTCTGGGATTTGTAATGAATAATAAATATTCCGTGTTAGTTGAATAAAAATGGAATTTTTATTAATGGGAAAAGTGTGTGAAAATATCTGTGAGATTGTGAGGTTTCAGATAAACAAAGTGACGAGTTGGATTGATGGCAGTTTCATATATTCGAGCAGTGAAGCCTGGGCCAATACAATGAGGTCCTTCAGTAACGGAAGTCTTCTTATGGAAAAAAGAAGACAATTTCCCGTTCGAAATACGATGAGAGCACCGCTTTTCAATCACCCATCGCCAAATGTTGTTCGCATTGAAAGTCCCGAACGATTGTATCGTGAGTCTTCTTTTTTATTTTATTGAAAAAAAATTCAAGACATTTTTTTTTTTTTTTTGATTTTCAATGTTAAATATGAAATATCACTAAATTATTAAAAATTAATGTATTGAAAATCATTAAATTCTTGGAAAGAATCTTATCGAAAAATTTGAAGACAATAATTTAATTGCTTCAAAGAATTTTTTTATTTATGAAAATAATTGAATTCTTGCGATGAATTTTATTATTCATAAATATAATATAAAATTCATATATATAATATAATTGTTTCGAAGGATTTATTAAGATTTTAGAAAATAACTGAATTCATTCGAAATGTATTAAATTTAAAAAAAAAAATTGAATTCTCCCGAGAAATTCAATTAAAATTGTTTTGCAAATAATTGAATTCTTGCAAAGAGTTTTACTATTTTTAAAAATAATTGAATTGTTTCGAAGGATTTAATAAAATTTTAGAAAATAATTGATTTCTTTTTTGAAATTTTATTAAAATTTTGTTATAAATAATTAATTTTTTGCAACAAATTTGACTACCTTTAAAAATAATTGAATTATATTATAATTTTTGATAATATAAACAATAATAATTAATTTTGTACTGAAGTGTATTTTTTAAATTCTGATTATAATAATAGTAATAATTGTTATTATTATTCTTTTATTTTTGAATTTAACTAACAATCGACTTTATTTTTTTTTTTGCTTTTTTTGTGGCAATTTTTCCAGTACTTGGTGATCCAAGATCAAATCAACATCCTCCGTTGCTCGCTTTTGGAATTATTTTCTACCGTTGGCACAATGTTATTGCGGCAAGAATTCAGAATCAACAGCCAAACTTATCAGATGAAGAAATTTTTCAAAAGACACGTAGAATTGTCGTTGGAACTCTTCAGGTTATTACGATTTTTATTTTTTTTCAACAAAAGGAAAAAATATTTTTGCAATTAATTATTTTTTATTATTTTCGGCAAAAAGTCAGTAGAAGAAAAAATTTATTTCTTCAGAATGACTGTATAAAGAAAAAGAGATTGTTCCTTTCTGACAAAGCATTTTTTTTTAGTTATTCAAAAAATTTTCAATTTTTCAAACTAATCAATTAATTAATTAATTATGCAATTTAAAAAGAAATTAATTGAATTGATTTTTTTTTTAATTTTTAAAATAATCAATTAAGTTCAATTAATCAATTTGGAAAAGAAATTAATTTATTTGTTAGTTGTAAAATAAAAGATTTAATTTTTTAATTTTTAAAATAATCAATTTGAAAGGAAATTAAATTATTTGTCAGCTGTAAAATAAAGGCGGAGTGACAAAGGAACAATAAATGGAAAAATAATTGAGACTTTAATAAAAATAACCGCATAATTGAAAGTATTTATAGTACTCTTTCAAATTTAACTTCCGCATTTCATTAAAAAATAATATCGACAAAAGCTTTTTAAGATCCTATTCAAGAAAAATGAATAAAAACAAAATGAAAAAAAAAAACCAGTAATTTGTAAGAAATTATGACTTGAAATAAAAGCAGAGCCAGTACCTCTCTTGACAGTTACGTGACTAATGACGCGAGAGAAATAAAACTTTATAGATCTGTTTCAATTAGTTTCAAGTTTACAATAACGCCTTGGCCTATCTCAGAAGATCCTCTTTGCATTTTTTTCTTCAATTTTTTTTCACTCTCTCATTGTCTTATTGACAATATTTGTTTATGGCATATGTGTATATTTTTAAAGGATGAGGAAAAGAGAAGGTGAAGAAAAAAAGTGAGAAAAAAGAAGGAGTTTTGTACTTATAGAAAATGGAGGTCATAAAGTATGATTTGCGGTATAGAATAAAATAATGATTGGTGTGTTAGTGTCGAAGACTGAATCAGTAGTTGACATCAATTTCACTTATATTGTATTATTTTTTAGTAAATGTCTTTTTTTTTAATATTTCAGAATATAATCATGTACGAGTATCTGCCAATTCTTTTGGGGGAAAAATTACCACCGTACATGGGATATAAACCAGATTTGCATCCAGGGATAAGTCATATATTTCAGAGTGCTGCTTTTAGATTTGGTCACACCTTAATTCCACCTGGAATTTATCGTCGGGATGCAAAGTGCAATTACAAAGTGACTCAAACTGGACGACCTGCTGTGAGACTGTGTGGTACTTGGTGGGATTCAACTGTGAGTAATATTTTACAATTATTTCCTCTTTTCTGTTTGTTTGCTCCTTATTTCATTGCTTTAAGGTACATGAGTATTATTTCTCTAGTGGGCGAATTTTTTTCATCATTTTTAAATTTTCTAAGTTTATTTTGTACGATTTCTCTAATTAATAGTTTTTATAATTCAAAACATCATTTATATATGATAGTATTATTAATTATTAGAATTTACAACTTATAAGTGCTAATTATACTTAACTCGAAAGTATTTAATTTTGCTATTATATAATAATAATAATCGAGATATTTTGTCGAATTGTCAAAAGTTTGACAATTAATTTTTAAATAAAGTGATTAGTATTTTAAGGAAATTATTTCTCTTAGAATTTCGACAATAACAGAATTTTCACAGGATTGTAAAGTAAGGAAATTTTATCCAAAAAAATATCAAATTATTCAAAATCTTAAATAGTCCATGAATTTTCTTTTTCAAATTGAAAAAAAATTCATAAGTAGAGTTACAGTTGCAATTTTTAGAAATATTCAATTATTTTATCACTTTATTTTGTATTTAAATAATTCAATTTGCTTACAACTTTGTGAAAAGAATGGATTTGAAAAAGAATTTCATTTAAAATTTTAGAAAATATTTGAAGAATTTCAAAAATTGCTGTTCTAATTTTTAGAAACAATTAAATAAAAATTAATGAAGTTTGAAAAATTGTAAAATTGAAAAAATTGAAAAAATTGAAAAAAATGAAAAATTTTATTTAGAAATTCTGAAAAATGTATCTAATACAAAAAATTTTGTATTTAAAATTTGAATAATTCAATTATCGTTAAATTCTAACAAGAATTTATTTAAAAATGAATTTCAGTTAAAATGTTAGAAAATATTTGAAGAATTGCAGTTGTAAGTTTAAAAATTAATAAAATTTCATATTTTATTTTTCTTTAAAAATTATTAAATTTTGTGAGTAATTTTATTCCAAAATTCTAAAAAATAATTGACTTTTGGAAAAATTGCAGTTGTAATTTTTAAAATTAATTAAATTTCAAAAGGTTTTAAATTGAAATTATTTGAAATTTCAATTAAAATGAAAAACAGCAAGTTTCTTAATAATTGTTTAACAATAATTATTGAAGTGTTAAATAATTTAATGTAGAGAAATTCTAAAACATTAAGTTCTTGAAAAATTGAAATTTTATTTTTTTTGAAGAGAATTAAATTAAATTGAAATTGAATTGAATTGAATTGAAATTAATTTTAAACATTGAAAGAACTGAAAGTTTTATCAAATTTCATTGAAGTAAATTTTATATTTGAAGAATCGATTTTTTTACATTTGGTCATTTTTTTCCATTTTTTTTTTGTTTCAGAAATTTTTATTCGTTTTCGATTCGAATTTTTGCTAATTCGTTGAAAATTATTCCTATGGAATATGGTTGTTAATTGTACAATGTGTTAATGTGAGACGTGAATTTTAATTGTCTTGAGACAAAAGCGAGAGGGAAAATGAATAAATAAGTGTTGCTTTCGTTGAGATAATAAAAATTCTTCTGTTACACGGATTCTCTTAAATAAAAAAAAAAACGTGGGAGTTAGGTTCACGCACTTTCATGATGTGAAAAACCAGTTTAAGAATATAGAAAATTACATATTCATTTTATTATCGTATTATTGCTTCTGCAATTTTTATTATTTATTATCTTGATTTCAACAACGATAATTTAACGTTTTGTCATTTTTTTGATTTGATCGTTCCATGATACATTTCTTTTTAAAATTCGATAAAATTTCAAAAAGAAAAAAATTAGATGAAATTTTACTAGAAGAATGCACTTAAAAATTCTTTGGGTAAATGGGTCAAAGACAGGTGTGTTAACTTATAATCTAGATGAGTAATGCACTGCACTTTGGTGCACTTGAAAATTGTAACAATGCCTCATGAATAATAAAATTATCATAATAGGCAATAGGGGAAAAAATTCTACTTTTCACTAGAATTACTCAATTTTATTAATTTTATTCACTAGAATTCTCGAAAAATTCTTTTTCCTTACGAATAAATTTTCTTTCTTGCTTTTTACTGTTATTTATTTTTTTTCCACAACTTCTCATCTAAATTATATTCATGAATGAGACTATTATTTTTCAATTGATTTTTTTTTCTTGAAGTAAATTCCGTTCATCAATTTTCTTAATTACATTTTGTCGTCGACATTTTTTCTCTCCCTTCTCACAATAATCAGTGTATAAATTACAAAGAGGAATTTTATTCCCATTATTAATTATCTTCTTCTTTATCATGTAACTATACACCTGTCAATCGTCTTGTTTTTGTAATTCAAATACAGAAATCGAATAATTGAATTTTCGATTGAAATTCAATTTTTCTTTCTTCTTTTGTTTTTGTAAATTCCAGTAATTCATTGTATTGTCAATAATTGCAGTTTAATCACTTTGATGTGATTTACTATTTTATTTTTTTTTTTATTTTAAAATAGTATTTTATACACTATTATGGAAATTGTTCTAGGCGTGAAAATTTTAAAGCATCATAAATCGTCGTCTGTATTAAATGTGGCAATGTTTATTCGATTTGAAATGCAAATTATTATTTTGTTCAACAATAAAAAATTTATTTTTTCCAGTTATGAAATTAAGCGCTCGGAAAAAATTATTATTGGATGAAAAAATAGGTTTAATATTTTATTTATTATATAAATAAATTTATAAAATTGAAACATTTTTTATAAAAATTTTTTATTTTAATGAAAAAAAATCAAAATAAAATTGAAGAGCAATTTAAAAGTTGTAAATTTATTTTTAAAAAATGTAATTAAAAGTTTGCAGAAAATTGCTCAACGTTAATTTCGGTATTTTCAGTGTTTATTAATTGTAATATTTTTTTGTTGTTGTAAAAATTGTGTAATAGTGGAGAGAGAGAAAAAAAATGGTTAATTAGCGTAAACTAGTGTTTGTTCATAAGGATAGTTCTTTCTCTGCATTATTCCTTTCTATTGAGAGATAAATGCAAGTCATATGCGCATTTTTCTTTCTCATCACATAGTTAACCAGTAAAGTCAGAAATGTGAATTTCAAAAGAAAATATTCGATTATAATTATAAATGTTGAGATTTATTATTTCATTCTCGCTTTTATTTACCATAATTAGAAAAAAATTGTTTCAGTAAATCTGAAATCATATTTCCAAAATATTTCAATTTTAAAATTTAAATAAAATTCTTCTCATGAATTCAATTATTTTCAATACAATTTTAATAAAATTTCTTGAAAGGATTCACTTATTTTTAAAAATTGTAATGAAATTTTTGTTTTCAAATTTTTTGATAAAATTCTTCGCAAGAATTAAATGATTTTCAATACATTAATTTTAAATTTCAAAACATAGAAAGAAAAATTATTTAAAAAAGTTAGAAAGCAAAAAGCAGTTTTTATTAAAACTTTTGAAAATAATTAAATTCTTTCGAGGAATTTAATTAATTAAATAATTACCCTTTTTTATTTAATCAATAATTTTTTGATAATTTTCGTTTTTTCTTTTTTTTTTGCAGGAATTTTATGTAAATAATACAATAGAAGAACTTATAATGGGAATGTCTTCGCAATTGGCCGAAAAGGAGGACAATATTCTCAGTAACGATATTCGAAATAATCTCTTTGGTCCAATGGAATTTTCAAGAAGAGACTTGGGTGCATTGAATATAATGAGAGGTCGCGATAATGGACTTCCGGATTATAATACTGCAAGAACATTCTATAAATTGCCATCGAGAAAAACTTGGAACGAAATAAATCCCGAGCTTTTCAATAAAAATCCCGGATTATTGAGAATATTGATGGAGAATCACGCGAATAATTTAAATAATATTGATATTTATGTGGGAGGAATGCTTGAGTCAAGAAATGGACCAGGAGAATTATTTGCCGCCGTTATTAAGGATCAATTTTTACGATTGCGTGACGCCGATCGTTTTTGGTTCGAAAATGAGGACAATGGGTAATTTTTTTATTTACATAATTCGAAATTCGGTTAATGAAAAAATTAATGCAACTTTTGTTTTTTACAATCTAAATTTTGATTTAGAAAAATTTTGAAAAAAAATCAATATTGTTTCGTGAAAAAAATAATTGACAATTGTTTCGTGGAAAATTCTGGGAAAATTCAAATCAAAATTTTGATTCTCAATCTTGATTTAGATTGTAAAAAATTGTCATTAAAACAATAATTATAAAAATAGTCTTTTCAGGGATTTTCCCGACTTAATTGTTATAGATTTTAGCACTTCTTTTTTGCACAATTTCCAAAGGTCTTAGGTATTTAATTTCTCTAACACAATGAAAAAGAAAAAAATGTCTTGACCTTCTCACGAAACATTTTTCTGAGGACATTTCTCACAACTATTAAAAACTATGAATATTTATTGTCATTTGTCATTTGTTTTTGTATAAAATTGTATAATTATTTCACAGTATTTTTTAAGACATAATATTTTTCTTTTTTTTTATTAATTTGACGTTATTTAACTTTACTGAATTATTTTCTAATTAGTTTTTGTTTATAGCAACAAAAATATTTTTAAAAAAGTTTAAAAAAGAGTTTAAAAAAAGTTTTTAAAAAAATTTTAAAAAATGTTCTTTAAAAAACAAATTTTTTTAAAGAACTTAAAAAAAAACTTTTGCCAATCAAATTACTTGATCGAAACGAAACGATTAGGTGAGAAAAATTACTGAAATTAAAAATTATAAAATAGCGGTAAAAAGTTATATAAAATAAATAAATTAGAAATGTACTGGGAATGTAAAATGAAAAAAAAAATGTATTATATATAAAGTAGTCTCATAATTTTGAGATATGCAAATAATAGAAAGTCGAGTATTACTATATTTAAAGTGTGATGACGATAATATTTTAAACGATTGACATAATTTTTGTTTAGAATTTTCACTAAAAGTGAAATTGAGGACATTCGCCGCGTGAGTTTGTGGGACGTGATTACGAACACGACGAGCATTATTCCGGATGCAATACAACGAAACGTATTCATTTGGACTCAAAGGGATCCATGTCCACAGCCCTTTCAATTGAAGGCCTCGATGCTCGATGCCTGTGTGCCATTTAAACGTTACGACTACTTTGAGGTAAAAACGATTTTTTATTTCCAATTTCTTTCTCTACTTTTTCTCACCTTATATAAACAAACAAAAAATTGCATCTTCTGTTTTTCAATTCTTATGTTGGATTCTCTTCACTATTTATAAACTTATGCAACTCGCGCAGGAAAATCATTTCACTTGCGAGCAGTTGTGAAAGCGGAAGAAAATTTTTATTAGAAACTCTAAAACTTAACTCTCCATTTCACGAGAGCTCTATAAATATGGAATTTTAATTATTATCGAATATATTGTAGGGTAATTTTAATAATACTCGTCTAACAGTAACCAATTCGAGTTTAATAGTCGAGAGGAAAATATTTTTTCTAAGATAAAAAGAGAAATAATAATTAACTCTATATTGAAAAATAAAAAACTTTGCCAAATTAAGAAAACGGTAAAAGATTTTAATAGTTTGATATTTCAAGTAGAGTATTATTTTTATGAATAGAATTTTCTAATTACAAATTTCGACGTAAATCGAAGAATAAATTTTCTTTTTTATTTTCAAAAATATCGAATTCTATTTGAATGTAATTTTACGCTTTATTAGCCTTATTTTCCATTTAAATCGAAATTTCGTAATTTTTTTTTTAAATATATTACTTAAGCTGAAAACTTGTTATCGATTGGAAAATATTATAAATTTTCAACATTTTATTGGATATTTTTAGAAAATATTTAAATTTCGAACAAATCTGAAGAATTAATTATAATGTAATTAGGTTAAATTATTTTCTCGTATATTTTTTAATTGAACCGCCGTTAGCCCTTGGGTGATATTGTTTTTCATTAAAAATGTATAATCTATATTAATAATCGTTGTATTCCGGTAATTTGAAATTAGTTCTTGTTTCGCAAAAATTTTTATTTTTTTTAATAATAATTAAAAAATTCAATTCTTTTGAAAAATTTTAAAAGAATTTAAAAAAAAATTCAATTCTTTCGTGAAATTTTATTGAAATTTTGTTGAAAATAATTGAATTTTCGCAAAAAGAAATGTACTATTTATAAAAATAACTGAATTCTTCCGAAGAATGTTATTATTTATGAAAATAATTGAATTCTTGTGAAGAGTTTATTAAAATTTTTGAAAGTCTAGTCTAGTTTTACGCGTATGTCCTTTTTGTCAACGGCGATTCAATTATTTTCTTATTTATAAATTAATAATTAAATATATATGAAAATTGAATTAAAATTATTTGAATTTTCAAATTAATGAAAAATGATATTATAAATATTTATAAGTTATGAATATGAAAAATGAGAGTTTTAATTGGAAATAAAAAATTGTTCACAGGGAAGCGAAATAGTTTACATCAATTCCTGTATTGTATTGACATTGGTACCAATAGTGGTAATTGCGGTAGCCTATGGTCTAGTCAAATTGCAAAATAAGCGGCGGCGAAAATTGAAAATTCTTCAAGAAGTGATGCGCAAGCATAAGGATGGAGGACGTCTTTACGTGGCGAAAATGATTGTACGAGAATGGATTCACGCGAATCACAGTCGTTTAGTGAAAGTGAAATTTGGACCGGAAGCTGCGCTACATATAGTTGACAGAAAAGGAGAGAATCTCAGGACCTTGGACTTTACCAATGTCAACACAATCAACATTGAGGAATCTCAGGTGTGTCTGTGTGTAAATCAAAAAAATTCTTTCTTCTTCATTTCCTGATTCAGGAATTTTTTTTTTCTTAATTTTTTTCTCTCCTGATATTTTAATTCTTTTTTTCTCCATTTTAACCGAATTTCGTTTCCTTATTTTTTTCTCTTCTTCACAGTTTTACATTATTTCCTTTTTTTTTCTTTTTAACTTTGAAAATTTTTATTTATTTATTTAACTCTCAGCCTAATTAAATAATTTTGATCTTCTTATAAATATTCAGGGTTAAATTTCTATTATTTTTGATACAATTTTAATGGCATTTCTCAAAAAATGTAATTCTTAAAAATTTTACTAAAATTCATCCAAAAAAATTTAATTATTTTAAAAAGCCTTCCTATAATTTATTTATTATTTTTAAAAATTTTAATGAATTTCTTTTTAACAATTCAATTTTTTTTCAAAATAATTTTAATAAAATTCTTCGTAGAATTAAATTAATTTCAATAATTTATCAAAATTCAATTATTTTTAATATCTGCTATTTCAATAAAATTTCACAAAAGAATTCAATTATTTTAAAATAAAGAAATTATAATTCGTCTCAAGAATTCAATTCTTTTCAAAAATAAAATTTTTCACAGGAATTGAATTATTTAAAAAAAATTTAATTAAATCTTCGACAGATTTCAATTATTTTCAATGTTTTAATGAAATTTCTCGATAAACTTTAATTATTTTCAAAAATGTTTTAAAAAATTCTGAGAAATTTAATTATTTAAAAAAATTTGAATAAAATTCTTCACAAGAAATTAATAATTTTCATATAAATAATAATATTTTTCTCCGAAATTCAATTATTTTCACAAATAAAATTCTTCACAGGAATTCAATTCTTTAAGGAAATTTTTAATAAAATTCGTTGCAAGAATTAAATTATTTTCATAAATAACAAAACTTATCGCCGAATTTAAATTATTTTTTATAAAATTTTAAATAAAATGATAGAAAATTGCATTTATTCTTAAAATTTTTTTTTAATTCGCCGAATGAATTCAATTATTTTTAAAAATTTTGATAAAATTGTTCATAGAAATTTAATTTTAAGAAATATTAAATTTATTTAATGAATTATTTATTTTTGTATTTAAATAATTGAATTCTCGAAAAATATTAATAAAATTCTTTTGTAAAATTTCAATTATTTTCAAAAACTTTTCTCAATTCAATCAAATTTTTTACAGAGATTCAATTATTTATAATACAATTTTAATCTAATTACTCAAATTATTCAAGATATTATTCAATAAATTATTCAATAAATTATTTATTTTTGTATTTAAATGAATTTTGAATTTATAGGGTAAATGCACTAGTAGTCGGACACTTAAGGATACGATCTTATATTATGCTTCTTTTCTTGAAATAGCAAATATCTACTGTGTTTATAAGCACATTATTAATTAAAGGAGTTCTTCAGGATTAAAAATCATATAAATTTGTTACAAATACTTGAGTATTTAATAAAATATAAACATTTTAATAAAAAATTACGAATGCTTTAGTAGTCGGACACTTTTTCCCCTTGTTTCTATAGTCGGACATCTGTCAGATATTTTGAATTTATAAAGTGAAAAAGATAATTTTTTAATTGCTATCTGCTGGAAAATGGAATTAAAGCATATTAGAAGTTATTAATATAATATTTAAACCCTATAGGTTTTAATATTTATGATTAATTATCAACAAAACTTTGTGCCACTCATCGCGCTACTCGAAAATGGTTGTATCTATAGTCGGACACCATGATTTTTAAAACATTAAATAAAATATTTCTTGTTTAATTATTTTCAAAAATAACACTATTTTAATAAAATATCAACTTTACACATTCGTCTAGTATACTTTTTAAAGTAATTATCACAATGCATTATTATTTATTTGCCAAAAAACTCGAAAGTGTCCGACTACTAGTACTGTCCGACTATACCCGCACTTACCCTATAAATTCTCGTAGAATTTTCTAATAAAAATTGATTTAAATATGAATTTCAGTTCAAATTTATGAAATTTTAGATAATAAACAAAAGAATTTGAAAATTTTCCAAGAAATTTTTCAAAAATTATTTAAAATAATTAATTTAAAGAAGAATTTTAGTTTTAGTTTTAAAAACCTGAAAAAATTCCGTTTTTTAATCTGGAAAAGTCAGGGAATTTGAAATGAGCAAAAACGTGGCAATCCTGATATTCGAATTTGTTTTTGCTTGTTTTTGAATTTTTCCATTTCTTAATTTGTCTTTAGTTCGATAATTAAATTTCCTTTGATAATTAAAAATTTTCTCTTTAATTGGCAACTTTATGGAAGAAAGGGAGAGAAAAAAAAATTGAAGGAGGGGAGAAAAAAGACTTGTTGAGGGTAAAATAAAAATTTTCCTAACAGGTATTGCGAGAATGTGAAAATCGCAGTAAAGACAGTTTTGTATTTTTCTATTAACCAGTCTGTAATGTATAATAGTTGTTGTTTTACGCGGGAAAGTGGCTCATCACTAAAAAGATCATTAATTATTTCAGGAAAGCGAAAGCGGTCATCGCAAGGCGCTGATTCTGTTGCGAATACCTCGTGATTACGACCTCGTCCTTGAACTGGATTCCCTGAGCTCGCGTAGAAAGTTCATTGCGAAATTGGAGACATTCCTATCTTCGTACAAGAAGCACTTCACGTTGACACAGACCAATCGAGATATTATGCTAGCCAAAGCGGAAACGAGGGAGCGTCGTGAAAAGAAGCTCGAACAGGTACAAAGTGTAAACCTTTCTTTCTCTCGCTCTGACTTTTTTCGTTTCTGATTTTTGGACTCGTGTCAATAGATCAATGAGTCCGTTATGTTGTTTTCAAAATTTGATTTTTTGTTTTTCTATTGTTTGTCTAAGGAATAATAGAAATTTTTCAGTTTAATAATCACTTGATTAATTATTAATCAATAATTATTGATTAATAATTAATCAAGTGATTATTTAACTGAAAAATTTCTATTATTCGATTGATACGAAGGTGATCATTAAAGAGCGTGTTGATTAGGGACTATTAATTTATTATGATTGGCAATTGGCTACAAATGATAGTTTACTGGTTGATTTGTTGGTTTTTTCATAAATAATTTTTTCTTTTCTTATTTTTTTGCATTGATCAACGACTGCTGGTCAGTGATCGTCCTACAAAAGAATTAATTCTAGTCGCGATCGTTTCGTAAGCGGGAGCCTATTATCGAGAGCTTGCCTACTCACCTGTCGTGCTCATAGTTAATGAAACAACTATTACTCAATCTGTCGGCAATAGCTGCGCTTCTTCGTCCTTTTAAGTTCAACATTAACTTTACATCGCCGGAATATTCTCAAAGATAACGTCGCTTATCGTTCAATTTAGCTCTTTCAGTCAAATATTTCACGCACATTTTTTTCAACCTCAGACAAATTTCGTCAATTTGAAATACTTTTAAAATATTCTCAGTTTCAAATAATACGGCGAATATTTTTTTTCTGTATCTGTATATAAATGAGAAAAAGAAAAAAGAAAATAATTTTGATAGTAGAATTTTAAATTAAAAAAGAAAAATAATTTTAATAGTCGAATTTTAAATAAAAAAAAGAAAAATAATATTAATATAGTAGAATTATAAATTAAAACAGAAAAATAATTTTAATAGTAGAATATTAAATTAAAAAAGAAAAATAATTTTAATGGTAGAATTTTAAATTAAAAAAAGAAAAATAATTTTAATAGTGGAATTTTTTTTTGAAAACTGTATTTTCTCCACAGTTTTTCCGCGAGGCGTACGCTCTCACGTTTGGTCTTCGACCTGGAGAAAGACGTCGAAGATCTGAGGACAACGACAGCGGAGAAATCGTCACAGTCATGAGAACTTCTCTTTCAAAAAGTGAATTTGCAAGCGCTCTTGGCATGAAACCCGATGCTATTTTTGTCAAAAAAATGTTCAGCATCGTCGACAAAGACAAAGATGGTCGAATTTCTTTTCAGGTAAAAAAAATCACTTTTATAAAACCAAAGAAAAGAAAGTTGGTAACAAAACTTCCTCGTCTCGATTTCTAATATTCAATCGATTGTATTTCATTCTTATTCAAAAACGTTAAATGTTTGGGCATTAAATTTAAATTAAATTAAATTAAATTAAATTAAATTAACTTAAATTAACTTAAATTGAATGAACTTAAATTAAATTAACTTAAATTAAATTAAATACATATTAATAATCGTTGTATTCCGTTAAACTGTTCGCAGTTTAATAATTTTTCTTTTCAAATATTTAAAATTTTAAAATTAATGTATTAAAAATCATTGAATTCTTGCAAAGAATTTTGTCAAATATTCGTGTCTGTTAATAACTTTATAATTAAATATTTTATTATTGAAGTTGAAATTAATTGAATTTCAGCAAAGATTTTACTATTTTAAAAAAATAATTGAATTGTTTTGAAGGATATATTAAAATTTTAGAAAATAATTGAAATTTGCAAAGATTTTACTATTTAAAAAAAATAATTGAATTGTCTTAAAGAATTTATTAAAATTTTAGAAAAAAATTGAATTCTTTGGTGAATTTTTATTTACTTTTATTGAAATTAATTGAATTTCTGCAAAGATTTTAATATTTTAAAAAAATAATTGAATTTTTTTGAAGGATTTATTAAAATTTTAGAAAGTAATTGAATTTTTACAAAGATTTTACGATTTAAAAAAAATAATTGAATTGTTTTTAAAGATTTAATAAAATTTTAGAAAATAATTGAATTTTTGCAAAGATTTTAATATTTAAAAAAAATAATCGAATCGTTTCAAAGGATTTATTGAAATTTTAGAAAATAATTGAATTCTTTAGTCAATTTTTTTGAAATTTTGTTAAAAACAATTTAATTTTTGCAAAAATTTATTAAAAAATCAATATGTCAAAATAAAAAAATTTTTTATAAATTGCATAATAAAAAGAAATTGAATATTACGTTCCGCGCGTGATATTTGCTAGTGTTAAATGAAATACAAATTTTGTAAATTATTTTTAGTTTTAAATTAGCGATTAATGTCAATATTATAGCGAATAATTTATTCTTTTACAAAATTGTCTTGAATAAAAAAAGAAATAATGTATCTTCTCTTTGGCAAATTGCGCAGGAATTCTTAGACACGGTTTTGCTTTTCTCGAGAGGTAAAACTGATGACAAGTTGCGAATTATTTTCGACATGTGCGACAAAGACAGTAACGGAGTCGTCGATAAGGAGGAATTCTCTGAAATGCTGAGGTCTTTGGTGGAAATCGCATGCACCACAAGTTTATCCGACGACAACGTCACTAAATTAATCAATGGAATGTTCCAAGTAAATTCCATATTTTCTATACCATTATTAATAATAAAAAATAATAAAAACTGAAATATTTATATTATTATCTAAATGCTTATTTACTACATAACGATTTTTTTTTGCAACAGGATGCAGGTTTGGAGAGAAAGGACTACTTGACCTACAACGACTTTAAATTAATAATGAAAGAATACAAAGGCGATTTTGTTGCAATCGGACTGGATTGTAAAGGGGCAAAGCAAAATTTTCTCGATACGTCGACAAATGTTGCGCGAATGACGAGTTTTCAAATGGATCATTTTCCACTCGAGGCAACAAAATCGTGGCTCCGTAAACATTGGGATGGAATTTCGACATTTCTCGAGGAAAATCGACAAAATATTTTCTATCTCTTTATATTTTACGTCGTGACGATTGCACTTTTCGTCGAAAGATTTATACGTACGTAAAAAAACGTGAAATTAATTAAAAGTGAACAAAAAATATTATTCTTTAATAATTGTTTAAACAAAAGTAGTTTTTATCAAATTTAATAAAATAATAAAAATAGTTTTTATCAAATATGAATAAAATAATAAAAATTGTTCAGTATGCAGTTTACAATTTTTAATATTTTATTATTATTATTATTATTATTATTATTATTATTATTATTATTTATAAATTTTAATTTGAGTTAAATTTAGAGTGCATGAAATATTAATGAGATTCCGTTGAATTTTTTTAGATTATTCATTCATGACCGAGCACATGGACCTGAGGCACATAATGGGAGTTGGAATCGCAATAACGAGAGGATCGGCGGCCGCATTATCTTTTTGTTATAGTCTTCTCCTGTTGACTGTGTCGAGGAATCTTATAACGAAACTAAAGGAATTCTCGATACAACAATATATTCCATTGGATTCGCATATTCAATTTCATAAAATTGCCGCGTGCACGGCACTTTTTTTCTCAGTTCTACACACCGTTGGACATATCGTGAATTTTTATCACGTCTCAACGCAGCCGATAGCCAATTTGCAATGTCTAACGAGTGAAATTAATTTCGCCAGCGACGCGCGGCCTACAATCACGTACTGGCTCTTTCAAACAGTAACAGGTGATAATTGTCACATAAAAAATACGAAATTTATTTTAGTTTCAATTAATTTAAATTTAAATTTAAATTCAATTCAATTTTCAATAATTTTGAATTTAAGATTGAAATTCAATCCAATTTTCAAATACTTTGAATTTAAATTCAAATTCAATTTCAATTACTTTTAATTTAAATTAAGATTCAATTCAATTTTCAATTACTTTGAATTTTAAATTCAAATTCATTTCAATTTTCAATTGCTTTGAATTTAAATTAAAATTTATTTAATTCAATTTTCATTTGAATTTAACTTTAAATTAAAATTAATTTTAATTTTCAATTACTTTGAACGTTGTGTTCAATTTATTATTATTAGGAAAATGACAAAATTTTTTATTTCCAAATTCATTTATTAAGTACATAATTAATTATTATTGTTTATATTTTCAAAACTTTTAATTTCTTCGCAAGAATTTAATTATTTTCAATTTTCATTAATAAAAAAATTCTTCGGAAGAATTTAATTATTCTTATAAATAATAAATTTTTTTGCAAAAATTCAATTATTTTCTAAAATTATAATAAATCCTTCGAAATAAATCAATTATTTTTATAAATAGTAAAATTTTTTGCAAAAATTCAATTATTTTCAACAAAATTTTGATAAAATTTCACAAAAGTATTGAATTATTTTCTAAAATATTAATAAATCCTTCAAAACAATTCAATTATTTTTTAAAAATATAGTAAAGTCTTTGCAGAAATTCAATTAAAATTCTATAAAAATTCACTAAAGAATTCAATTTTTTTCTAAAACTTTAATAAATTCCTTGAAACAATTCAATTATTATTTTAAATAATAAAATCTTTCCACAAATTCAATTATTTTTTAAAATTTTAATAAATCCTTCAATTATTTCTTTTAAATATTAAAATCTTTGCAAAAATTCAATTATTTTCTAAAATTTTAATAAATCCTTCAAAGAATTCAATTATTTTTTTAAATTAGTTAAATCTTTGCAAAAATTCAATTAAATTCTAAAATTTAAATAAATTCTTCAAAACAAATCAATTATTTTTATAGATAGTAAAATTTTTCAAAATAAAATAATAAAATTCCTTGAATAAATTAAATTATTTTTAGAAAATTGTAAAAAAATTCAAAAAAATTCATTAAAAGAATTGAATTAGGATTTTCAAAAATGTTACTAAAATCCTTCGATGAAATTCAGTTGTTCTCAAATTTTTTGAGAAAATTCTTCGAAGGAATTAAATTATTTTCAAATTTTGTTGATAAAATTCTTTGCAAGAATTCAATGATTCAATACATTAATTTTAAAATTGAAAATATTTGAAAAGAAGAAATATTAAAAAAGTTAGAAAACGAAACGATTATTAATATAGAAGATAGATTTTATTAAATTGAATTCGAGGAAAGGAATTTTAAAAGAAAAATATTTTTAAAAAAGTGTCAATTTTTTTAGATAAACAGAAAAGAAGAGAAAATTTTTGAACAAATTTAGCCAAAGACTGGATAATAAAGTACTTGGAAGTTAATTTAAAAGAAATAAATTGCATTCCTCGGTGATTTGTCGCATTCTTGATAATTGAATTGACGAGAGCAAGAAAAATTGCGTAACGATAATTTTATCCAGTAAATCACAATAATCGCGCTAAATCAATTAATAATAAAAAAGCGCAAGAATGTTAAATTACCTTTCAATTGACATAAAATTATATTCAAGTACAATAAATAATTTACAGAAAAAGAGAGGAAAAAAAAATACTGGAAATAATTTAGAATTACAATTTCTAATTTATTTTTTTTTTCTTTGCTTGCAGGTCTTACGGGAATTTTATTATTTGTCATCATGATAATTATTTTTGTATTTGCACATCCGAAAATTCGGCAGAAGGCTTACAAATTTTTCTGGATGACTCATAGTCTTTACATTGTACTTTACGCCTTGTGCATAATTCACGGACTCGCGAGATTGACAGGCGAGCCGAGATTTTGGATTTTCTTCATTGGACCAGCGATTATTTATGTTCTCGACAAGGTAAATGAGTTTTTCTCTTTTTACTTTTTTTTATTATATTATAATAAAGCAGGGCTCGAACTAGTGAAAGTATTTAAAAATACAGACTTTGCGGACCAATTACTGACAACATTCTACTTAAAATTATAAATTTTTTTCATAACTGTAAAACATCAATTAAATAAATATTAGAAAATAAAAACTTCAAATAATATTAAAAAAAATCAATTAAACTTTTTCAAAAAAATTAATTTCAAAATTCAATTATTTCTTACAAATTCACGCTATATTGCTTTATTCAATTATTATCTAAAATTTCAAGTGAAATTCATTTTTAAATGAATATATATTAGAAAATTCTTCTAAAATTCAAATTTTTAAATACAAAAATAAATAATTTATTGAATAACTGAATGTTTCTTAAAATTCAATTCCCATAAAAAGTTTTATCAACAAATTTTTAAACAATTGAATTTCTTCGACGAATTTTAATAAAAAAAAAAATTCTGCGATGAGTTTTATTATTTTTCGAAAATAATTGAACTCCGAAGAAGAATTTTATTATTTTTGAACAATATTTAATTTTTGCGAAGAATATTATTACTCTTGAAAATAATTGAATTTTTCCAATTATTTGTAACTTTTAACAAAATTGAATTTTTTTTCGTGTTTTTAACTAAACATTTTCTATAAATCCATTTCCATTATTTTTAATAATTTTCGAAAAAGTTCTTTGACAATTTTCAAATTCATTTGTTTACAATCCAATTTTACAAAATTTCAATTATTCGCAAATTCTTCAATTAAATATTATATTAGAAAATAAAAACTTTAAATAATTTAAAAAAAAATCCGCAATTAAAGTTTCTCAAAAAAAATTAAGTACACAGAATTGTTAGTTAAAAATATGGAAAATTCAAATTTTTAAAGATTTTAATCTGAAACCTTTTCAAAATTCAATTATTTCTAAAAATTTACGCTCTAATGCTTTTGAAATTCAATTGTAATCTAAAATTTTTACTGGAATCCATTTTTAAATCAATGTTTATGAAAAAATTCTGCTAGAATTCAATTATTTGAATACAAAAATAACAATTTATTGAATTGCATGTTTCTTAAAATTGAATATTCTCATAAAGAATTTTATCTATAAATTTTTAAATAGTAACTGAATTCTTATGACAAATTTTAATAAAATTTTTAAGAATTTTTTCGAGATATTCGATTAAAATAATTGTATTAAAAATAATAAAAATTGGACAATGAGTTTTATTATTTATGAAAATAATTGAATTCTAAAAAGAATTTTATTATTTAAAAATTTTATATAATGAAAGTTCTGTGAAATTTTTATTATTTTTTGAAAATACATAATTAAAAGTTTGTGTAGAATTTTATTAAATTTTTTTTTAAATAATTGAATTCTTTTGGAAAATTTTATGAAAACAGATATTGAAAATCATTGAATTGACGAAAATTTTGGAAAATAATTGAATTTTGGAGAAGAATTTAATTATTTCTATAAAAATAATCGAAATATTGATGAGAATTTAAAAAATTTTTTGAACATAATTGAATTTCTGCGAAGAATTTTATTACTTTTGTAAATAATTGAATTTCTGCAATTTGTAATTTTTCTAAAAAATTTCGAATAAAAAAAATATATTATTATTATATTATTATTATTTTACTTACAATTTACGAACTTTTCGTCCTTTTTAATCAAATTACGAACTTTATGGATCTTTTTTTCAAAAAAACGGACTTTTACGAACTTCAAGAAAAGTTACGAACTTTTACTGGATGTAAATCCAGTACCTAGTTCGAGCCCCGAATAAAGAGAAAAAATTATTTGCAATTGGAAAGTGACTAAAAAGAAATAAAAAATTATTCATTTTTATTTTGCTCTATTTTCAGGTGGTGAGTTTGAGAACAAAATGTATGGCATTGGACATAATTGAGACGGATCTTTTACCATCGGACGTGTTAAAAATAAAATTCTACCGACCACCGAACTTGAAATATTTGTCAGGACAATGGGTGAGATTGGCGTGCACGTCAATTAAATCGAATGAATTTCATTCAATTACCTTGACCTCAGCGCCACATGAGAATTTCCTCTCGTGTCATATTAAGGCCCAAGGACCGTGGACGTGGAAGCTGCGCAATTATTTTGATCCCTGCAATTATAATCCAGAGGCGGAACGACCGAAAATTCGCATTGAGGGCCCATTTGGTGGAGGAAATCAGGATTGGTACAAATTCGAAGTTGCCGTGATGGTCGGTGGCGGAATTGGGGTCACTCCCTATGCATCGATGCTCAATGATCTTGTCTTTGGAACTTCCACTAATCGATATTCGGGCGTCGCTTGCAAAAAGGTACTTTTCCTCTACTTTTTCTCATTTTTTTAATTAAAGAGGCTAAATTTTTTTTACAGAAAAAATTAATTTATGTTAATAATTCTTTTATTTTAGGTCTACTTTTTGTGGATTTGTCCATCACACAAGCACTTTGAGTGGTTCATAGACGTTCTGAGAGACGTGGAACGTAAAGACGTGACGGACGTTCTTGAAGTTCACATATTTATTACTCAATTCTTTCATAAGTTCGATTTAAGAACTACTATGTTGGTAAGGATAAATTTTTTTTCTTTGTTTAACAGTTCTTTAGTTCTTCTTACCAGTTTATCATTGCAATTTTTTTTCCCTATAATAAATTCTTTGATTAAAATCAGAAAAAAATTAAGATTTCAGGAATGTTAAGTTTCTTTCAGATAAAGATTTCCTGTTTAGATTTTAAATTTTATTTCTGAGTCATGAACTCAAAGGGTAGAAGGAGATGAATTTTTTGTTTAAAACTAAAGAGAATATTTTTTTTACTCATTTCTTCTCTTTTTTTTTGCTGAAAACGAGTTGCGTTGTTTTTCACTTTTTAAGGAAACTTATCTCTCAAAGAATCCTGACAAGTCCGAGCAAATGTCGCTCTTAACTCATAGCGTAATAAATTGTCCTGTTTAAACAGGTGAATTATTTTGACCGCAGCCGGCGCAACTGTTGTGGAAGTTGCTCGGCCAGCTTATAAATCCAATCTCTAATTCTCTAATTGTCTATTTTCTGCTTGCAGTACATTTGCGAGAATCATTTCCAGAGGCTGTCTAAGAAGAGCATATTCACTGGACTCAGAGCGATTAATCACTTTGGTCGGCCTGACATGACGTCCTTCTTGAAATTTGTGCAAAAGAAACATAGTTACGTGAGTACAGATTTTTTTTACCCCCTTTCAAGGGACTAATTAGTATTATTTACTTTTCACCACTTTCTTTTTTTTCTCTCTCTTAAAGAACTCTCTTTCTTTTTTGTTTATTCCAAAGTAAATTATTCTAATCAATTTAATTTAAATTAAAGGCTTCGAACTCGATAATTTGTTTTAAAAAATTAGCAAAAAGTGTCTTTCAGACTGAAAAAAAATATCAAAAAGTAGCTACTAGTTCAGTCAAAAATGTTTCTTATATTTAAATAATAATTGATTTCTTTTGAAAAAATTTCTTGAAAATTGTTTTTGTAAATAATTACATTTTTTTTTAAATTTCATTAAATTTCGTAAAAATAATGTAATTTTTCTAAATAATTTTAATTGGAAATGTAGAAAATAATTGAAATTTACAAAGAATTTTATTAAAAACTTTTGAGAAGAATTGAATTGTTTAGAAAAATTTTATTGCAATTTTTAAAAATAATTGAACCTGTTAGAGGAATTTTATTAAAATTGTATTGAAAATAATTTAATTTCTCAGAAGAATTTTATTATTTACAAAAATAATTGAATTTTATAAAAATTTTATTAAAATTTCATTTTAAAAAATTTTATTAAAATATTTAAATAATTGATTTCTTTCAAAAAAATTCCTTTAATTTATTTCGCAAAGTTAAATTAGTGTGGAAATTTAATTATTCATATTATTTGAATTTTATTAAATTTTTGATAAATAATTGAATTCTTTTGAGAAATTTTATTGAAATATATAAATTTGTATATATCAAAATTCAAAATAAATAAATAAAATAATAGATATTGAAAATATTTGAATTTCATTATTTGTGAAAATAACTGAATTCTCGCAAAAGATTTTCGACAAATTTTTGAAATAATTGAATTGTGTCAAAGAATTTTATAAAAAATTTTCCTAATTGTTTCTAAGAAGAATTTTATTAAAATTTGCAAAAATAATTTTTTTATTTCAACTATTAGCGAATTCAAACTTGTGAAAATTCTCAAAAATAGGAAAAAGTAGGTTGTAGTGTCACAAATTTAAAAAAATGTATCCAAATAGTAGCTAATCGTAAAAAAAGGAGTAAATAGTAGTTTTTAGTAGATCAGTGCGAAGCCTGAAATTAATAAAATTAAATTTTAGTTAAGATTTAATTAGATTAAAATTAAATAGATTTTTGTGAAAAATATTTAAAAATACTCGTCAAAATTTTAAATTTTAATACATTTGAGAGTAAATGAGATGATTTAGTTGTAAATGAAAATTTTTGAATTAGAAAGAATTTCCTAATCTTTATTCCGGAATTTCTGGACAAATTTATTCTTAATAACTTTCAGAATTTTATATTATGGTAATTGGGTCATTTTAATTTTTAATTTGAAGAAGATATTTTATCCGAAGGAAACACATGTTTATAAATTCATTTTTCTAAAAAAAGGAACCAAAGTCCAAATTTTTTTTCTTAATTTTTTAATTATTTTATTAATTTGTCTCCTAATTTACCGTTTAATTTGTTTTCTCATTTTTTACCTTAGCTTTTAATTTTATTAACTGCTTTTCTTAATTTGAAATATCAAATTTATTTCTTATAGGTATTATAATTTATATTTATTATTCTTAAATATTTTAAAATTTGATATTTATACTAAACAGTCTAGAATTCAACCTCATTTTTCTTACTTTGTATTTAAATAATTTAATTAATTAAATTCATGAAAATTCATGATTTCGTAAATATACTCAAATATTTCTTTTCGTTTATTTTAACAGTAATAGATTTTTTTTTTCTTTTTAATGACAGGTTAGTAAAATTGGAGTCTTTAGCTGTGGACCCCGACCATTAACAAAAAGTGTGATGTCAGCCTGTGATGAAGTAAATAAAGGACGAAAATTACCTTATTTTATTCATCACTTCGAGAACTTTGGCTGAGATCCACATGGACATTAAAAAAAAATATTAGTTTATTTTTAAAGTGTATTTTATTATTACTATTACTATTACTATTATTATAATTATAATTATAATTATTATTATTATTATTATTATTATATTATTATTATTATTATTATTATTATTATTATTATTATTATTATTATTATTATTATTATTATTATTATTATTATTATTATTATTATTATTATTGTCATCACTACTAGTATTAAATTTGTTTTTAAAGTCTTGTTGAAAATTGTAAATATACGTGAGAATGAGTGTGATTGAACATCTCTTATTTATGATTTTTAAAGAAAAGAAAAAAGCAATTTAAATTTCATATTTTAAGTAATATTATAAATAATGAATATATATCTATATAATTTTTGTAAAACGACAATGAAAAATTAAGTTTTTCTTCTTTAACTCGAGAAGAATGTGAATTGATAAATAAATGCAGCGCTTTTATAACTTATTAAGATCATCAGCAATAAATCAAAGCATTATCACATCATAATTGATTTTATAATTTATTTTCATCAAATTAATAAAAAATTATTTTATTATTTTATTTTTATTTATTTATTTTTTTTTTTAAATTATTTTTTTTAGCGCGGAAAAATCTAACTTTTGAACATATACCTCTTTCATACTCTCCTTTTAAGTATCATTTCTAAAAAATATTAGATGTGACAAAATAACCGAAGGTGATTTTAGTATTTTTAAAGATGATAAAGTAATATTCAAGTCTTTCAAATTCATCCTTGGTAAATTTTTGAAAGGAAGAGTAATAGGAGAATATGAGTAGGTTAAGAAAATCTGAAACGGAAGTCGCGTGAATAAATTTTGATAGTCCAGCGATATTACAGACGATGGCGAAAAATAGTTTCTTTCAAATAAAATAATTAAGCATTAAAAAAATAATTACGCTAATAATTAATAATTACGCTTGTATTCTTTAAATTTTGCGAGAAATTATTAATAGTTAGTTTAACAGCACTGAAATTGATATATTTTTCAAATCAGGTATCATGAGAACATGATAAGATTAGTCGGATTTTTTAAATTATTACATCAGCGCATAATTTTTATTCTCCATGACAAATTTTCTACTTGGGATTTCTGTTGGAGTTTATCCTTTAAAATATAAACGTTTTTGAAACGAAAATTATCAGGAGAACAAGAGAAATATTTCTTAGAATCTAGAAATAGAAATAGGAAAAAATATCCAGTTTATATAAGAATACTATGGCAAGTGTTTATTTTTATATTTACAAATTATTGATGTATTATTTTTTGTACAATTTAGTTGGATAAATAAAGAAATACTTTGTTGTTTTTAATAACTTGTTCTGACAAGTCGCCTTTGAGCAGAGGGTATTGAATAAGACCAATTATTATTTTTTGCTGGTTCTTCAGTAATATCAGATGATTCGTGTGACACGTAGCCACGATTTATAACGCCTTCGGTATCTTCTCGTTTATCATGATTCAACTTTGTCGATAATTGACTGCAAGAAAATAAGCATTTATCTATTAAAATTTGAAGAAATAATTTATTAAATTCAGGGTTGCCACAGGTCAGGGGATTCAGAGAACAGTCAGGGAAATTAGAATCGGTCAGGAAAATTAGGGAAAAGTCAGGGATTTTTATTAAAAGTACTGGAAAAAATTAAATTTTTAGAATTCATAAGAAAACTCTGAATTTTGTTGATTTTTTTGTTTGACTCATAAAATATGAAACTACCACCAATTCTAATACAAACCCTTCAATTTTTTCTATTTCTGACAATAATTTCTTGTTAAATAACTTAATTCTTGAAGGACTATCATAAAATTATTGCTTAAAAATTATTTAATAAATATTTTTTGTCCTACCTGCACGGAAAGTATGTCATTTCGGGCACTTAAGGCGGGCGCAAAGTAACACATTACGCCCGGGAGTGGGGGAAGCGGGCGGAAAAGTATTTTGCGCCCGCTTGTATGACGTCAGAGGGCGGTAAAGTATTTTCCGCCCGCTTCCTCTACCTCCGAGCGGGCGGAAAAGTATTTTTTGTCCTACCTGCACGGAAAGTATGTCATTTCGGGCACTTAAGGCGGGCGCAAAGTAACACATTACGCCCGGGAGTGGGGGAAGCGGGCGGAAAAGTATTTTGCGCCCGCTTGTATGACGTCAGCGGGCGGTAAAGTATTTTCCGCCCGCTTCCCCTACCTCTGAGCGAGCGGAAAAGTATTTTGCGCCCGCTTGTTAATTATTCGATTTTCTTCATTAAAATGCGACATTTTCGACTTTCTTTTTAAGTTGACTATAGAACTGCAAATATTTTCAACTTGTTTTATTTTACCTTTAAAAATTTGCAATTTTTTTTTATTTTCTCTAAAAAAAATTATGAGACATTTGGTTTTGTTTCCATTTCGTTTATCAAAATTGTCAATTTTAAAAGTTCTTGTTTCAGTTTTGTTTAATTATTAATTACTACATTCTAAATAAATACTATGTTTCCATAATACATTATTTTTTTATTTCTATTTTAAAACTTCTATCATTATAGACTTCATTCGATATAATGTTTATATAGAGCTTAATTTTTAACTAATATGAGCGTTTAATCGTGCGTGCCCTCAATGCCATACTTTCCATGCAGTTAGGACAAAAAATTATGTTCGCATCATGGGCGCAAAGGTGATTACGACTTTGGCGAAATTTCGGGACCTCGGGGACACTTTCGCTCCCTCGGCTTCGCCTTGGGCGCGAAATTGTGTCCCCTCGGTCCCTTCATTTCGCCATCGTCGCAATCACCTATTTTGCGCCCTTGTTACGAAAATAACTATTGCGCCCGCTTATTAATTATTCGATTTTCTTCATTAAAATGCGACATTTTCGACTTTCTTTTTATGTTGACTATAGAACTGCAAACATTTTCAACTTGTTTTATTTTGTCTATAAAAATTTGCAATTTTTTTTTATTTTGTCTAAAAAAATAATGAGACATTTGGTTTTGTTCCCATTTCATTTATCAAAATTTTCAATTTTAATAGTTCTTGTTTCAGTTTTGTTTAATTATTAATTACTACGTCCTAAATAAATACTATGTTTCCAAAATACATTGTTTTTTATTTATAATTTAAAACTTCTATCATTATAGACTTCATTCGATATTATGTTTATATAGAGCTTAATTTTTAACTAATATGAGCGTTTAATCGTGCGTGCCCTCAATGCCATACTTTCCATGCAGTTAGGACAAAAAATTATGTTCGCATCATGGGCGCAAAGGTGATTACGACTTGGGCGAAATTTCGGGACCTCGGGGACACTTTCGCTCCCTCGGCTTCGCCTCGGGCGCGAAATTGTGTCCCCTCGGTCCCTTCATTTCGCCATCGTCGCAATCACCTATTTTCCGCCCTTGTTACGAAAATAACTATTACTTAAAAATTTCAAAATTAATTGGATTTTAAAAGAATTGCATAAATTTAATTATGTTCAAAAATTTTTTTAAATTCTCGTAAAAATGTTAATTATTTTTGTAAATAATAAAATTCTTCTCCGAAATTCTATTATTTTCAAAAAATTTAATAAACTTCTTGGCAAAATTTTAATTACTTTCAAAAAATTTCCTCATTTCAATTATTTCTAATATATCTACTATTTTAATAAAATTTTCCAAAAGAATTCAGTTATTTAAACAAAATTGTAATAAAAATTTCACAGGAATTCAATTACTTGACAATTTTTTATAAATTTCTTCGCACCAATTCAATTATTTTTCATTTTTTAATGAAGTTTCTCGAAACAATTCAAATATATTCAGAGAATTGAAAAAAATAGTTCTGAGAAATTCAATTATTTCGAAAAATTTTAATAAAATTCTTTTAAAAATTCTATTATTTAAAAAAATTTTGTCAAAATTCTTTACAAGATTTAGTTAATAAAATCTTCCTATACAATTCAATTATTTTCAATACAATTAAGAATTCAATTATTTTCACAAATAATACATTTTTTTATGGGAATTCCATTATTTAAAAAAATTTGAATAAAATTCTTCTCAAGAAATCATTTATTTTCATAAATAATAAAATTTATCTCGAGAATTCAATTATTTTCAAAAATTTTGATAAAATGCTTTATAAGTTTGTAAAAATCTTCGAAAGAATTCAATTATTTTCGTAAAAAATAAAATTCTTCGAAGCAATTTAATTATTTAAAAAATTTTAATAAAATTCTTCCCAAAAATTTAATTCTTTTCAAGAACAAAATTTTTTACAGGAATTAAATTATTTAAGAAATTTTAATAAAATTATTCTCAAGAATTCAATTCTTTTCAAAAACAAATAAAATTCTTCACTGAAATTGAATTCTTTAAGAAAATTTTTAATAAAATTCCTTGCAAGAATTAAATTATTTTCAATAAATAACAAAACTTATCCCAGAATTTCAATTATTTTTAATACAATTTTAAATAAAATGATAGAAAATTGCATTTATTCTTGAAGTTTTTTTTTAATTCGCCGAAAGAAGTCAATAATTATTTTTAAAAATTTTGATAAAATCCTTCATAAAAATTCAATTTGAAGAAATATTCAATTATTGAATAAATCATTTATTTATGTATTCAAATAATTGAATTCTCGAAAGTTTTTTTAAAAAATTGATTAAAAAATGAATTTTACTTATTTGTTTTTGAATAATTTTACAATTAAAGAAATTCGTGAATAGATGTAATAGAACATTTTTTTGAGTATTTAATAATTTTTGGAGTGAATCAAAATATTCTCCAGGGTCAGGGAAAAAATCAGAATTTTATCTGGAAGTCAGGGAAAAACAAAATTAATTTTTTATGGCAACCCTGAAATAATTTAATCATACTTTTAGTCTTTATTAAGTTAAATTTATTAAAAAATATATAAATAATTTAAATCCTTGTAAAGTTGTAAAGCGTCAAGCAAGAATAGCAATCGAATAAATAAAATTAAAATTGAATTGATAATATTGAACCAATAAAAAAACTTACCAGAAATGTGAAGTTCAATAGCAAGCATACTTTATTATATTCTTCTTTCTCAAAGAAAGAAGAAAATCAAAAGTTTGTGCCGTGCAAAAAAAGCAAAAGTGCATAACGAGCAAGATGATATGAAAAAAGCATTCTTTTCTTACACTGTGTCACTCAGAATTAAAATATTGGCTTTTTGTGGTTTAAAAAAGTGTTTCAAAACCGCGACTGGACCACTAACCGCAAAATGATATGTTGCATTGTTCCCTGATATCTTAATACCCGTTTTTTGTTTCAAACCGAGGATATGTACTTGTATCCAATTTTCGATTTTGAATATATTGTTCTTTAAAAATGAATAAAATTTTTAGATTTTAAAATACGAAGAAAAATTCAAAATTTCAACGACAAAACTTCGTTTGGTTAAAAGAGAAGCAATGAAAAAAAATTTGTTTCACATGCTTTCATGAGGGTTTAAGCGAAAATGTTAAAAGCTTAAAAAGCAATGTTAAATGTTAAATTTAATGTCTCAAAACCAAAAGAAGCAATAACTTTTTTAAAAAAGAAAATTCTTACCTAAGAAATCGATCACCAAACGAGTCTTCCCTTCTCGACAATTTTCTCCTAATATTCCTAGTATCAAAACTCTCTTCTATGATAACGTGTCTATCATGCGGAGTATCATAATCTACTTCCAATATCGTTGAAAATTGATGTGGAAATATAAATTCAATCGCACTTATTATAATTCCAGAGAAAAAGCACGTCACACCTGAAAAACAAAGAAATAAAAATAAGACAATTTTTTTTAAATTTCAGTTAAATTGACCATAATTACAAGAGATTTGACGAAATTAAATGCCAATTGCAGGTTTTATTTTCCCATTTAAAATTTATCGTGTACAATGAAACAACAGAGTGATTAGGAGAAAAGCTTTTTGAAGGATTGTTAAATAATTCGGTTTGAGAGAAAAAAAATTATTACGTCAAGATTGATGCCTCAGAAGAAATAGTATTATTGAAAGAGAATGTGAAACTTGATTCTGAGTAACAAGAGACATGGATGAACGGTGAAATTGTGAAAGTCTTTCCCATATTAAATACGACTTCTCAGCTTCTGTACACACTGACACTTTAACTCAAAAGGGAAATCTTCATTTGAGATTTTTCTTCAAAATCAAAATTGATTAATTATTCTGTATTAATAAGCCTATGTTTATTATTAAATATAATTCAATGCTATTATTAAATATAATTCAATTATAAATTTTTTTTGGGGAGGAAAATTAAAAAAAAAAATGTTGATTGAATTTCAAACAATAGAAATTTATCTACAATCTACATTAGTCTGAAGAATAAGTTTCATGTTTAAATTGAACTTTATCAAATTTCTCTGATCTCTGTGAACAATAATATTTCCGTCAGCGATACAAAAACTGAATATGGATATTTTTATTCAAATATACAATAAACTGTGTACTATTATTATCAAATTTAATTATCGAATTATTTACATAATTCTCATTTTTTTCTCAAGCAATACGCCTTGCAAATACGTATATGAAACTAAACATGCGCATGTAAATTTTTTAATTTTATAATTCAAATGTTGTAATGAACATGGCTTTAACTTAAAAAAAAATTTTTCTCTTAGAGGTGAAGGAGTGAAATGAAACTGAAATTAGAGTCCAGACACAATTACATAGATAATGTCACGTGTTTCCATCTAGTTAACAGTGAAAATCTACATGTATGCATGAAATATTTCTTTGTATGTATATAATACTTTTGAAAAATATGCATTTGCTCCACTTATGCAAAGCCCGCATCGAAATAGATTTTTATTCTCAGTATTTTTAATCTCATTAGGTCATTATATTTTTAGAATTATTATTTTAAAAAAAGGTTAAAAATATGAATAAAATAAAATTATAATAAAATTATACTTTTAATAATAATTTCATTAAATTTATTAAGAATTTTATTCAATTATTTAAAAACAATTTTAATCACATTTTTCGAAAAAATTCAATTATTTCCTAAAATATTTTCATAAAATTCTTCTCAGGAATTCAATTATTTTCAATATATACAATTTTAATAAAATTTCGTGAACGTGTTTAATTATTTTTAAAAAGTATAAAATTTTTCTACAAAATTCAATTATTCTCAAAGATTTTTATACCTAACATTTTTTGTAAATTTGATTATTTTAAAAATTTTCAATTAAAAAAAAACTACATTATTTTCAAGAAATTCTTCGAAAAAATGTTATTATTTACGAAAAATTTAATAAAATTGTTTAACAGAATTAAATTTTTTATCAATAATTTTAATAAACTTTAATAATAAAAATAATAAAATTATTAACTACAATTATTAATAAACACGATTATTTTAAAACTTAAACGAAATTCTTCATAAAATTCAATTACTTTTAAAATTTTCAATAACAATTTGTTTAAAAAAATCCATTATTTTCAATAAAATTAAATAAATACTTCAAAATAATTTAATTATTTTCATTAATATAATAAAATTCTTTGCGAGAATACAATTATTTAAAAAAAATTTTATTCGAATTTTTCGAAAAAATTCAATTATTTCCTATAATATTTTGATAAAATTCTTCGAGACAATTAAATTATTATTAGAAATAATAAAATGTTCCTCAGAAATTCAATAATTAAAATTTTTTTTTATTTTTTCTAAAAAATTTAATTATTCTTAAAAGTTTGGATAAAATTCTTTGTACAATTATTTTCAAAATTTGTCAATTAAAATTATTTAAAAGAAATTAAATTATTTTTAAGAAATTCTTCAAAAAATTTAATTTTTCACCAAAAGGTGGAGACTATTAAATAAGTAAAGTGTTTTTGAAGAGCCCAAAAATAATGAAGCAAAATGCCATAAAGCAGAAGAAAAAATGTTGAATTTTAAGAAATTCGGTTTTTTGAATTTTTGATAATTTTTAATATTTTTTGATTTTTTACCAAAGGGTGTAGACTATTAAATAAGTAAAGTGTTTTTGAAGAGCCTAAAAATAATGAAGCGAAATGCCATAAAGCAGAAGAAAAAATGTTGAATTTTAAGAAATTCGGTTTTTTGATTTTGATAATTTTTAATAATTTTAGATTTTTTACCAAAGGGTGGAGACTATTCAAATAGTAATATTTTCCTTCCGAAATAGCTAATGGTAACTAATTATTATTATTTTCCGATCAAATTAAATTCCCGGCTATTCCCGGCTATTCGCAAAAAATCAATGATTTTCAATAAATTAGTTTTTAGATTCTAAAAATTTACAAATAGATAAATTAAAAACAATTAAAAAGATAGATTTTTATTCCGAGTATTTAATTTCATTCGTAAATTATATTTTTAAAATTAGATATTATTTTAGAAAAAAGTTAAAATTATGAGTATAATAAAACTATATGAGTTTAATAAAAATTGTAATAATAATTTAATTTATTATTAATTATCTAATAATTATTACCCTTCTTTTTATTTGCAATTTAAATGAAAATTATATTTTGTGCATTAAAACACACAGAATGATAAAATGCATTTCTTAATTTAGAAATTAAAAAAATATTTCCTTTATTTATCGGTTTAATTTAATTATTCTCTTTTATTTCTGCTGCTTATTTTTTTGAAAAAATTAATAACAAAATTATAATTGTCTAAAACCGCAATGTATCGAATACCTCAAACGTGTGGAGCAATAATTTACGTATAAATATAGATTACATATTTTACATTGCCTCGCTATCAAAAGATTAAGAGAAAGGGGTCTCCCCCTCCACTTTTCAATTGCCCCAGGATATGTGCACCATTAAATTCGTCCTTGAATAATTTTATTCAATGTGAATTTGTATTTTTCCTCATGTTACCAAAAAAACTCAATTTTGCACTTTTTTCTCAATTAATAAAATTAATAAAACTTCACAACATTAATTAATATATTTTTCGACTTGGTCACTAATAAATTAAATGGAATGTTAAATGAAATTTTTATTTAATATTTTTACCTGATTTGAATTGATTGATAATTATTAATCACATATTTTAATTATTATAATTAATTAATATTAATTATAATAATTAAAATTAATTATGATATTTAGAATTAATTATAATAATTGGAATTAATTGCGATATTGAGAATAATAATTTTTTTTTGCTATTGATTTAAAGAAATATGAAAAAAAGATTGTAAAACTCACCAGCGATTAGAACGAGCCAATAATTCCAACCGAAATTAAATATGAGAATGGATCCATCGACGTGCGCTACCAATGGTTCCGATGGCAACAATTTCCAGTAGATGAGATTTGTAAAGAGCAAACAGCCACCAGTGAAAATCATGCTGTATGCTCCGTAACGGGGCACCACGATCAATAAAAGGTTCATCAGTATCCACGATGCAAAACTCGTCCTTGAGAGATAAATAAATAATAGAATAATTAGTATTACACAATGAGTAATTTTCCAATTTATTTATTACTTTCATTTTATTCTAAAAGTGTTTCTCTTTCATAATTATTAATTCACATAATTAATTTAATAAAACACAGTTGTAATTCGGTTAGTAAAGCATTTAAATAATTAAAATAATTAAAATAATTTTAATAATTTAATTAATTTAAATAATAATAAATAATTTAATTCATTTAAATAATTTAAATAATTAGAAAAGTAAAATAATTTTGAAATTTCCAAAGATAAATTCGAATTTGATTTTCTATTATGCAGGTGTTTACGCTTTGCAAGAAAAAAAATAATAAATTGAACTTCAAAGGCTTTTAACTAATAAGGGATAGCATTTGTAACTGATTATGTACGTCGATCAAGATTTATAAACATTATGCGCTTGATTTAGCAAAAAGAAAAAAATATTGATTGAAGTTTATATTAGAATGTAATGCACGATCGGGACACCTGTTATTATTACACTCATGATATGATAATAATCAATTTTCCGATCACATTGTTGAGTGATTTACAATAAATTACACTCACGTATAAACCTTCTCTATTTTTTTCATGTTATTGTAAATCCTGTTGTATGAATATGATAAGATAACAATCAAGTTGCTTCTGTATAATTATAAGAACATATACGTAATTCAGAATTTTAAATCATTAATTTTAAACGAAGCGTAAAGGAAATTATTCATCCTGCCAGAATATTATTCGTAAAGTGTACATAGGCAAGAGGAACTTGTAAATAATATTGAACACGCACAATTATTTTCTGAGAAAGTCTAAGCCAATGTTTTAATGAAAAAAAAACTTCTCTCTCGTTTCAAGTGAGGAGATTATTTCACAATTGCACTTTATCGAAAATTGTCAATAATTGCAGAGCACAATGGATAATTAAGAATTTTTTTTTTTAATTACAATAACTTATGAAGAATTATTTTTTTTATTGCACACGTGTGTTGCAGTTATCTCGGAGTTTCACTCAAAAAGTTTCACTAGAATAATTTTGTTAATAATGTGACAGAGAGTCATAAACAATGTGAATTTTATGAGGTATGACTTTCCATTTCAGGTGGTACTCAAATTTCCTTCGTATGTTATTGGTGAACATAAATGGTTTTGTGATCGTATAAATATTTTGAAAAAAAATATAATAAAAAAAATTTTTTACTTTTAGAGAACGCCTCAAGAATTTTTACAGGGTTGCTACAAAAATTTAATTTTCTTTTCCCTGATTTCCAGACAAAATTTTAACTTTTTTCCGGACCATAAAAAAAATTCTAATTCAAGAATTCAAATTCAATTATTTTTTCAAGTAATAACATTTTTCACATGAATTCAATTATTTTAAAAAATGTAATAAAATTCGTTGTAAGAATTCAATTATTTTCATTAATAATAAAATATTTCATAGGATTTCAATTATTTTTAATACAATTTTAAACAAATTCCTCAAAAAATGTAATTATTTTCAAAATTTTTTTTCAAGAATTCAATTACATTTCATAAATAATGAAATTCATCGTGAAATTCAAAAATTTTCAAAATCTACTATTTTAATCAAATTTCTCAAAAGAATTCAATTATTTAAAAAAAATATAATAAAATTCTTCGCAGGATTTCAATTATTTTTAATGCAATTTTAAGTAAATTCTTCAAAAAATGTAATTATTTTCAAAAATTTTATTAAAATTCTTTGAAATAATTCAATTATTAATTATCAATTATTTTTAATAATTTTTGCAAAAGTTCCTTGAAAATTTACAAATTCATTTGTTTACAATTTAATTTTACGAAATTTCAATTATTCGGAAATTCTTCATTTAAACATTTAAAAAATAAAAACTTGAAATAATTTTTAATAAAATTCAATTAAACTTTTTCAAAAAAATTAATTATCTAAAATTTTAACTGAAATTAATTTTTAAATCAATTTTTATTATAAAATTCTACGAGAATTCAATTATTTAAATACAAACATAGATAATTTATTGAATAATTGAATGTTTCTTAAAATTGAATTGTTATACACAATTTTATCAACAAATTATTATAAATAATTGAATTCTAGTGAAATTTTTAATTTTTTTTGAAAATAATTGAATGTTCATGTAGAATTTTATCAAAATTTTTGTTTAATAATTGATTTGCTTTGGGAAATTTTATTAAAATAATAGAATATTAAAAATCATTGAATTAAGAAAAATTTTTGAAAATAATTGAAATTTTGACGTGAATTGTATTAAAATTTTTGAAAAGAATTGAATTTTATTACTTTTGAAAATAATTGAATTCTTGTAATGAAGACTATTATTTATGAAAATAATTGAATTTTGCAATGAATTTTATTAAAAGTTTCTGGAAATAATTGAATTTTGGCGAAGAAGTTTGCTATTCATTCATAAAGATAATTGAAATGTTGACGAGATTTTTTTTACATTTTTTGAAAATAATTGAATTTCTTTGATGAATTTTATTAATTTTGAAAATAATTGAATTTTTCAATGAATTTTATAAAAATTCCTGAATAGAATTGAATTTTGGTGAAGAATTTTGCTATTTATAAATATATATGTAATTGAAATGTTGACGAGAATTTTTTTTAATTTTTGAAAATAATTGAATTTCTAGAAAGAATTTTTATTATTTATTAAGATTCAATCTTTCAAAGAATTATACGTTAAAATTTTAAAAATTGAAACTATTTTCAACAGAATTGAAATTATAAATTTTCAAAAAAGTACTTTATTAAATGATTTATAAGTAATAAAAAATTCAGAATTTTCTCAGAAATTCTAAACATTTAATTTTTTTCCATTACTTTGAATAAAAATCCCTGACTTTTTCCCTGATTTCCCTGCTTTAGATTCTCTAAAGGCGTTCTTGAGGCGTTTTCTAAGAAAATTATTTTAAAGAACAGTTTTAATTTTTATAAGAAGCTGACTTCTTTTAATGTCTTACCAGAGCATTATTGTAGCGTAATATCCAGCTTCTCTGTATTTTGTGCCCCAAGAAAATCCCTCTTGGTGAAAACTGAAATATTCAACGAGTGAAACGATAGGAAACGGAGCACCACGAGCAAGTGCTTCTTTGAACATATTTCTCATCTCGTAGGGAGTTCTCCATAAAAATCTCTCATTGTACTCAACATCAGCAACATCCATGTTTAACGGTGTATCTATAGCAGAAAAGAAAATTTTATTCTACAATTTAAATTCAAAACAGGAAAATATTATAATAATAATAGTAATAAAGTTAGCCAGCAATTACGTTTGTAACTATTGTCCGAAAAAGGAATCATTTAATAGTTTCATAAAATATAAATAAATCCTAATGTTGCAGTGAGAATTGTTTGGTAACATTTTTGCAAGAAACGTAACAATGTAACAGATGAATTAAAAATTTTTTACTCAAAAAGTACCAGCTAGGAAACCTCAATGAAATATTTTGCTCTAATGTGAAATTCCCACAAAGAAAAAAAAAGCGAAAAATAATAACGAAATATCGAATAATAAAAATATAATGGACACTAAAGATGGTAATAAAAATAAAAAAGAAAATTATCGATAATAAATTCGATAAAAAGGATTGACTGAGGTCAATCAGTAAAGGAGAATATTAATAGTGTAATTGTGGGTGTTGTAATGTGAATCGTGAATCGTCATTAGTAGAGTGTGAATATTCCTTACGCCTGTAAGTGATGTTGATGTGCATCAGACCGATGTACCCGCCGATTTCTGCGGTCATCCTTTGTTTCGTGAAGGCGCTGAAGGAGCCGATAATAGTGGCGGAGGTCGTATGCCACGACGAGCCATATTGTGCAACTGTAATGTTAAATCATTTACGCAATCATGGTCATTTACTTTTATATACCTATATATACATCATCCCGTATAAATACAAAACCGCGCATAGACATAATTTCTATTTCTACGAACCTTGAATCGAGGTCCCCACAAAGAGGCTCAACGTGACTGTCAGAAATGTTGACAATTTCTGTAAAGTATCATTAACAATAATCTCATCATCTCATGTTTAAATACAGCAACAAAAATATCTTCATCTTCTTTAAAATTATTCTTTTTTATTTTCTCTTTGTTTTCATTTTTGTATTTTTCCTTCTTATCAACAAGCATTTTTTATTCAAATTAATATTTTTTTTCTTTAATTAATTAATTTCTTTAATTCTTTAATTAATACTAGCCAATTACAAATTTTTTTATTTTCAAATACAAATTTTTTGATAATTTCAGATTCAAAATTTAAAAAATCCACTTATTGAATTTAACTGTTGCAATTATTATTATTATGCAAATTACAAAATTTTTTATTTTCAAAAACAAATTTTTGGATAATTTCAGATTCAAAATCCATTTATTGACTTCAACTATGTTTCAATACCATTCTAATGAAATTCTTCGAAACAATTCAATTATTTTTATATATATAGTAAAATTCTTCGCATAAATTCAATTCAAACAATTTTAATAAAATTTCACGAAAGTATTCAATTATTTTAAAAATTTCTTTAAAAAAATTTAATTAATTCCTAATATTTTGATAAAATTCTTTAAAGCAATTCAATTATTTTTATAAATAGTCAAATTCTTCGCAGGAATTCAATCAAAACAATTTTAATAAAATTTCACGAAAGGATTCAATTATTTAAAATAATTTTTTGAAAAAATCCAATTATTTCCTAATATTTTCATAAAATTCTTCAAAACAATTAAATTATTTTTATAAATAGTCAAATTCTTCGCAGAAATTCAATAAAAATAATTTTAATAAACTTTCACGAAAGGATTCAATTATTTCCTAATATTTTCATAAAATTCTTCAAAAACAATTCAATTATTTTTATATATTAGTAAAATTCTTCGCAATAAATTGAGTTACATTTTTGTAAATAATAAAATTCTTCTCAGGAATTCAATTATTTTCAATAAAACTTGAAAAAGATTTCTCGAAAGGATTCAATTATTTTTTTAAATTTGTGAAATAATTTTTCTGAAAAATTCAATTCTCAAAAGCTTTTGATAACATTTTTTAAAAGAATACAATTATTTTTATAACAGATAAATTTCTTTGTATAAAAAATTGTGAAAAACTGTCAAATTATTTCCAGTAAAATTTCTAAAAAATTTCTCCGAAGAATTCAATTATTTTCGAAAAATTGTATTTATATGGAGAAAATTCACTTATTTTCCAAAAAAAAGTTTGTAAAATTCAATAATCAAATTATTAATTACAATTATTAATTGTACACGATTATTTTTAAAAGTTTTAAAATAAATTCTTCGTAAAATTAAATTATTTTCATAATTTTCAATGGAAATTATTTAAAAATACTTTTATTTTCAATAAACTTACAGAAATTGTTTAATAGAATTTAATTTTATATCCATAATTTAAGAATAAAATTATTCATTATAATTAATAAAAAAATCGATAATATTCGAAAAATTAAAGAATTTCTTTAAAAAATTACAAATAATTTCAATATTTTAATTAAATTCCTTGAATGAATTTCAATTATTTATAAGAATTGAAAAGAAATCTGAGAATTTAATTATTTTATGAAAATTTTAATCGATAAAATTATCGATAATATTAATAAAATTTAAGAATAAAATTATTCATTACAATTATTAACAAAATCGATAATATTCGAAAAATTAAAGAATTTCTTTGAAAAATTTCAATTAATTTCAATATTTTAATAAAATTCCTTGAATTTTCAATTATTTATAAAAATTGTAATAAAATTCGAAAAATGTAATTATTTTCTAAAAATTTTAATAAAATTCAATAATCAAATATTTAATTACAATTATTAAATTCGATTGTTTTCAAATTTTTCCATAAAATTCTTCGCAAGAATTGAATAATTTTCAATAAATAAATATCAAAAAACATTTTCTATTCAAATCAATATGTTTTTCTTTAATTTACGATAAAATAAAAAAATTCCTGTATATTTTTAAATTTTCTTTTATTTACATTCGATATTTAAAAAAGATGAAAATATAAATTTATGAAAAAAGTAAAAAAGAATTTTATAAACTAATGAAAAGTAAACAAAATTTTTTCCGAACTAATTTAAATAAAAAAAAAATTATTTAAAGAAATTAAACAAATGTTTATGAAATAATTCTTTTGATTTGGATTATCTATTTTTAAACATTATTATAAAACTTCTTATTGCTTCTTCTTTTCTTTAAATAATTGAGTGAATTGTAGACGGATAATATATAATTATTCTCGCGTAATAACGATTGAATAATCCTTGTCAAATAATTGATATTACATGGAAAGAAAACAAAGAGAAATAAAATGGATTTCGTTTCAGTGAATCATATAGCGAGCATATACATAATATAAAATACAATGAATCTTATCTCTCTCGCGGTATTACAATAAAAAAAGAAACACTTTTTAACAAAAGAAAAAAAAACCGATAAATTATTAATTCAGTAAAATAAAATACTATGTCAATATTTATTTTTATATTTATTTAGAATTAAATATTAAATGTTTAAATAACACTATTTATTTAAATAAAGAAATTTAAAGAAAATATATTAATACTATAATAAAATAATTCAATTTAAAATTATGACGCGAGGTCGAAAAGTTGAATCTCAATAAAAGAGGAATAAGTTTTTAATATTTATGTTTGTAAATATAATGAAAAAATAGAAAAAGAAAAAATAAGAAAGAAAGAAAAAGGAAAGAAAAAAAGAACAAAAGGATAATATAATTTATGAATTATTAAAGATTTTATAAAAATAAAAAAGTATAAAGAAGGCAATAAAATATTGAATAGAGGAATATTTAATAAATAATAAATAAAAATAATATATAAAAATAAATAACAAAAATGTATAAATACCAATAAAAAAAAAGAAAATCATGTTATAAAATAAATTATTAATAATTAATAATTAATAAAGAAATAAAAAATATTAAAAAAAAGATTTTAACAAGGATTCATAGAAGAATAAATCTTCAAGTGTCAAGAGACAAGAGAGCGTGGATAATCAGAAGGTCGTATATAGCTAATGGAAGTTCGTGACTCACCTCCTTGCGAATACCAGGGAAAATAATGAGGAACGCAGTGAATATCGTGCAGAATATCACGAAGATAGTGATGAGTCGCACATCGCCAGTGACGGGAGTCCGATTAGTATAACTGTACAATGTTGGGCCTCCATCATTACGAAACGCTCCGAACCATCCCTTCATTTTTCAATCTGCGAAAAAAAACAATTTTCATATCAATCATCTTAATCTTTTCTTGTATACATATAATTAGCCACTATTTGTCAAAGCAATTACGTCGTTTACTTTTAACACTCAATTTCTTTTTCTTTTTCTTCCCAAAACCTATAAAAAAAATCAGAAGGGTTGCCACAAAAGAATTAATTTTCCTTTTCCCTGATTTCCAAACTTTTTCCTGACTGATTTTGACTTTTTCCCTGACTCTAAAGAGTATTCTGATTCACTTTACAAATTAATAGATACACTTAACAAATTTTCTATTACATTTATTTACCAATTTTTTAATTGTAAAATTATTCGAAAACATCAAAAACTTCTTTTTTAAATAAATATTTAATCATTATTATTTTTTCGTACGAATTAAAATTCTTAAAAAGATTCAAATTCAAACCTTTTGAAATTCAATAACTGATAAAAATATTATTGTAAAACATGAAAAAATGGATCACTCCGAGTCGAAGACTCGGAGTAATCGATTTCTTCATGTTTTATAATAATTTCAATTTCAATAAAATTTTTTAAACAAAAAATACAATATTTACAAAAATTTAAATAAAATTCTTCGCAAGAATTCAATTATTTTTACAAGTAATAAAATTTTTCAATTGAATTCAATTATTTTAAAAAATGTAATAAAATACGTTGTAAAAATTCAATTATTTTCATAAATAATAAAATTTTTTCAAAAATAACGAAATCCATCACTGAAATACAAATATTTTCAAAATCTACTATTTTAATAAAATTTCTCAAAAGAATTCGATGATTTAAAAAAAATGTAATAAAATTCTTCGTAAGAATTTAATTATTTCCATAAATAATAAAATTCTTCACGGTATTTCAATTATTTTTAATGCAATTTTAATAAAATTCTTCGCAAGAAATCAATTATTTTTAAAAATAATAAAATTTTTCCCAAAAATTCAATTATTTTCAAAAATGTAATAAAATTCGTTGTAAGAATTCAATTATTTTCATAAAAAAAAATTTTTCATAAGATTTCAATAATTTTTAATACAATTTTAAATGAATTCCTCGAAAAATGTAATTATTTTCAAAAATTGTATTAAAATTCTTTAAAATCAATTTAATTATCCGTTAGGTATCAATTATTTTCAATAATTTTTGCAAAAGTTCCTTGAGAATTTTCAAATCCATTTGCTTACAATTTAATTTTACGAAATTTCAATTATTCGGAAATTCCTCAATTAAATATTTAGAAAATATAAAAATTGAAATAATTTCAAAGAAAATTCAATTAAACTTTTTCAAAAAAATTAGCTATTTCTAAAATTTTAACTAAAATTCATTTTTAAATCAATTTTTATTAGAAAATTCTACGAGAATTCAATTATTTAAATCCAAAAATAAATAATTTATTGAATAATAGAATGATTCTTAAAATTGAATTCGCAAAAAGAATTTTACCAAAAACTTTTTAAATAATTAAATTATTTCGACGAATTTTAATGAAATTTTGAAGTATAATTACATTTTTCGAGGAGTTCGATTAAAATTGTATTAAAAATCACTGAAATTCTACATAATAATTTTTTTTAAATGGAATGAATGAAAAATTGAAAATGAAAAATTTATGAAGATAATTGAATTTCTGTAAAAAATTTTATTATTTATGAAAATAATTGAATTATTGCGAAGAAATTTGTAAAAAATTTGTAAATAATTGAAATTTTGGACAAGAATTTTATTTAAATTCTTGAAAACAATTATTAATTTTGCAGAAGAATTTTATTATTTTTAAAGATATTTGAAATTTTGACTAAAATTTAAAAAAATGTTGAACATATTTGAATTTCTGCGTAAAATTGTATTACTTTTGAAAATAATTGAATTTCTACAATCATTTGTAACTTCTCAAAAATTCAATTTTTTTTCCAATACTTTAATAAAAATTCCTGACTTTTCTCTGACTAATTCTACTTTCCCTAACTTTTCCCTGAATTCCCTGGCCTGTGGCAACCCTGCTCAATTTTCTTTTTTTCTTTTTATTCAAACAACTTAAAACACTCAATTTTGTTTTTTCTTTTTCTTCAAAAAAAATTATCAAAACCATCGATTTAAAATTAGGAATTATTTTTTACAAACACATTTTGTGCTTTGCAAAATTGAAAGACTTGAGCTTTAGGCAGCTTCTTAAAAAATATATAACTTTAAAATTTAATTATGAAAATTAAAATTAAATGGGTGCCAGTTAACAAATATTTAATTTTAAAATTTAATAATTAAAATTAAGTGGATGCCAGTTTCAGCTTCATTAAAAGAGAATAGAATAATTATAGCGAACATTAATCAATGCTGAAGAATAGAATTACTTGAAGGACTTTTTTGTAATGAAGCGAAAGTACTTAGCAAAATTAATATGTTATAAGAAGAATCAGTTTTTGTCAAAAACTTTATCAAAAATCAGTTTTTGTCAAAAATTGTACCAAAAATCAGTTTTTGTCATTAGACAGGATAGAAGAAGTGGTTCACAAGATGATACAGTTTTTTTAAGTTCAGAAGAATCACCAAATCAATTGTGGAAAAATAAACAAAAGGGGATAAAGACAAAGAAACAAAAAGAGAATTAATATAAAGAAACAGAAAGAGAATAAAAATATAGAAACAAAAAGAGGATAAAGACAAAGAAACAAACACAGGACAATGATAAAGAATCAAAAAGAGGATAAAGTTAAAGAATCAAAAAGAGGACAATGATAAAGAATCAAAAAAAGGATAAAGATAAAAGAAACAAAAAGAGGAGAATGATAAAGAATCAAAAAGAAGATAAACATAAAAGAAACAAAACTATTAGAAGAAGTTTGAAAGCTGCTGAAGATTTGAAAGGACCAGCAGAAAGTAAAAATAACGATTAAGGATGAGTCGTACAGAAAAGATCATGTTTTATAAAGAAGTCAGAAGCAGAAAGGTGATAACCACCAACCAAGAATAGACTAACATGAAGAAATCGGGACGTATAATAAATATTCGTTTTGTAATGCCTTATCAGGAGGAGAGTAATGATCCCTAGATGTCATCAAAACTACAACTATGGTTATGGCAAAACCTGTCAGACGTTTGCTATACAAGACGGTCGCCAAATCGCCAATATAGCAGATCAGAATACAACTACTTCGTCTGTAAGGAGCAGCAAAACAAAAAAAAAAAAAAAACTACAACGTCCAGTGGAGGATACGAAGCCCTTGAGGAAGCAAAAGAAACCACAACAAACAAAAAGAAATAGAACAGGAAGGAAGGCAACGAAGGATAAACAGTCGCCTAAGTGGCGAAACCCACAGACGGGCATTAGTTCCGTAGATAAATTCACCATCCTAATACTATACCTAGTAAAACCAAAAAAGTATTTTAACTTGTTTTAACTTACTTTTTACTTACTTTAATACTTTTTACAGACGGGACAAATTTTTCAATTCCTCTTACTACTATTTCTGAGTGGTGATACGAACACCTACAATTACTATCTAAAATGGTTTCTATTCGGAAAAAAATAGACGAAAGGGAGCAAATTCAGAATCAATTTCTAAAATACCATTCAAGGCTGACACTACATTCAGATCTTTCTCTTTGTCAACTCTTATTTGGTTTCCAGAGAAACACTGAATACGATTTCTGCTAAACTTTTTCGACCTAAAGTCCACCACTAATCACGATCGAATCGAAAACCATCGAATAGATTTAAAAAAAAAGGATTTTGATTTATGTACCCAAAGAAAAATTTGTTTAGTTCAAGTTTTAACGATTACTTGACTATTATCAAGTAAATAGCAAATAGTTTTACTAATAAATAGTAATTTCTATACCAATTTATTAATAAAATTTACTAATTCCAAAGCAAAAAGTCAGTCACTGATTCAAATTAATAAACATTTTTACTAATTCAAATTTAGAGAGTAAAAATATTGTTTCAAATACAATTTACTTGATATAAATAAAAATTATTTCATCCATACCCAACATTTATTTGACAGACAAGCAATCGGTTATTCGAATCAAATAAATCGCTTCGGTGTGCAATAATTTGAAGCAAAATGAGATAAATTTAATTAAAAAGAGTTATAATCAACAAATTATAATAACAATAAATTGCCGAGGGTATTCAGAAATTTTAAAGTTGCGAGCAAAAGTTGTAGTCTCCTAAAGAGAGAATACAGAAAAGAAAAACAAAAAGAGACAATTAATTTTATATTATGTAATTAATGTTAAACACTTTTTTTTTCAAATACAAAAAATCTACAAAAGAATCAAAAAGAAAAGCATTAATTAGTAGAAAAATTAATGTCTGTTACATCCTAGAGTGATGAAATTTTATAAGCATAGAAAAAATCTTTCATCATCTCTAACGCATGTGGCCTCTGGGCAATGGACCAGAACCGGAAGATGTCTTTATAAAAATTTCGAAATCTTCTTTATACTAATGGTAAATATTCAACACTGCTATAAATTTGTTCGATTTTCTAAATTCTTTTGAACACGAAAAATTCCTTTTTTTTGTTAATATTAGCACATAGTTTCAAAATTTTAATTAGTAAAAACTAAAAATGTTTATTAATTTTAATTAGTAAGTGACTTTTTGCTTTTTAATTAGTAAAATTTAATAATAAATAACTAATTAGTAAAATTTACTAATTCGAGAGCAAAACGTCAGTCACTAATTTAAATTGGCAAATAGTAATTTCTACTACTCTCTAGAATTTTAATTAGTGATTAATTATTATTATTTGAATATTATTTCATAGTTTTCAATTTATTTTTGAATTATTATTATTATTAACTCTATTATCATTAAAAAATAATAATCCATAAACATATTGAAAGAAAAATATATGACAAATGAATAATATAATAAAAATAATAATAACCCTGATTTCGTAGGAATAAAAAAATTTTTCTGAGTAAACAATTTTTAAAAAAAGTGAAGATTTAAATCAATAAAATATAATAATTTAAAGAAACAACGTAAATCATGAAAAAAAATTCCTGTTTGAGCATTCATTAAGAACTTTTTTAAAGACCCTGTGTTGTATGTGGTCTTAACCTTCACCGCGTCCCCGAGCATTCCTAATAACCTAGGTTTCACTGTAATAATAAATTACGATATTGTAATGATAATAATATGCGCATATTATGATATAATCTCTTTTATCTAATAACATCTATCCAATATTATTAAATATGCAAAAATTCTGTGCCTGCTTTTTAACAATATTTAAATACAAACGTTGCTATTATTTCTATAATCATTGTTAATGAAATATAACAAATGTTATTATAACTAATATTAGTTCAATAAAAAATTTTTTTTTTTATTTATTACTATTATTATTTATAGTATTATTATTATTTATAGCATTGTTATTATTATTGATATTGTTATTTATAGTATTGTTATTATAATTAAATTATTATAACTAATATTAGTTAAAAAAAAAAACTAAAACATCTTTTATTTATTACTATTAATATTATTATTGTCATTGTTATAATCATTTTCTTTGTTTTTCCAATTATTTCGTAATAAAAGACCTAAATACGTTTTGATTGTAAAACAGTGTAACAATTATTTTATATTATTTTTTTCCTGTTATAAAATAATGATGAGCTATACTAAAAAGAAACTTTTATTACATCAACAAAAAAAAAGATACTATAGTTGCAATTAAAAAAAAAAAGAACAAATGTTGACTAATTCTCCTGTGCATAGATCATTAGGGAATCTTTCGGAGTGATTATGACTTAATTAATCATTAAAAACTGCAACCTTGCCTTCCTAATAAAAATGCATGAACAACACCATTCCCAGAATCACCTCCTCATTAATTTTTTTTTTCTTTCCTTTGACTCGTAAAATTGAGTCCTTGACAAAAATGCCCTTGATTTCTAGGAGAGAATGTGAACTGGCCTTTCAAAAAACACAAAAAAAAAAGAAAACTGAAAAAAACAATGAGGTTCTTACAATTTTTTTTTATCTCCCTGTTATTCAGAAGAAACCAATTACGCACTTTGAAGTTCAAACATCGTTTATAGTTTCAAAATAGGAACTACACAATTTACAAATAGGATTCGAAGAAGGTTCGGAATCACTTCACTATAGTTTCACTTTGTTTGTATTAATAAATAAAATATTTTTCGTGTTTTATAATTTAATTTAAATTTAACATTATTTATTTTAATTTAAATACGATTTTATAATTTATTTTAAAACTAATTTTATGATTCTGTTTTATGGAATCTTTTTTCTGCGGTACTAAAATTAATGCACTGGGAAAATACACTTGACAACAGTTGAGGACAGTTTGGGACAGTTGGGGGAAGATGTATTTTTTAAAATTCTTTTTGTCTCAACGAAACACGTCTCGCACTAACACCACTTTCCTCGACTGGCATAATAATGATTGACAATAATGAAAAATCATGGTTCGCGCACCAGGACTAATAGAGAGTATGTATATGTAGGAGATTAAATAAATTTATTCGTGCTACATCCTCGACGAACTGAAATCGTCTGTGAAACATGAATTGTGGATTGCACGAACACCAATATCTGATATAAATATATATACATATATATTCGATCTTCACTTATAAGTGTTGTATACACTTTGGGACTTCCCCCCTTTTTGCTTCTCGAACGGCAGGTAAAAGTCGAAGGAAAGGTCACTCGCACGGGGACCGCATCCGTGTACGTGTCATCGGTCAAGTAAAAATTCCTGCTTTTATCAATAGAAATTATTATAAACATTCCTCGAAACTAGAGAACCCACCCATTTCATATATTATTATGTAATAAGGAAAAGGAATTATTTATTATTCTATTTAGCATAATTCTCCTTTGGATTATTCCTCCTACAACATTATAGTTTTCACGAAAGTATTAAATTGGTACTGAAGTCACGTCAAATTGATAACAAAAATTTGGATCAATTTTTTATTAAATTGACACTGAAGTGATAACAAATTGATACCAAAAATTTGAATCAATTTTCTATTAAATTGGTACTGAAGTAATATCAAATTGATACCAAAATTTGGATCAATTTTCTATTAAATTGGTACTGAAGTGATATCAAATTGATACCAAAAAATTGAATCAATTCTTTATCTGATCCATATTTTTGGTAAAAATTCGTTGCAATTTGACACTTTTAAGTTAAGAACAAGTGGCTTTTTGAATAGTAATAATTTTACCTAATAATTTTGGCCAATAGTTCTTGAACTTTACTGATCTTTTAGCATAACACTGTAAAAACAAAGGTACGAATTTAGTACCAATTTTGGTACTAAATCGTAATTTGTTTTAATTTTAATACCGAAATCAGGTCTAATTTAGAACCTCTTCTTAAATATGGTTGTTAAACATAATTTGGAAGAATTTTTATTTTTTATAATTCTTGTCACCATTTTTTGAAATTTTTGAAGTTATTCCCCGTTGAGCATAACTCTCACTTGTTCTTGTTTGACATAATCAGGACTCTAAAACTCAATTATTATTTTCAAGAATTTATAACTAAAGTTCTTCTTTAAATAGATTATTTTTAATAATTTTCGAAAAAGTTCTTTGAGAATTTTCAAATCTATTTGTTTAGAATATTCAATTTTGCGAAATTTCAATTATTCGTAAATTCTTCAACTAAATAAATATTAGAAAATAAAAACTTCGAAAAATTTCGAAAAAAAATCCGCAATTATACTTTTACAACAAAATTTATTTCAAAATTCAATTATTTTTAAAAATTCACGCTCTAATGTTTTTAATATTCAATTATAATCTAAAATTTTAACTGAAATTAAATTTTAAATCAATTTTTATTAGAAAATTCTACTAGAATATTCAATTATTTAAATACAGAAATAAATAATTTATTGAATAATTCAATGTTTCTTGAAATTCAATTCCGATAAAGAATTTTATCAACAAATTTTTAAATAATTGAATTCTCTCGACGAATTTTAATAAAATTTAAAAAAAAATAATTGAAATTCTGCGATGAGTTTTATTATTCGTGCGAAAATAATTAAATCCCTTCAATTTCTTGAAAATATTGGAGTTTTTTTTAAAATAATTTTTACTGAAAATTTTGAAAGTAAAAATAATGTAATTTTTTTAAATAGGTACTTTATTTGAAAATTTTGAAAATAATTGAAACTTACAATGACTTTTATTAAAAACTTTTGAGAACAATTAAATTGTTTAGAAAAATTTTACTACAATTTTTAAAAATAATTGAATTTCTGCGATGAGTTTTAATATTTGTACAAAAATAATTGAATCCTTCAGAAGAATTTTATTATTTTTGAACAATATTTAATTTTTACGAAGAATATAATTGAAAATCATAGAATTTATGCAATAATTTTGCAACTTTTCTAAAATTAGATTTTTTTTTCTTGTGTTCAACTAAAATTTTTCCAAAAATGCATTTTTAATAATTTTTGCAAAAGTTTTTTGAGAATTTTCAAATTCATTTCTTTAAAATTCAATTTTTGTATGAATTCGATTAAAATTGTACTAAAAAATAATTAAAATTCTGCGATGAGTTTTATTATTTGTGCGAAAATAATTGAATTCCTAAGAAGAATTTTATTTTTTAACAATATTTGAAATCCCTGTAAAAATTGTATTATTTATGAAAATAATTGAATGATTGCAAAGAAATTTATAAAAAAAAATTGTAAATAATTGAATTCCTGTGAAATTTTTATTATTTTATAAAAATAATTAAACATTTTGCTTAGAATTTCATTAAATTTTTTTTTAAATAATTGAATTCATTTGGAAAATTTGATTAAAACAGTAGATATTAAAAATCATGGAATTCAAAAAAATAATTGAAATTTTGCCAAAAATTGTATTAAAATGTTTGAAAATAATTGAGTTTTGAAGGAAGAATTTAATTATTTCTAAAAATAATTGAAATTTTGAAGAGAATTTAAAAAATTTTTTGAACAAATTGACAAATTTAGGACAATAATTTATGATTATGATTTGATCCACATTTTTGTTATCAATTCGTTGCAATTTGATATTTTCAAGTTATAACAGTGATGCAATTTAGCAGATTTTAATTTAATAAATTAAAATTTACTGATTATTAATTTACTAATTTGAATTAGTAAAATTTACTAATAATTTAGTAGAAATTACTATTTATTAGTCAAATTTACTGATTTAAAAGCAAAAAAATCAGTTACTGGATTCTAATTAGTAAACATTTTTACTAATACAAATTTAGAGAGTAAATAAATTTGTAAAATGTGATTATTCCTAATAATAATTGTGTCAAAAAATAATTATGCTTTGGGTAAATTATACCAAATAAGAAATACAATAATTTTTTTTTGCCTGAATAGTTATTATAGTAGTATTATAATAATTATATTATTACAAATTTAATTACAATTATTATTCAATTATCATAATATATTATTTATTCATAAATAATAAATTAATTGTTTTATAGTATTATAAAAGAGAAAACTCTTTTACACCCCTCTTGATTGACCTTCAAATTTTCTACCAAGATTCATGGACTTAACTCCCCCAGAATTCCACTAAATCGGGGTTCCAATGTAAAATATTCCTTAAATTGTAAATTTGTAATAATAAATGAATTAATCTAAGATTTCGATTCATTTTTTTTCATAACGAATTCTCATTTTTTGTAACAGACTTTTTTTCCGCAAATAATCCAAATTTCTAAATATTATATTTTTACAAAAAATGTTATCACAGTAATAATATTAAAGACGAGAGAAAAGAAAAATAAATTGACATTACTTAAATCCACTGGCAATATAAGAAATTTCCGAAAATTTATCATCTCGTTCCGGGAGTCTTTTTATCACGATCTGGAGTAAAAATCATTTGAGATTGAACTTTTTCGTAATTTTTTTTTTTTTTTTTTTATTATTTTTTGGAAATGCACGTAAATCACGCACGTGCACCTGTAATCACCGAGAAAACACGAATATGAGAGCTACCAGGATCAGGCAAAAGTAGCTCAAAGACTGAGCTCAAGTAGGTTAACAGGTTTCCAGTTGAAAGTGGCCTCTGTTGGAAGGTAGAGTGCTCCCGCACAGAGAGTGGGGGGCAATGGGCCTTTAACAAGTGAAAGAAAAGTGGGGGGCAAAAACACAACACATATATTCTAAAGAAGAGTTTTAAATCACGTTAATGAACGACGATTATTCCAAGGATCATGAGGCTCAGCAACTGCAACTAGAGACAATTCAATTCATACAATATTTTCTTATTACAATATTTATACAAACGAATTGATCAATTTTTAATTAACGGAGAAAATTAGTTTATGCTCCATTGAGTCGATGACCTTATTTTTAAGGATTGTCAATTCACTTATAATGAGGTTTGACCTTTTTTTTCTTCTAGCTACTTTGATTTTGTTTCCTTGTTTGAAAATTAAATAATAAAGGTGATCGAAACGAGTTCAATGCTATTATTTTTATTTTATATTTTCATTAAAATGATTTTCTATTAAAATTACTTTTTCTTTCATTTAATGGATCTTTAACATTCACCGAGGCATTTACATTTTGTTACAGGGTTACCACAAAAAATTAATTTTTTCTCCCTGACTTTTCAAACTTTTTCCTGACTGATTTTGACTTTTTTCCTGACCCTAAAGAATATTTTAATTCACTCTAAAAATTATTAGATACTTAAAAACTTTAAAATACTTATTAAAAATTAAAAAAAAATACTTATTTTTCCGTAGAAATTAAAATTCTTCAAAATATTCAAATTCCAACAAAAATTTTAATTAAATTCTTCGCAAGAATTCAATTATTTTTACAAGTAATAAAATTTTTCACATGAATTCACTTATTTAAAGAATGTAATAAAATTCGTTGGAAGAATTCAATTATTTTCATAAATAACAAAATTTTTCATAGTATTTCAATTATTTATAATGCAATTTTTAAATGAATTCCTCGAAAAATGTAATTTTCAAAACATTTTTGAAAGAATTCAATTACATTTCATAAATAATGAAATTCATCGTTGAAATTAAATTATTTTCAAAATCTACTATTTTAATAAAATTTGTCAAAAGAATTCAATTTTCTAAAAAAATTTTAATAAAATTCGTTGCAAGAATTCAATTATTTTTATATAAATAATAAAATTCTTCACAGGATTTCAATTATTTTAAAAAATGTAATAAAAATTTATTGCAAGAATTCAATTATTTTTAATGCAATTTTAATAAAATTTTTCGCAATAATTCAATTTATTTTTACAAGTAATAAAAATTTTCACATGAATTCAATTATTTTTTTTTAAAAAAGTAATAAAATTCGTTGCAAGAATTCAATTATTTTTATATAAATAATAAAATTCTTCACAGGATTTCAATTATTTTAAGAAAATGTAATAAAAATTCATTGCAAGAATTCAATTATTCTCCTAAATGATACAATTCTTTACAGGATTTCAATTATTTTTAATGCAATTTTAAGTAAATTATTCGAAAAATGTAATGATTTTGAAAAATTGTATTAATATTCTTTGAAATAATTCAATTATTAATTATCAATTATTTTTAATAATTATTGCAAAAGTTCTTTGTGAATTTTCAAATCGATTTGTTTACAATTTAATTTTACGAAATTTTGATTATGTATTCAAAAATTCTTCCAATTAAATATTTAGAAAATAGAAACTTGAAATAATTTTTAAAAAAATTCAATTAAACTTTTTCAAAAAAATGAATTTTATTATCTAAAATTTTAACTGAAATTAATTTTTAAATTAATTTTTATTATAAAATTCTACGAGAATTCAATAATTTTAAATACAAAAAAAAATTTATTGAATAATTGAATTTTTCTTAAAATTGAATTCTTATAAAGTACTTTATTAACAAATTTTTATATAATTGAATTATTTCGATGAATTTTAATGAAATTTTCAAGAATAATTACATTTTTCGAGGTATTCGATTAAAATTGTATTATTAATCATTGAAATTCTGCAATGAGTTTTATTATTTATGAAAATAATTGAATTACTACAAAGATTTTAATGCCAAATTTGAAAACATTTGATTTTTCGAAAAAATTAATGAAAATTCTGTTGTAAATAATTGAATTTCTGTAAAATTTATATTTTTTTTTTTTTTGAAAATAATTGAATTTTGGTGTAGAATTTTATCAAAATTTTTGTTTAATAATTGAATTGTTTTGGGGAATTTTATTAAAATAGTAGAATATTGAAAATCATTAAATTATGAAAATTTTTTGGAAATTATTGAAATTTTAACATAAATTTTATTAAAATTTTCAAAAATAATTGAATTTTGTCAAAGAATTTTCCTATTCATTTATAAATATAATTGAAATGTTGACAATTTTTTTTAGATTTTTTGAAGATAATTGAATTTCTACGATGAATTTTATTAATTTTGAAAATAATTGAATTCTTGTGATGAATATTGTTATTTTTAAAATAGTTGAATTTCGCAATGAATTTTTTTTAATTATTGAAAATAATTGATTTTTTTTGAAGAATTTTATTAAAATAGTAGAATGGAGGAAAATTTTTGAAAATAATTGAAATTTTGATTAGAATTTTTCTTAATTTTTGAACATAATTGAATTTTTGCGAAGAATTTTATTACTTTTGAAAATAATTGAATTTCTGCATCTTTTTTGGAACATAAGTAAAACTGTTATTAAGATAATTTGAAGAATCTTATTCGAACTCATAAAACACTAATCAGAACTCATATAGAAATTTAAATTATGAAATGGACATAGGATTATAAATAAAATATTATGGTATACAACGTTTAACAAAAAAAAAAAAAAAAAAGAATAAGTAAAAATTACAGTCGCACTATTATTGTTGAGAAAGTAAATGGTTTTTAGACTGTGTATTATTATTGATAGTAAAGAAAAAAAATTAATGACATTTCCAGTCATTTACGCGGACTGGTGTGTAAGCATGTGGGCTTAAAGATCCATTTTCCATCTGTAGAATTCACGATTAAGTGCACACAGAAGACGAAATGTAACACTTGTCCATAGTTAAGAAAGCAGGAAGTTAGATTATAAAACCTATTCCTTAAGAGTTTTATTATTATAGTTTCAAGCAGTCAAGTTGCAACATCTTCCAAGTTTTAACCGTGAGACAATTATATTCAATTATTTATATTAAATAATTATTATTTATTATTTTTAAACGATTCAGAAATAATTACTAGTTCAAATCTTTCAAACGATCCGATAATTCCCTTTTATTGTTTTTGTTTTCAGTTTTTCTCTTATTTTACTCTCTAAATCTATTTTAGTCACTTTTGACTAATTAGAACAATTTTTTTGGTTTAATTTCTTTTAATTAGTTAACAATTGTCTAAAATTTGTCTAAACAATAATTTTCTATTTTTATACCATTATCCACCGTTCTGCTATTATTTTTGTTATTCTAAATTCCTTTGTTTTATTATTTATTTATTTATTAAGATATAAATAGTTTTTTAGACAAAGTATTTTTCACCTAAAATAGTTTTTAGTAAAAATTGCTATTCGTTAGAATTATTATCGGATTATAAACACACTTTTGCAACGCTTTTAAATCGTTAAATTGAAGTTAAAAATTCCCACCCTAGGGAATCGAACCCTCGACACGCGGGTGGAACATGCAAGCGCTTAACGACCACGACCACCGCGCATTCGAGAATATTTCTTCAGCCCAACGATGTAAAGTACCACATTTCTGCCAAAAATGTACATTTTTCAAAATATTACCACCAAGAACCAATTATTCGAAAACTGAAGATGAATTATAAGTGGAAAATTTTCATTAATAGAGAAAAATAAATCTTTTTCGGAGTGATACCATATATGGGGGGTTTAGCGCGGTATCTTTTGAAGTGCTACTGGCACGTTTACGGGAAATTAAGGTGTATATAATGGGGAGTGGGGGAGGGGCTTGAGGTAACAGCAATAACTTTTGCTATTTTGAGAATTCTAATTTTGGTACAAGTGATGCCATACTTCACTATAGCAGCACAAGCGGCGCACCATCACGAGAATTATTCTAACCGAGAAAATCTTGTTGCGCAGTCGCCTAAGCACATTGGCCACCTAAACTACCACTGCCTACCATCCCTTCAAGGTAAAACAAAATTTTGCATGAATTTGCATTTTTCTTTTCTTCACTTCCGAAAAGAAAGAAAGAAAAAAAAAATTATCTTTCAAATTCCCTCCCTCTTCACTCTTCACCCCTTTAAATTTAGTAAAATTTTAAAAAACTAAATAGAGTGAAGTTTATATTTACAAAAAAATCTTTTAATAAAAAGATTTTTCAATTGGTTTTTTTATTTCCGGGTTGAAAATTTAAAAAAAAAAGTTAGTGCTATAAGTGAGTGAAGAATTTTTTGAAAATTCAGAAGTGAAAATTCGTCGTACCATAAAAGGTTTGTGGGTTGTTTCCGCCTATGTTTAAAAATACTCGGCAACCATCGATGATTAGGTGGTAACATTTTCTAGTTTATTTTACACAATTTCTTCTATTTTTTTTTGTAAAAAATACTGTTGTCATTAAAAAATATTGTTGTATTTAAAAAATACTGTTGTATTTAAAAAATACTGTTGTATTTAAAAAACACTGTTGTTTGGTTTTTTAGTAAAAAAAAATGTTACTTTCTTCTTTAACAAAGTTTTATTTTTTTTTCTTTTATAAAAACAAGATTTCATTCCCTGGAAAATTCTCTTTGTTGGAATATAAAAGTTATTGTTTGAACATTTTGATAATAAATAAATAAAAATATTATGAATTAATTGATATTGGTAACAGAATAATAGAATTAAAGTAACCAAAGAACAAATAGCAGTATTAGCAAGACTAGTATAAAAATTATTAAAAAATTGATTGTAAAAATTGTTTAAATAAATTAGTTGAAAAATTTTAAACAAATAATTGTCTAAATGTTTCCTTTATCAAAACACTGACAGTGCTATTCGACTCAAAGTGGAAAATTACTAATTACTAATTACTAATTACTGATATAAAAAACTGTTATTTTAATTGTTTAAATAATTGTTTTCTATAAACAAATTCTTATCCTCAAGAAATTAATCGGTTTTATTTAAAATTTTCAAAAAGTCATCAATAAAGTATTTTTTGAGGATCGAATGACACTGTTAGTTTTTTCTATAGTCGAGCTACACGCAATTTGTTTAAATAATTGTTTAAACAATTAAAACAATTTTCTTAGAAAAATTTTTAAATATTTTTTAAAAATATTTTTTAACAATAGATTTGAAAGGTGATGTTTTTTAACATAAGCAAACTTTACAAATATTTTGTTTAAACAATTGCAACAAAACTTTGTTTTATTTCCAATTTTTTTTAGAAGTTAATTTAAATTTTAAATCTATTGCATTGTGTAAAAAGAAGAAAACTATTTTTTTTTACTGTTTAATGAAAAATTAAACTTCTTTTTGGTTTTTCATGATAAAAAAATTCTTTTAATTGTTTTTTACATGGGGGGGGGGGGATTTTTTAATTGTATTAGAAATGCCCCACGAATTCTGCAGCAAAATTACAAAAAAAGACGATAATGAAATTTACACGTAAATCTTTAAACGGAGCATGGGCCAAAATTGGTTTTTATTAAGACGTGATGAAAAGTGAATAAATATTTACTTTGCTTGAAATAATCCTTCCTCCTGGTTTTTCTATATAGTAAAACATCCGCGTGTGTCTTTCTTTATAAACGCGCGCTACATTTTTACATTTGACGGAATTGTGATAAACAGATTTACTCATCAAAACTAATTTTATGTTTTACCAAAATACACATATAATTTTCAAGGAGAATTATTATACATTTCAAAATTTTTCTCGAACAAAATAAAATTGATTTAAAAACATAAAACAAAAATAAAATCTTATTCTTTTCATTTATATAGACAAATTGCAATTATTTTTTAAATAAATAAATAAATTTAAAATAAAATTCACAATAGATCGAAGGAAAATTACTTCCTGTACTGACAATCAACTTGTTAGAAAACAAAATATTTTATAATATATATAAAATAGAAGGAAAGAAAGTTCAAAGCTTGTCAACTTTTTTCAGGCGTTGATGTCTTTCATTCATTTAATGAAATTAAGTAAATATCTATAGAAATTATAAATGTTACTTGTATAATTGAAGAAAAATGATAACCACGGCATAATTTTAATTATAAACATAAAAATATTAATATTTCATAATAATAATAAAAATATTAATAATAATATTAAAAATAATAATATTAGCAATAATATTTAATAACAATAATAATAGTAATAATAATACACTGAAAAAAAATTTATTTGATTCAAATAACCGATTAATTGACTATTATATCAATTAAATATTTAATTGAATCAAATAATATTTATTGGAGTCAATTAAATGGTATTTGAACCAATAATTTCAGTATTTGAAGCAAATATGAACTGAACCATTTAATTGACTCCAATAAATATTATTTGATTCAAGTAAATATTTAGTTAATAATAGTCAATTAATTGGTTATTTGAATCAAATAAATTTTTTTTTTCTGTGTAATAATAATAATAAAATAATAATAAGAATAATTTAAAAATTATTTTTACCAGGATTTTAACAATACTTCAAATAGATTGAAAATAATAATTATTAGGTACTAATTAATAATTTAAAGATAAATGAAAATTCCTTTCCGAATGTAAATTTTTTTTAAGAGATAAGTTCGATCATAATTAATAAACAATTAATAATTGCTGGTTTTTTTTTTTTTTAAAGAATCAAACCGAAAAAAATCTTTATTTAAAAAACTTTATCCAAAAATGAAATAATTTTAAAAAACTAATCACAATAATGAAAATTGTCAATAAACAATGTTTTGAAAAATTGATGTCAATTATTTTTAATTAGATAGAAATTATTTTTCCTGAATTATATAGAAATAAATGGTTGAAAGAATAAAGAAAAAAAAATTTCACGGTACGTTGAACTGCTTTGATGTGCTTTCTAATCGAGAATAATATATAGCGTATATAGATATATATATATAAATAAACCTTGAAGAATCTACAACCCCATTTTCAAGGTCGACGACAGCTGCAGAATTCATATAAAAATGCAATTTTTTTTTAATATTATTTTCCTTCTAATTTATACCATAGCCATAAATATTCCTAAAATTAAATTCAATTTTTCACACTCTCGACCCTCTCTCGACCTTTTTGGCTCCCATTTATATATCTTATATGTATATATATCTTATATATATATGAACACTTTTACTCTCGGCGTTCACTTTCATTACTAATTAAATCTTATCCAATATTTAAATTATTATCCTGATTTTTAATTTTTACACACTTTTAATAACTAATTTTCTTAATTTGATTTCTAATCTTTATTAATTAATAATAAAAAAGTGTTTTCTGTTAGAATTTTAACATTTTCATTAATTAATAATAAAAGAATTGTTTTCTGTTAAAATTTGAACAGTAGCTATAAAAAAAGGACGTCAGTGAAGTTCACAACGTTTATGATTCAACGATTGTAGGAAAAAAATATTTTCTACAAAAATTGTTTTCTACAGAAAACAATTTTTTTTTTGTTGACAAATTTTTATTTTTTGTATTGTAGATGAAGGAATATTGTTAGAAAAATGTTATAGCCAAAAATTCGAACAGAAGAAATTTTGTTTCTAACGAATCTTTTATTGTGAATGTTGTGAACTTCACGAATATAAAAAAAGACAATGTAAATTTTCTTTTTTTTTAAAAATGGGAATTATTTTAATGTTACTCGGAAGATAATAATAGCGGGAAAAAATGACAAAGAAGAAGAAGAAGACGAAGAAAGAAAGAAATGGGATGAACTTGAGCTGAAAGTTATCATTTTGCTCCTTGCTTTTTACGCCTTGAAAATGGATGTGTCACTTTGACGAAGCCAAAAATACATTTCGGAACTTGTGAGGTGTCATTATTTTTATTTTTTTCATTTATAGATGAAAATAAATTTGCTCCTCCTTGCAAAGAATTAGTATATAAACGTTATTCAATTTCCAGCTCATATTTACAAAATAAAAAAAAATAAAAATGGCGCACAACTCTTATCAAAAATTAAGAATTTCTTTGAATTTTTTTAAAAATAATTTAAATTAAAAATTTTGAAAGCAATTGAATTTTATGAAGAAGAATTTTATTAAAATTGTATTGAAAATAATTGGATTCCTGAAAAGAATTTTATTATATTTATAAAAATAATTTAATTCTTTCAATTTTTTGACGAATACATTTGAAAATTGCATTGAAAGTAATTTAATTTTCATATAGAATTTTTTAATGATATTTTGGGAATAATTGAATTATTTTTAGAGAATTTTACAGTTCTGTTGAAATTGAATTTTATGGAAATTTTTGAAAATAATTAAATTTTTTCGTGTAATTTTATTTAAATTACATTCAAAATAATTTAACTTCTGAAAAGAAGTTTAGTTGAATTGTTAAAATTGTTAAAAATAGTTGAATTGTTTCGAAGGATTTATTAAAATTTTAGAAAATTGAATTCTTTTGACAAATTTTATAAGAAATTAAGAAAAAAATTGATTCTTCCCTGAAATTTTATTGAATTATTTTTGTAAGGATTTTACTATTTATAAAAATAATTGAATTGTTCCGAAGAATTTATTAAAATTTTAGAAAATAATTGAATTTTATGTAAATATTTGAAAATAATTCAATTCTTTCGAGGAATTCTATTAAAATTGTTTGGAAAATAATTGAATTTCTGCAAAGAATTTTACTATTTATAAAAATAATTGAATTGTTTCGGAGGATTTATTAAGATTTTAGAAAATAATTGAATTTATTTGAAATGTATTAAAAATTTTTTTAAAAATGAATTCTCCCGAGGAATTCAATTAAAATTGTTTTGAAGATAATTAAATTCTTTCAAAAAGTTTTACTTTTTATAAAAATAATTGAATTGTTTCGAAGGATTTATTAAAATTTTAGGAAATAATTGAATTTTATGGAAATATTTAAAAATATTTGAATTATCCCGAAGAATTCAATTAAAATTGTTTGGAAAATAATTGAATTTCTGCAAAGAATTTTACTATTTATAAAAAGAATTAAATTATTGCGAAGAATTTTACTATTTATGAAAATAATTGAATTTTTTCGAAGGATTTATTAAAATTTTAGAAAATATTTGAATTCTTTTGTGAAATTTTGTTTAAAATAATTGAATTTTTGCAAAAAATTTAATTTTTTTTATCAAAATTTTACTATTTATAAAAATAGTTGAATTGTTTAGAAGGATTTATTATAAAATTTTAGAAAATATTTGAATTCTTTTGTGAAATTTTACTGTTAATAAAAATAATTGAATTGTTTCGAAGGATTTATTAAAATTTTAGAAAATATTTGAATTCTTTTGTGAAATTTGACTATTTATAAAAATAATTGAATTATTCCGAAGAATGTTATTATTAATATAAAAATAATTAAATTCTTGGGAAGAATTGTATTAAAATTTTTCGAAAATATAAACAATAATAATTAATTTTGTACTTAATGAGTGAATTTTGTTAAATTTTGATTATGAAATAGAAGACAGTGATAAGTTTAGTGGATTTAGTGGATTTGGGCACGTGGAATTTTTTGAATGCATAAACGTAAAGTGCGTTTGGAAAATTATCTATAGGGATTGGACGAAAATAGTTGCAGTGGCTACTATAATATAAATAGTATATGTACAACTCAATTTCGAATGCACTGACCACAATACTTGCTTCCTCTTCGTCCAAAGTGCAGTTTCGTCTTGGCTTGTGACCTGCTTTCCAATTTCTCTCTCATCCACCTACATGACATTCTCACAATTAAATCTCCCCCCTAGGGTGTGTGCATATGAATTCTCCTCTCATCTCATTCACTTTCATTTAAATCATTCTATTCAATACTCTTCAATTCTCATTTTTCAATTCATTTTTCTCTTTTACTTTCTAGACTTCGTCTTCTTCTTTGTCATTCGCATTTTAAATATTAAAAAAAGTTTTTAAAAACTGAAACATTAATTTTCTAAAAATTTATATTCTTTGCATTTAATAAAAAATTGCAGAGCTTTGTTTTTCTGTAAAATTCAAGTAGGACTACAATAAAAATAACTGGAAAGGATAATTTTTTTAACGCGTAAGTGGAAAAAAATAATTTATTGTTTCCAAAAATCCCCTTATGTAAAATTAGAAAACTTAATAAATTTCAAATGAATCCGGAACCAAAAGCTTCAAGGATAAAAATAGTTGAGAGTCGAATGACGTACTATCTATTAAGAGAGAAGGGAAATTTCGATGGCTAATCATTTTTTTTTTGCTCTATTTTTTTATTTGGTTTTCTTTTTTTTTCTTTTAAACTAGAGAGGCGTTACGTGGGTTTAAGTTTATTTCTTTATTCTTTCATTCTTCCGACGAAAAGAGTTCATTGACCAAGGCTCAAATGTAAAAGGCATATGACCTCTAAAAAGTTGTCAAACTCAAATTTGTAATTCAATTTGTCCAATTTGAATTTTCGACGAATTATTATTCAATGTCGTTATTTGAATTGTATTTTTAAGATTGTAATTTTTCAACTAATATGAAAATTCTTTAAAATTTATCAATCAATTTAAAAAATTTTTGTTCTTTTTAAATATCGATCACTTTGCAAAGAAAGTAAAAAAAGTGCTTTCAAATAAAGAACGAGAGTTAAAAAAATAAAATGGAACAAAGAATTTTAATAGTAATTACCACACACCTGGTTTACGTTCTGGTCTCGTTACTCATCCAAATTCGCCTGGTCTTCTGCATAAGACTAAATAGAACGCGGAAGGTCTGCCAAAATCTTTCACTGACACAAAGCCCATCAAAGTCAACTTTGCTTTTTGACCGTGACTCATTCCTATAAAAAAAAGACGTGACAAATTTTTTAATATATTATCCCTTCTTTATCTCTTAGAACTAAATTTACATACTATTTATTTACTACACTTGATGTACAAATTCTGTTAATTAAAAAAATTTCAATACAACTAAAAGTCGTAGTTTTCGTCACATGTAAAATATTGACTTGCCAAAAAATTATTAAATTATCTGACGAGCGCAGTTTTCAAAATATCTCACGTTTTTGAATGAAAAGATAAAAATACTCTGTAATTCTTGAAATTTTTCCATTCAGAAATAAATAAAATATTCCTTGAATTCCTTGATTTTTTTTTAGGAAATTCAAATTTTTGTTAATTAATTCCATTTTATCGAAATTGGCTTAAATGCTCTAATTAATTAGACGCGAGTCGCAATTTACATTGCAACATATTTTCGATTTGTTTACTTCGGGTTAAATTTCTATTTTAAACAAATTTATAGTTTTTTGCTATTTTACGAACTTTTCGACAAATTCAACAAATTTTTCCAAGAATAATATTTAATTTGTAAAATTTATAATTTTACAGGTGTCCCCGCATATCCAAGAAAATGTCGGAGTCACAAGGTAATGATTTTTAGCCTTCAACTACTTTTTATTAAAAAAAAGAATTTCTTGTGAAAATTTTGTCTAAAAATAACGACTTCTTATTTTCAGACGTTCAGTCCACAGAAAGCAAAGAAAACAGTGACTCTGAAGGTTCAAGACCAAGAAGCATTGCCGACGACAAAAAAGAATCTTCATACGATGGATACGAAACACCAAAATCAGGTTTAATATTATTTACTCTAAACTATTAGATGGAAGACTTTTTTTATCGAAAATTCCTAAAATTAATTTAATTTCCAGTTAATTTGAAACTATTATTTATTAAAAAAAAAATAAATTTGAAAAAGAAATTGTTAAATTCAAATTTTAACAATTTTTAAGCAAATTGAACGCAAATTCCAAAAATAAAGAACAATATATAGTTGCGCCGTCAGGTCTCGTCGGCTTTGGTAGAACGTCACATAAGACGAGTGACTTAAAATAAATCTCAAGAGAATCCCCGGTTTTAAATAAAACCGGGTTACCGACTCGCGTAACAAAACTCTCGAGATAAAATATCACCATCTCAAGTCCCCTATTTTTAATAATAATCCTTTATGCATCCAAAAAGTTTATTTTTGAGTATAAAATTAAAAAAAAATTTAAAACTCCATTTCTTTGTTAATTTCTGACTAAAAATAAAAATACCTACTTACGAGAGCAAGGAAAGAATAAAAAAACCCTGAACTTTACTTTCGGGAAGGAGAAATTTAACTTGGGCGACCCCCGGGGATTTAATTTCTATTCGTTAGAGAATGCAATCCAGCAACGTCCGCGGACTAGTAAAGAAATTCTTTCCCGTGGTCTTTTCAGAGTGCACAACGACGTCAAAGAGCGACGAACCGGAAAAGAATGTTGGCAACGACGACGATACAAACTTTGCGAAGCCCCCAACGGACACAACAACGGGGATGACAACCGATCAACAACAAAACCGTTCCGGTGAGTGCAATTTACTGCCAGTTCTTGTTGAGCGTCTACGATCAGCTTTGGAGCTCTCGTGCTCCAGTCGAAACAGTGAGGATCAATTGCCCCTCGAGGACTCGGGTGTCGACTCCGAAGAGGATCTTCGCAATTGGGCCTCGGGCCTCAATACTTTCGCCGATCAAACAACCGAGGCATCAAACAAACCGAAATTGGATCTCAAGTTTCTCGAGGATCTCCTCCTGTCGGACATTCAAACTGCCCTGGCTCGTCTCCAGGACACCTTGAAGCGCGTCGACATTGGCGTACTCACCAAATACAATTCCACTCTCGACCCCACCAACAAACTTCACCTCTTACGTCTCATTTCGAATCTTCTCGCAAAACTCAAAATACCCGAGGACGCCATCAAGCCTCAAAATCCAGAAGAAAAACCCCCCACGCCGAGGAGGAATCGCTCCGAACGGCATACGATCGGCGTCTCTAGTGAGGAACTCGCCCGCGCTAGAAAGTGGCTGGAGGAGCGGAACCCCCATTCTGAATTGGACTTTAAATGTAATCCGAGAAACACTCCGGCGAAAGCGGAAACTGCGGAAAAACAAAAGGAAGAAGGAGAATTCGGCAAAGGGGAAGTTTCGAACAAAGTGACGGAAGAGGACAACTCGATAGAGAAGCAGTTCGATCAGGTGCACGAGAAGTACATGAAAGACGCCATCAATCAACAACAGAGTCTGCAAAATAAAATCCGGGAGCCAAAGGATAATTTCGATAGACTCCTGGAACACGAGGACATTTACAGTGATCAACTTAGCAATCCGTTTTATCAACAACCCAGTGCTCCGAAATACAACAAATTCCTCGCGAAAAAGTCCCGATTAAAGAGAGCGAACACCATAGACATACCCAATTATCTCAAAGTCCATACAGAAACAAACGGTTGTATTTCCCTGCGAAGACCAATTGACATCAGTGACAAAGTACTTACAAACGGTGCCAGTGTGATTCCCTCCTTTCAACCAAAAACCGAAAACGATCGCAAGTTCCTCGCCCTCATTAACAAGAACAACGACACCGCTCCACCCGCAACGTCCGTTCCTTTCAAAAATTTCAGCTACCGTAAAAATTCAACAGCCGACAAAAACTGGAACAACCGTTTCTCAAACATAAAAACCGCTTTCGACAAACAAGACCAACAAGACGAAAAGACCGACAGTAAAAAGAAATCAATCGAAAACGAAATTGTCGGCTCTCTGAAACTATTCTACGGACCGACGAAGAAATCCAACGGATTTACCCACGCCCCAACGTCGCCTTTCCAAAAAATCGAAAAACTCCCCAAAATGGACCCACCTGCTTTTCTAAAACCTGGTTACATTCCCAGTGGAAGCAATTTACAAGCAAAAGTAAAAATTTTCGATCAGGAACAATCTCCCAAAAGTCCACCACCACCGCCGAGAACTAAATTAACAAGAAATGTTTTCCACGATGACGATATCACTGACAATGGTCACATCAATTATCAAACTTTCTGCAAACAATTTGCACCCAAAGGCACTAATCATTTAGAAAAAACCAGATCAAAGTTCACCGGGGATGATGTAAAAAACATCGCTAAATCACCCTTTGTTTCACACGAGAATGGACCGTTTCAAAAATCGAAACAAAAACTACTAAAAATGCAACAGGAGGAGGGTTACGAACCACAGAAACACTATCCCAAACAGTACGAGATTTATCCGGTGAATATTAATCCATCGATAGCGAATATTGGTCACCGTTACGACCATCGATCATCGGAGCAGAAAACAAGAAATCCGAAACGTTTCGAAAAGACGGACGACAACAGACGACGTGCTTTTAATAAATTTTACAACGAACCCGACCGCAGTTCAGTGGGTGTTCAAACTGGGATCGAAAGCTATCAGGACAAAAATAGATTCGTTAATCCCGAAGTCAGAAGAAAATCGAATCATGCTTCGGTACAGACCTCTGAACTTTATGATAATTACAAGAAAAATTTCCATTATCCAGAAAGTCAGGTCTACTATTCGGACAGGAGGAATTCTTCCGAAACCCCTACTACGAGTCCAGAAACTAAATTCGAGAATTTTAGAGTGGAAAATAGAATGCAAAAAGAACCTAAATCAAAGATGCTACCCGACTTACCGATGGTAGATCCTGTAAAAACGGATATAGTCAAAACAAGAATTGCAGATTCTAAAACGGTGGAACCTTTGAGAATATTCACGAACCTGCCTAAAGTTGCAAGTGACTCGTCAAAATTGTCAATAGACACAACGAGCTTATCGAATTCTTCTAATTTACCCATGGATACAAGACAATACATTGGATTATTAGACACTTCCTGGCCTATCGAACAAACCGGACCCCCAGTGCCGGAGCGGACAAACTACAATAATGTCCTTCTCCGAAACTACAAATCGGACCAAACGAGATCAAAAAGTTCCTATTACGATCAAGATGATAATCCTGTCTTTGTGCCTCCGATCCCAGTACGAAGCAACTCCTTCGACAAAATACGACACTACGAGGAGGATAACAAACCCACCGAAGGCGAATTCCCAAATTCGGAGCACATCGAAAATCAGGACATCAGTTCCGATGGAGTTGTCACAAGGTACGCTTCTGCAATTGCAACTGTCGCCTCAATGCCATACGTAGAACCTCAAAAACCAAAAGTTCCGCCCTATCCGGAAAAATTAGTAGACAACGAAGCAACTTTAGACGAAATCCAAAGACACAACCAACTTCAACAGAATTTGAGTCGAAGGATACAGGAAAATGCCAAGAGTCCTACTATTTCGCAAGAAATTCAACCTCGACAGGAACCTCCCAGAATACCTTACGAGCAGGAACGACGAGACTCCAAATCTCCTATGAGCCCTTCCTTTATTTTCGGCAACAAAGCAACGTTGCGTCATGGTTCCGATTCGGATAGCAGAAGAACACAGGAAAAAATAAGTATGTTTGAGGAAATTAACCACCCACCGGTAAAAAGACACTTCAGACCACTGAATGTACCCAGAACCGAGTTACACCCACCTAGGATTAATGTCGTAAACCCCTCAAAAGTGATACAACCAAAGTTCAAAATCGATCGATCTCCCATTGTCAGTAGCGTGAGTCCTGTCGACTCCAGTGACGAATACCTCATGTCCTGTGCCAATAAACCATCAAGAAACATAGTCCTAACAAAATCAGAGTCCTGGCACCAATTGGCAATGGCAAGAAACACCCTTCAAGTACCCCCAACCACCTCCACAGCTCTACTAAAACCTCCAAAACCAAAGTCCCCCTCATCATTGCGACTATCCAAACAATTCGAAGCCTCATCCTCATCAGACAATATCAAAAAAATGGAAGAACGAATCCAGAGATATTTCCAAGGTTCTGCTTGCGGTGAAGCAAAAAAAGAAACAAAAAACAAAAGAACAATGTCAATGAAGAAAAATTCAAATAGCCTTATGAGAAGTCATACAATGCCACATCTTTATGATGACAAAGGTTTTGATGAGAGCACCGATGTTGAGAAGGCGTTCGACAGTCTTTTTAAAGAAACAACCCGCACTGACAATCGTTACTAAAAATTTACGATTCGTCAATTATTATCGCGCTCATCAAAAAAATCGTATATTTTTATTTGATAAAACCAAAAAAAGTAAGTTAGAGCGTCTTTGCAAGAACTTTAATTAAAATTAACGAAATAAACAAAAAAAAGAAAATAACAACAAAAACTGCAGCGAGCAACGAATTGAGTCCGCGCTGAGTTTTAGATGCTGTGATAGCCGAAAGCCTATTTTTTATGTCGTGTCTGATGTGTGTTTCCGAAGCCATGGAGTAATGATGGACGTTAGTAAAAATCAAGGCAGACCCAAATAAAGCAGTGAGTTTTTTTTTCCAATCTCATTTTCTTGGGAATAATTCTTTTTTTTTCTTTTCTATTAGAAACTGCAAGTGCAACTAATTTTTAAATCTTCAATATCCCTCGTAACATTGGATTTAGAAAATAACAGGGGGCTTTGAAGAATACGATAAATACTAATGGCATTTTTTTAGAACCACCTCCCATGGAACTTAATCCTTTAGAAATATTCGAAATTTATGACTATTTTCCAAAATTGAAAGAAGACTTCATCTTTTGGGTCTAATGTTAGAAAAGCGCGTCTTTTATACACATTTCGAGGTTGCCACAAATATTTAATTTTGTTTTTTCCTGATTTCTAGACAAAATTTTGACTTTTTCCCTGAAGCTAAAGAATATTCTGATTCACTCTAAAAATTATTAGATACTCAAAAAGATGTTCTATTACATTTACAAAAATTTCTTTGATTATAAAATTATTCGAAAAAATAAATATTAATAAATAAATTAATAAAAAAAATAAATATTTAGCCATTATTTTTCCTTAGGAATTAAAATTCTTCAAAACATTCAAAATTCAAACCTTTTGAAATTAACAACTTATGGAAATTTTATTGTAAAACATGAAGATATTGATCACTCCGAGTCTTCGACTCGGAATGATCAATTTCTTCATGTTTTATAATAATTTAAATTACCATAAAATTTTTCAAAAAAAATTTAATAATATACAAAAATTCTAATAAAATCCTTCGCAAGAATTCAATTATTTTTACAAGTAGTAAAACTTCTCAAAAAAATTCAATTAGTTTGAAAAAAGTAATGAAATTCATCGTTGAAATTCAAATATTTTCAAAATCTACTATTTTAATAAAATTTCTCAAATGAATTCTATTATTTAAAAAAAAATGATAATAAAAATTCATTGCAAGAATTCAATTATTTACCTAAATAATAAAATTCTTCACAGGATTTAAATTATTTTGAATGCAATTTTAATAAAATTCTTCGCAAGAATTCAATTATTTTTACAAGTAGTAAAATTTCTCAAAAGAATTCAAGGATTAAAAAAAAAAGAAGTTATAAGATTTTAACATTTTTTATCATTTATCGAGAAATTTGATTAATATTGAAATTTTGCGATGAGTTTTATTATTTAATCCCTGAAAATAATTTTAATATTTATGAAGATAATTGAATAATTGCCAAGAATTTTATAAAATTTTTTTAAAAAATTGATTTTTTTCTTAAAAATTTATGAAAATTGTATTTTAAATAATTGAATTCCTGTGAAATTTTTATTATTTTAAAAAATAATGGAATGTTCGTGTAAGAATGCTATCAAAATTTTTTTTAAATAATTGAATTCTTTTGGGAAATTTTATTAACATAGCAGATACAATTAAAAATCATTAAATTAGAAGAAAAACTTTGAAAATAATTGAAATTTTGCCATGAATTTTATTAAAAATTTGGAAAACAATTGAATTTTGGAGAAGAATTTTGCTATTTATTAAAATAATTGAAATTTTGACAAGAATTTGAAAAAAATTTTTGAAAATAATTGAATTATTGTGATGAATATTGTTATTTATAAAAAATAATTGAATTCCTGAGAACAGTTTTATTATTTATCAAAATAATTGAATTATTGGGAAGAAATTTGTAAATAATTGAAATTTTGTCAGGAATTTTATTAAATTTTTAGAGAATAATTGAATTTCAGAGAAGAATTTTACTATTATTGAAGAGAATCAAAATTTGAACGAGAATTTCTTTAAATTTTTAAATATAATTGAATTTTTGTGAAGAATTTTGTTATTACTTTTGAAAAGTTTTTGCTTTTTGAAAATCCGTTCTGTTTCTTTAAAAATATTTTGGAACAGTTATTTTATACAGAACATTTTAAAGCAAAAAAAGAAAAATCGATTTTTTTGAAATCCTTGACCAGAAAAAATCCCCTTAGAAAAATAATTTACTTAGAGATGAATTGTATATAAAATTAGAATTTACTGAAATAAAAATTTTTGTTCAATGAAAATTCCTTCGTAAAAAAATTCCAACTGCTAATTTGGAAAATAGTCGTACATTAATTTTTACTGAAAATTACTAATTGTTATCGCAATTATGCAGTGAAGAGAAGAATTTTTCTAAAATTTGTATTAATTTTTCCTTTTATTCTCCCTTTCCCAACGAACCGCTTTCGTTATCATTCTTGCATTCTTTTACATTCATTTCACCGTTTGATTTAGATATTTATTATTTTCGCCTCATATTACCTGTCAATTAAATTTGTTTTATTGTTCCACTCACTTTCTTTTTGTCAATTTCCCCCATCCTCCTCTGACAATTTCTATCGTTTCTTATTTTACTTTATTTTTATAGTTTTTCCCCAGAGTACTTTTTCCTATTTTTAGAAAGCTTATTTGCATTCCTCCTCTTTATTTGAGAAAAAGGGGCTTTTATACTTAACGCCGGTTTCTTAAATGACAAAAATAAAATTTAACAAAAAAATAAAAATAAAAATAAAATGCGTTTTAAATTAACAATGTATTGTAGAATTTAGAAAGAGAATAAAAATTTATATATACACACAGGATGTCAGATTGTCTCAAGCACAAGGTTTTTGATGGAAGCGACTGCGAATTCAGAATTAAAATTCGAAATACTAGTACTACAGTATGTACCTAATTTTAAACCAAAAACAAATTTGTAATCTATTAATTTTCAATATTAACTGAATTTTTGTAATAGTCTTTACTTCGAGTATACTAATTATAATATTTAGATTAAATTTTATATAGATAGAAATTTAGAAATTATATTTAATCTAGAACTAAATCTATTGACTAACAAAGATAATAATCCGATAAAAATGAAAACTAAAATTCAGACACAACAGTAATTAAATAATCTATCTAGTATAAAAATTAAAAATAGAAGCATTTTTCTTTACTTCTTCTCTTTTCTTTAATAATCAAAGCATCTTTTTTCGAAGTGAAATTTTTTAGTAAAATTGAATAAAATTAGATTTTCACATCTTTTGAAATGTTTCACATATAATTTATCTCGTCATTGTCAAAAATAGCGCGAATCAGGTCAACATGTAATATTTATTCACAGAAATGCAGTTCCCATTTTATGAAAATTGTCTGCAATTTCCCAAGGACGCAATTCACCAATCTTGTCCTTCAATTATACAGCTTCGAAATTTACTTTTACATATCTCGCGAGATGATTGAATTAAAATGATTCCCCAACCGAAAAAGAAAATTGAATTAACCTTCTAATTTTAAACAAATTCATATAGTTTCTTTTAGTTTTTAATTTTTAAATTTAGTAAACCCATCTTCGAAACACGCACCACACGCAACAGATCAGACATTAATAGAAATTGCTTTGTTTTTTTCTTTCTTAGTTTAGGATAATAAAAAAATAAATAATAATAATAATAGTAATGATAATTTTGATAGATTAGATTTTGTTTTTTTTTCTTAACTAGTTTTATCAATTCCTTGCACATGAAATTTCTGTGCTTAATAAAACTACCATTATTTTAGTTTTACGATAAGAAATTAATCGAGCGTGTCTAATTGGTGCATGCGGACCCAGAGTTTTTTTTCACATAACTAAATTAATTTTCTTATTGAATGAATGAGAAATGGGTTTGAATTTAATAAAATAAAATGTTCAATTATTTCCAGCACCAAAGAAGCCCATGTCACCTTTTGCGAAATTTCGTCAACTAGACCGACAGAATAGTGCACCTCTTTCGCCAAGGTAAAGCTTTTTATTGGCAAAAAAAAAGAAACGATTGTAATATATTCCAATTCTGTAACTATTTTAGAGAACAAAAGAATAAGTTATAGAATAATTCCAGAAAAATACAGGAATTGTCGAGAATATTTTAAAAATTCTTTGTGAAGATCTCAAAAATTTAATAAGAACTGATAAATTTCAATGAAAATTGTTTTCTACGTTTCAATAAATAAAATAAATAAATTATGTACTAATTGACCCACTAAAATCGTCCGGACAATTTTTAAATATTCTCTTTTTAAAAAATATTTATAATAATTATTATATTATAAATAAAAATGTACCTTTTTTTACAGTACTCCAAAATCGCCGGGAAAGGAATTTCATTTCAAGTTTACGGACCCTGTTGTGCAGAACAATGCAGTTCAGATAAAGGAACGATTATTGGCATGGTGCCGTGCCAAAACCAAAGAATACGAGGTAATATAACTGCATCACGATGCGTATTTCCAGATAATTTTAATTTTCATTGTATTCCATTCTAAACTTCATCATTCCGTGGAACAATGCCATGTCATATCCATTTTTAGAAATATTCCTGAAACAAAAATAAAACATATTCATATTAGTAAAAATAATAAAAATTGCTGATTCTTTTTTTTTGAATCCAGAACGTTCAGCTAGATAATTTCTCGACAAGCTGGAGCAATGGATTAGCATTCTGTGCCCTACTTCATCATTTTAGGCCGGAAGCTTTCGATTACCATAGCCTTCGTCCTGAAGACCGAAGAAAAAATTTTCAGTTGGCTTTCGAAAAAGCTGAGTACGTTGAATTTTTTATTCATTATTTTTATTTTCATTTATTTATTATTTTTTATTCAAAATCTACCGACAGTAATCAACTTTAAAAATATTTGTTATAAAACATGAAGAAGTCAATCACTCCGAGTCGAAGTTGACTTCTTCATAATCTTCATGTGATCGATTTCTTCATGTCTTTATAATAATTAACGATAATAACCCAGAGATAAAATTATTATTTTACATAAGAATATTGTGACTCTTAACTTCTTCGAAAGTATTTCCATCATTTAAATTCAATTATTATTTTCTAGAATTTTTAACTAAATTTCTTTTTTAAATCAATTATTATTTAAAACAACGAAAAATTAAAATTTCCAAAGATTTTCATTTGAAACCTTTTCAAAATTCAATTATTTCTAAAAATTGCTATTATTAGTATATATAACTTCTCCAAAATTTAATTATTATCTAAAACTTTATCTACAATTAATTTTTAAATCAATTTTTATTAGAAAATAGTTGAATTTTATAAAAAATTTTGAAAATAATTAAAAACTTTTTGAAGAATTTTATTAACATTTTTAAAAATAATTGAATTCCTGAGAAGAATTTCAATAATAATTTATAAAAATAATTGAAATTTTGACAAGAATTTTATTAAAATTTTTGACAATAATTAACAAATTTTGAATATAATTTAATTCTTTTGACGAATTTTAATAAAATTTTAAATAATAATTACAATTTTCGAGGAATTCGATTAAAATTGTATTAAAAATAATTAAAATTCTGCTATGAGTTTTATTATTTATGAAAATAATCAAATTACTGAGAAGAAAGTTATAAAAAAATTTTAAATAATTGAATTTCTGTGAAATTTTTATTATTTATGAAAATAATTAAATGTTTGAGTACAATTTTATTAGAATTGTTTATAAATAATTGAATTCTTTTACGTAATTTTATTTTAAATAGGTAGTAGATATTGAAAATCATTGAAATTAGGAAAATTTTTGAAAATAATTGAAATTTTGACAAGAATTTGATTAAAATTTTCTTTAAGTAATTAAATTCTTTTGCAAAAGTATATAAAATAGTAAATATTAAAAATCATTGAATTAAGGAAAATTTTAGAAAATAATTGAAATTTTGACAAAAAGTTTATTAAAATTTTTGAAAATAATTGAATTTCTACGAAGAATTTTATTATTTTTAAAAATAATTGATTTTTATCAACAAATTTTTAAATAATTGAATTTTTTTACGGATTTCAATAAAATTTTTAGGATTATTACATTTTTTGCGGAATTCGATTAAAATTTCACTAAAAGGAATTTATAAAAATAATTGAATTCTTAAAATGATTTTTATTATTTAAAAAAATAATTAAATTCCTAGAAAGAATTTTATTATTTATAAAGATAATTGAAATTTTGACCAGAATTTAATTATTTAAATACAAAAGTAAATTATTTATTGAATAATTGAATGTTTCTTAAATTTTAATTCTTATAAAGAATTTTATTAACAAATTTTTAAATAATTGAATTCTTTTGACGAATTTTAATAAAAAATTTTAAAATAGTTACCTACATTTGTCGAGGAATTTGATTAAAATTGTATTGAAAATAATTGAAATTCTGCGATGAGTTTTATTATTTCTAAAAATAATTGAATTATTGAGAAAAAATAAAATTTTAAAAATTGCTAATTTTATTTAAAAAGTCGACTGAGAAGTCAGCCGCGCGCGAATTGTTGCCAGTTTTTATTTAATCGAATAAAAATTGTTAACAAAATATAGAAAAATATCGGGAAAAGATTGAAAAGAGTATGTTAATGATTTTTTTCTTTCGTTGTTGAAAGAAAAAAAGTTGTTGAACCTAATTTTGTTAGGAAATTTAATATTTCGTTTTCTTCTTTTTTTGACAGTGAAATCGCAGGGATCGCGCCACTTTTAGATGTCGAGGACATGGTTATGATGCGTCGTCCAGATTGGAAATGCGTTTTTACTTACGTCCAATCGATTTATCGTCGCTTCAAGGACGAGGATTAGGCGATCGGCGCACGTTGTTTTTATTATTGCACTCGTTTTTGTTATTATGTATTATTATTATTACTATTATTGGACTTCAGCGCAGTATAAAGAAGATACGATTGGAGCTTATATTTTATATTTCTAGCGTGAAATTATATGTACTGCAAGATATAATATATATATATATATGTTTATATATTTACAATGACGATAAGTCTTTTATTGCCATTCATTTACACTTTTCTTTACATTTCAAGTTAGAAATAGAAAAAAATTTATATTAAAAATAAGTATTCAATATTACGAATACAATTATTTATTTATTAAGCGTGTCTTCGTAATATTAAATAGAAAAAGAATGATTATTTTATCTAAATAATGCACATTTACACACATACACACACTGAATTGCGCATTTCTAACTACGAGTTTGTATTTTAAGATTTTTACATTTAAACATTAGCTAGTCACATATCTATTTTTTTCTTATATTAAAACAAAAGAAAATGTTAAACATAAAACTGGTATCAAATGATGACTGTCTTTAGAGAGGAAAAATATTTTTCCGCACTTGGAAAATCGACAAAAAACGAAAACAAAAGAAACTTGCAAACAAAAAAAATGCGTGTCAATTGTTGATTTGTGAAATCTTAAAATACTGTTACTCTTATTCATGTTAATTTCTTTATAAGTGGACCAACATTAGTCTTCAGCCTTATCGATGATTAATTAATAATATTAAACAAAATAGAATACTCAATTTTAAAAAAAATATCTTATGATTTATCAAGTCACAGCACACTGTCGTCTAGCGAATTATTTATGTCGTTTCGATCATCGCCAATTACCTCCTGAAAAGATGAAAAAGAACAATTCATTATTTGATTCAAGATCAATTTAATTATTCTAACTTCCTTGAATTAAATTAATTTAATTACAATTTTTAATTAATTAATTTCTTTAGTTATAAAGTGAAGAAAAAAAAGAAATGAAAAGAAAAATACCTGCAAAACTTCTACAAGTGCACGCGTCTCGTGCAACATTTCCTGGCAGAGGCGATATTCTTCCTCCATTTTCTGTAAACGTTCCGTTAAATCCCTATTCTCTTCTAAAGCATCTTCTAAAGCTACTCGTCTTCGTTCTGCTATAACCTCCCAATAATTTTCACTAGGTCCAGCTGAAAGAAGTTATAATTAATATTCAAGTTAAATTTGTAATTTAAAAGTACAAAAATTATTTTTCGAAATATTCTTTCTATATACCTTCGGACATTAAATCTTTGGCTTCAATTTTTATTTTTCTATCTCGAGCTGTTTGTATTCCTTTATCTTTCAGTGTGATTTTCTTTCGTTTGTCAGTTTTTCCGCTATCGTTTTTCACTTCAATTCTCCCCTTAGTAGACATCTCACTGGAAAGTTATTTGAATTAGTTTCGAAAATTAGAAAAAATAAGAAAACTTTTGCTATATTTTTTTTTATATAGACGGACTAAACAACAAATAAATTTTTTAATTTTATAAACTAGCAAATGATACGCGCGGAAAGGCAGTATTACATTTATTATTATTTTGTAAATTAAAAAATGTTATATTTTCAAGAATCATTTAAATTCGAAAAAATTTAATTAATCAATTTTTGAATGATTACAGATTCATAATTTAAAGAATTCACTTATTAAATAAATAATATTAAATATTCTTGCTTATTATTATGCAAAATTTTTAATAAAAATTTTGCAAGAATTTCATTATTCTCATAAATAATAATATTTTTTAGAGCAATTAAATTATTTTCAATACCATTTTAAAAAAATTTCTCGAAAGAATACAATTACTTTTAAAAATATTAATTTAATTCGATTATTTTCAAGAATTTTAATATAAATTCAATTATTTTCGCCAATTTCGATGAAATTCTTTTTATTTAAAGAAATGATTGTTTTCAAAAGTTTCAAAAAAATTCCTTCACAAAATTCAATTATTTCCAAAAATTCAGATAAAATTCTTCAAAATAATTTAATTATGTTTATAAAATGTAAAAAATCTTGGCAAGAATTCAATTACTTTTGTAAATAATAAAATTCTTCTGAAAAATTCAATTATTTTCAATACAATTTTAATAAAATTTCTCAAACAGTTTCAATTGTAATAAAATTTTTATTTTTTACAACTGTTCTTAAAAGTTTTAAATAAATTTTTTTGTATATTTCAATTATTTTCAAAATTTTAAATTAAAACTATGTTCGAAAATTACATTGTTTTTACGAAATTTAATGAAATTCTAAAAATTGTAATTATTTACAAAAACTCTCATAAAACTGTTTGAAAGAATTTAATTTTCTATTAATAATTTTAATATAATTAAATAGGAAAATTAATAATTACAATTAATAATAAACACGATTATTTCAAAAACTTAAAAGAAAATCTTCATAAAATTCAATTACTTTCAAAATTTTCAGTAAATAATATTTTTAAAAAACTCCATTATTTTCAAGAAAATTGAAATAAATTTGTCAAAACAATTCAATTATTTTAAAGAATTTTTAATACAATTTTAACTACATTTTCTCGAAAGAATTCAATTATTGAAGAAAATGTTGATAAAATTATTGAAATGAATTCAATTATTTTTAAAATTTTTAATAAATACTTTGCAAGAATTATTAATTTTAAGATTGAAAACATTTAAAAAGAAAAAATTCAAATTTAATAAAATTATCCTTGGAGGACACTTAAAATATTTAAAATAATAAAAATATAAATTGTGTGAAATCAAAATAAATGAAAATTTATATTCAATTAATTGAACTGACTTATAAATTAATTTAAAAAATAAATAATAAATTGCTAATATGGATGAGATAGAACCTGAATGATTAAAAATGATAATTTCTCTTTACTTACTCCTTAATTACTTCTTTAATTGTTTCCTTCAGTAAAACACTGGATCTAAGTGTTCTTCCACCACCGACTAAATTTTCTTTGTCTGTGGCTGCTGGCTGCAAAGTGTGCAGAGATTTTCTCACTTTGTCCTGAAGATTAGGAATTTTTATGCATTTTAAATATACTTCTATTTTCTTCTTCATCTTCTGTTAAAACTATTCTTCAAGAAAATGATTCAAACTGTTTTTTTTTCAAACATAAAATAGAATTCATCGTCTGGTCCATAAAAATACATTTTCCAGACAAAATCTTCAGATCTTCAAAAAGATAAAAATTTTCGGAGTCGAAAAATCCGAAATTTCATTTTCAAATATATAACAATGCAAAAAGAGGCGAAAAAAAGCATAAATAGTAGTTCAAATTAAAAATAAGTAAAATTAATATTAAGAATAATAATTATTATTGCTTTCAGTATTTAAAAATGAATACGATTAAAGATAACGCCAAAAATATAATGATACCTTCAGTAATAGTTTCTGAAGTAAATTCGAATTTAATGACAATTTTCTTTTGTCAAATATAAACAAATCGTCAGTAACTATTTCATTAGGTGTTAAAATTACATAATAAAATGTTTTGAAGTCATGCAAAGAGAACAATGAGGAAAATAAAACATAAATTACCCGCGGTTACCGAAAAAAATTATTCGATTCTTATCGTGCATAAAAAACTAACCTCCAAATTTCCTTGAATAATATAGAAATATTTATAATTACTTGGTTGTTTTTATCTATTATTATATCACAGAAAATAAAATACAGCTGACAATATTAACGGTCGTATTATTTCAAATCGCGGGAAAGTCGTTATGGTAAACATAACCTCAAAAAAAAAACTTGTCAATGTCAAGAATTTTAGAGTTTTGTGACAGAAGTTTATAGAAACAATACAATAAAATGAAAAAATACAATCACCGCTTACTAAATATTATTGAAAATCAATTTGAATTCTTTTATTTGACATTGAATTTACTTACGTTTGTAGTGTCGATTTTGATGGGAGCAACTTTCGTGGCACCTCCGGGTTTCATGACTCTTGACCTTGGACAAAAACTACACGAATAAGATAAAGATTCTTCCTTAGCACTTTCTCAACACAATCTCACGTTGTTTTAGTTAGGAATAACTAATTTATTTATTTGATTTGTATTCAATTGTACTTTATAATTCACTTTTGGGAGGAAAGATTTTGTTTACACAAATGACGCAATGAATAAATTTCCGTTGGCGGTTTTCCAGATAAAGTCATTTCCGGAAGTTGAAGCGACACAGCGGAGAAAATTGAAAACTAAAAGTGTCAAATTTTCGATTTACAAACAGATTTTAAGTAAGTATATTATAATAATAAATTAAAACTGTTAATTTAATAATTAACAATAAAATACTGTTATAAAGATAAAAGGATTTATCTTTCTTTGGGGTTTTATTTTCCGAAAGTTGATTCCGGAAGTGAAGCGCCATAGTGGGGAAAAAGCAAACTAAGAACGTTAGCATTGCACATGCGCGAAAAAGGCGGGAAATATTTGAATTTTTAAAACTAAATTTTAAAAAACTAGCATAGAAATTACTCAATTTTTTAAATAATTTTTTAAATTAGGGTAGAAAAAATTGTTTGGATTAAATTTCGCAACATTTGGATTTAAAATATTTTTATTTCAAATAAATCACTTTGAATATATTCTACAAATAAAGTGAGATACTCAAAATATTCGAAAACGGACGGACAATACATATAGTAACATTTCAAATGTTTATAGCTAAAAATTTTCAATTTAAAACAATTAACAATATTTCAAGAATTTCTTCCTAATCAATAACATTTAGAAGACATTTTTCTACCCTAAAACTACCTCTAAGTGAAAAAAATTCAATAGAGAAAAAATGAGATTCTTAATTATTCTTTTTTAATATTGAGATTAAATTAAGAAAATTAAATCGATTATTAACAGGGGAAAAAAGAAATTTCGTTTTAAATAAATAATTTCATGTTGTAGGATCACAGTTTCATTTCTGAGGTTATTTTTCTCTCCATCGGGGATTTTCAAATCTAAAAAGAAATTAAAAAATGACTTTTAAACAAGAAACTTAACAATAATAATTAATTAATTATTATTAATATAAATAGAATGACTGAAATGTAATATATAATTTTTTGTTTGTTTTATATCTGATTTATGCTATTTGTAATTGCAAAGTGAGATTGAATTGTGGGATTTCGTAGAACAGGAAGATTGCTGTTTACGCAATTCAACCATAAATTTGCGCACGTCACGTGATAATTGCTCTCATTATGAGACACTTTGCCACTCGTTATGACTGTTAAGCAAAGTGCGCACGTTACATTATCATTTTGATGTAATGGCCACACTGGTAATTCTGTCACAATCTGAAATACAAGATAATTATTAATTTATACAATTTTTATTTCTTCAAATCTTTGTTTTTGATATAATTAAGAAATTTGGGTATAATTAAGAACAAAAATTAATTATTATTTCTCTTCGACAAATTTTACGAAATATTTGACATTTTCTTTTCTCTTTTTTTCAAAATGTAAGAAAAAAAAAGATGTAATTAAAACAGAAAAGAAAAAAATTTATCTAGTTAGAAAATAAAATTTTTAATTTTGATAAAATAGTGGGTACTTAGCTTCCTCGAAAAGGGATACAAATTTCTTTTCTATTTCTTTTTCAAAAATAAAACTTCTTTATCTTCAATCGATTTTCTCTCCGAATTTAAATTACACTTTTCGCAATATCTTCTTTTTCTTCTTCATCTTCTTCTTCAAAATATTTTCTTACAAAAGCAACTTTCGTATTACACTTTACTTAAAAATCACTTTTATTTGTTTCCTCAAAAAAAAACTCAAATTTTTAGAGAAAAGAAACATCAACCAGCAAATATTTTAAAACAAAAAAATGTTTTAAAACGAAAAATATGCTTTAATATAAAAAAATTAATTTTTAATCAATTAATTTTCTTAAAGCAAAAAAAATTGTTTTAAAACCAAAAATATGCTTTAAAATAATAAAAAACCTTTCTTTGAATTAAATTTTTTAAGATTTGACAACTTTTTTCGTCAAATTTTCCGAAATAAAAAATTAATAAAAATAATGTAATTATTTAAATGAAAATAAAAACTTTTCAAATAAAAATAAATTTACTGTTATTTTTTTTAATTAGGAAATAAATTAATTACCGGTATGTTTGTGTAGAATGGCTCCATTTCGGCCCAAATTCGATCGATATCCATCAGCAAATCATCAAAACCCATAATATTAATGTCCATTTCTTTGTGCGAGAAATTAACTCGTCGACAAACTGCAGCAACTTCCGCTAAATCTACAAACATTTATAAATTAATAATAATAATATTATCAAAGCTATAATTATAAAATTGATAAATGTCATTGGAATTTTTAAACAAAAAATAAAGGACAAAAAATGTACAATAATGAAAATTAAACATTTTTTATATTAAAATTTTTATACATTAAAATTTGTTAATTAAAAAGTAAGCAATTTATTACTTACTGCACAGAAAATTGTATCCTTGTGCGGAAGCAAGAACTTCTCGTAAAACTGCTTCTGACGAGATATTTGAGAATATATTTGCTGCAACTTGTAATAGAAGAACACAACTTTCCATGTAATGCTTCCACTCCCAATAAATCATCTGCCAAAGGATCAAAATTTGTCAATAAAAATTACGTAAATACTAAATTATTATTAAATTATAATATTAATTATAATTAAATTATAATATTAATTATAATCAAATTATAATATTAATTATTATCAAATTATAATATTGGTAAAACAAAAAATAATACAGTGACTAAAAATAATTATAGTAAAAAATAGTAAGTAACTATTAATATAAAAATTATTAACAAACAATAAATTACATTTTTTAAAAATTCAATTTTAATTTATTTCATCGAACCTGTTGCATATTTTCTATTGCGCTCTCGTCATCGTGATTTGGAGTAAAGAAAGATTTAAGATCGAGACTTGGAACGGATCCGGAACGAGTGAGAACTCCTGTTGCATTATTTCCTAATTCTATACTATTGACTGAGAGACAATCTTCTTTAGGAACTGCTTTCTCTGATAAAGAAAAAAATATTACAATTAAAATTAGTAAAAATGTTTATTAATATATTCGAATTTTAATTACAACCACTTTTTTACTAATTACAACTACCTTAAGTCTTTAATTTGCAAATATTCAAAAATCTCAAACCAGAGTTGCCACAAACATTTAATTTTGTTTTTCCCTGATTTCCAGACAAAATTTTGACTTTTTCTCTGACAATAAAAAAGAATATTCTGATTCACTCTAAAAATATTAGATACTCCAAAAAAAAAGTTCTATTACATTTATTTACGAATTTCTTTAATTGGAAATTTATTCGAAAAAATCAGTAACTTCATTTTTAAATAAATATTTAAACATTATTATTTTTCCATAAAAATTATGATTTTCAAAAATTTCAAATTCGATAACTGATAAAAATATTATTGTAAAATATAAAGAAATGGATCACTCCGAGTTATTTTATAAGAATATTATTACTGTAACTCCTTCAAAATTATTTTCATGATTTCAATTCAATTATTATTTTCTACAATTTTTAAACAAAATTCTTCTTTAAATCAATTATTTTTAATAATTTTTGAAAAAGTTCTTCTTGAAAATTTTCAAATTCATTTGTTTTCAATTCAATTTTTACGTGAAATTACGATTATTCCGAGGAAACTCTTCAATTAAATATACATTAGAAAATAAAAATTTGAAGTAATCTCAAAAAAAATTCAATAAAACTTTTTGAAGAAAATTAGTTTCAAAAATTTTCAAAGATTTTAATGATTTTAATTTGAAACCTTTACAAAATTCAATTATTTCAAAAAATGGAAATTATTATTAACTTCTTCAAAACTCAATTATTATCTAAAACTTTAACTGAAATTAATTTTTAAATAAATTTTTATTAAAAAATTCTACGATAATTCAATTATTTAAATACAAAGATAGGTAATTTATTGAATAATTGAATGTTTCTTAAAATTGAATTCTTATACATAATTTTATCAAGAAATTATTATAAATAATTGAATTCTTTCGACGAGTTTTAATAAAATTTTTAAGAATAATTACATTTTTCTTGGTATTTTGTCAAAATTGTTTTTAAATAATTGAAATTTTAACAAAAATTTTGTTAAAATTTCTGAATATAATTAAATTTTATTACTTTTAAAAACAATTTAATTTAAAAATAATTTCATTTTTGTGATGAATACTATTATTTATGAAAATAATTTAATTTTGCAATGAATTTTATTAAAATTCCTGAAAATAATTGAATTTTGTCGAAGAATTTTGTTAATTATTTATAAAGATAATTGAAATAATGTTGACAATTTCTTTTAGATTTTTTGAAAATAGTAATTGAATTTCTGCGAAGAAATTTTATTAATTTTTAAAATAATTGCATTTTTATGATGAATATTGTTATTTATTAAAATAATTAAATTTTTCAATGAATTTTATAAAAATTCAAATAAATATAATTGAATTTCGCCGACGAATTTTACTATTTATAAAGATAATTGAAATGTTGACGAGATTTTTTTTTTTAATTTTTGAAAATAATTGAATTTCTAGAAAGAATTTTGATAATTATTAAGATAGTTGAATTCTTTCAAAGAATTGCATTAAAATTGAATCTAATTTCAACAGAATTTAAATTAAAATTTTTCAAAAAAAAACTTCATTATATTATTTATAAGTAATAACTTTTTGTCAGTTCTTCAATAATTTTTAGTTATTTAAAATAAAGTTAATTAAAATAAATTATTGGCAGAAATAGAAAAAATTGAAGGTTTTTTTTAGAATTCGTGGTAATTTCATAGTTTATGAGGCAGACAAAAAGACACAAAACTTAAGAATTTTCCTATGAATTCTAAACATTTAATTTTTTCCAGTTCTTTTAATAAAAATCCCTGACTTGTCCCTTATTTTCCTGACCTTTGGCAACTCTGAAAACTAAATTAGAATTAAGAGAGAACCTTTTTTCTTACCAACATCGAATTTACCTTCAATTGGTGGTTGTTCCCGGAATTCCTCAAATCCCAATGCATCAAATGCATCAGAAATTTCTTGAACCAATGAAGTTTCTGTTTTATTTCCAGAAATAAGAAAATCGTCACCTTTGAAATCAAATTCAGAGAATAAATCAACATTTGTCTCGGTGGAAAAAGGTTCAACGATCGATGATGGGACACTTGTCGGTTGCTCGGCACAAACAAAATCACCAAAATCATCGGCAGCAAATGTATCAACAGACTCGGCGTCAGTTTTATTAAAAATTCCAACAGGCACTTCATCTAAAACACGTAGTGCACTGTATTTATCCTCCGTTTGTTGTAAATTCATCAGATCTTTCGCACTCTCCGCAGGAAGGAACTAAAAATTAAAAGAATTATAAGTATTTCATTTCTTTATTAATTTATTTAATATAAATTAATAAATTCTTTATTAATTAGAAGTAATTTTAATACCTTATTTGTATTTGGAGTTTTTTCCACATAATTTGATGAAATCTTCTCCTGCTCAGAAATATTATTTGAACTAATCTCGACACTTTTTGTAGGCTCATTACGAATAATAGTATCTTTAAGTATCACCGTTTTCGATTGACTCTTGAGACTGCACTTTGGAAATAAATCCGTTAAACCATCAAAATTTGCATCACGATAGAATGTCGTATTTCCTGAATCAATTAATTGTAAATCATTGCTAGCGAGAAAATTTCTCTCGTGATTTGTCGATTGACACGAATCCAATTCTTTAACAAATTTTTGCATTTTTGTCGTTGGATTTTTTTTCAATTTTTCCATTGATTTTTTCACACCTAAATTATGATTTGCCAATCGACTACCAATTGCAGAACCTTGTCGCGAGTCCCACATGGGAATTTGTGGAATTGTCGGCAATGGTGCACTTTGAAACTCTGAGAAATCATCGCTTGAATCGCTCGAATGATATTTACGTGTCGTTTGCAATGACTCGGAAAAATTAACACCAAAACCACAATTATTACTTGATGAAGAATTTTTTGCCTCTATGCGTGAATCATGAAATAAATTATCCGTTGTTGATGTTATTGCGGAATTTGTTCGATTCGCAGATCGGGAGAGAGAAAATGAATTCGAATGGGACATAGAACTGGAATTAACATTAGTGTTAGAATTTGTTGAATTTGAAGAATTTTGTACACTAGATTCAGAAGTGGGAAGGACTTTTGATTCTTGTTTTGATTGATTATTAGAATCAAAGAGGGAAATATTGAGATTGGGAATTGGTGGCACTCGAATATGATGTAAAACGTCAATGCTATTAAATGGATATGATGCTTGGGCAAGTGCAACTAATGCTAAAACTGTATATAATTCTTGTTCTGTTAACTGACCAGCATATTTTTTATTTGCAATACCCCAAATATAGCCGAGAACTTCAGTTGACAATTGACTTGTGAGGAGAAGTGGAAAAATTTTATTTGTATCAACGAGAACTTCACTTAGAATAACACCAGGTCGTGATTTATCTTCGCGAACGGATTCCCAAATTTTTTTGTAAATTGGAGGTAATATATTTGAATTTGGCCACAACCATCCTGGTAGTTGGGACATTTTTTTTTCACTTTGATTTTGTACTTTGTGCATTTTTATATATAATACGTTTAACGCCCTTCTCCGATTTAGGGACCGTTAAGGTTATGTCAGACGAAATAAATAATGATTTAACTGCAATTCTTGTTTCATCATAATGAAAAATCATCTTTTAATGTTGTATTTAACATTGTTTTTGTACATTGTTACTTTAAATTCACTTAACACTCGCGGATAGATCGGATTTTTTATTTAAATATCAAACGAATGACAGAGGTCAAGACGTCAAGTGAGAAAAGAAAAAATTTTTTTCACGCCATGAAAAAAGTGATAACTGATAAGATTGGAAACTTGCTGTTTTCTAACAGGGATGGGAAGAAAGGTTTGTAATGTAACAGTGTGAACTGACCATAATAACTTACTTCAAGAAGTTCTAAAGATGGAGTAGGTATAATAAAATTTGAAAATATTCACATTCTCTGAAATTTTTATTATTTATGAAAATGATTAAATGTTTGCATACAATTTTATTGAAATTTTTTTTTAAATAATTGAATTCTTTTTGGGAAATTTTATTAAAGTAGTAGATATTGAAAATCACTGAAATTAGAAAAATGCATTTTATTTTTGAAAATAATTGAAATATTAAAGGAGAATAAATATAAGAGAACACTTTAAAAAAGTTTAGTATTTTTATAAATATTCTTAATTTTACAAAAAAGCAAGCGAAATGAGTAGAAGAGAATCAAATAAGAAAATAAGAAAACTTATTATACTCTTCTTTATTATCATAGCAGTAATAATTTTATTGTATACAATATTTAAAATGGTTGTACAAAAATTTAAAGAAGAAGTAAAAGAAAAATGTCCTGCAGCACTCAAAATTTTTAATGTCGACATAGATGAAATACTTCCTGATTAAATGAAAACAAATTTAGTTTATTAATTTAAATAATTTAGAGATGTTTGAAAATGTCAGAATCGGAGCGACAATTTTGCTGGTGGATAGTTCATAAATTTTTTTTTTAAGTTTTCTTGAAATAAATACAAATAAATTTAACCTTTAACTAGCAGAAGTTTTTTATTTTATGTTTTTTAAACTACAAAAAATATTTCTTCTTTATTTAATTCAATTGAAACAAAAAAATATATTTGGTAAATATTGCTACTTTCTTATCAGTGTTTCAATAATGTTGTAAAAATATTATTGTTTTTTTCCATAATACCCGTACATTTTTGATTGGTTGTCTACATATAAAACTTCAGCGCATAATAATCAAGGTTTTTTAAAATATTAAACTTTTAAAAGTCGTATTTGCATTTAATAGCATTAGAAAACTAAAGTTTTCTAATTTTTAGTAATTCAATAAACTCTTACAGAGCATCTCGCTTTTCAAAGAAAATTATTATTGCGATTAATATCATGATCGGATTAGCAATCATCTGTTTTTTTTCGTTAGTCAATGGCTTCGAAACTGTGTCCAAGGGAATGGATTTAGTGAAATTAAAGAACTCTCTCTTAGAATCGGAGAAATATGTAAAAAATCACGTTGGGTATGAAGATTCGGCTATTTTCATTAGTAACTCAGGCGCCGGAAGTAGTGAATTAATTAATTACATAATCGGCAACAAATTGAAGGTTGTAAAAGTTCCACCATTTAACAAAATGACAATTACAAAAGCAGATCTCCAATCTGCAGGACCGGAAATTAATAATGAATCATTCTTAAAAATTGCAAATCCGAAAAAATGGACTTCGAAAGAATTGACCAATTTGATACTCTGGGATGTTCCTGAATTTGACGATGATGTAGAAGAAGTGAAAGATATCATTAATGCCTTTTCTTTATGTCAACTGGTGAAAAATGTTAAGTCTCTAAAAATTATTTTAGTACTTGACATTAACAACATTGTAGAAGATGATACACAACAATTCCGGTCACTTTTAACTTCTTTGGAAAAACTTTTTGGAAATGAATTCAAGCAATATTTTTCAAGTATATCAGTAATTTTTACAAAAGTACCCACCATGGTTTCTTATGAATACATAAACTATTATTTAAACAACTTATTGCAAGATGAAATACAATGGTCGGAGTTTTTAAAAGAATTTATACACTACCTAGTAAATAACAACAATCGTATTGCCCTCTTTAAGGAACCATCTCGTGAAGGTATTTTGATAAATACCGATATCGATGTTAATATTTTCCCGGTTATTGAAAACTCGAAAAGTATTCAAAAAAGCTCTCTCCAAGATGTACATCCACCTATTTCAGATCATTCAAACCTTCGGCTGCACGACGCTCAAAACGAGTTGTTTCCACAGACAACATTTGATGATATAAACAGTATTTTGCAAAAAAAACTACAGAAAATATCAACTAACTTACAGACTATAACTACTTCTGCTGAAAGAACTGAAACTAAAAAATCCTTAGAGTATTTGATTATAATTCAAAGAAGGATCCTTCAATGCTCGGATTATAAAGGTCATATATACAAAAAGACAAATATTCTCGTATCAATTGGTGATGATATCAGAAATATAATTGAAAAGCAGAGTTTGTTGGAAAAACTGGAACTAATAATGTTTATAGAAAAATTATTGAATATAGAAATAAGTAAAACGTTAGAAAACAGTCTTGATGTTATTATATTTTCTTTTGAATTAGAACTAAATAGAACGATTAACATTCTTAATACAAGATTAAGTGCATTTCCCGAAAAAAAGAAAAATTCAAACACAAATTCCTTTGATGACATTGGTAATTTTATAATAAAAATATTCACAAATAATTTGGACCGATATATATAAATTAAGACACTAATATGTCGCAACATATTCTTGAGGTATGATTAGCAATTTTGAAATTTTAACTAATTTTTAATTAACAATTATTTTTATTTTAGTCCTTTGTATATTCTATGAAAATCATCCTTTTGCGCAGGTAATGAAGATGAGTTAAAATAACCAGAAAATATTTTGTCAGTGCGAGTAAAAAATTATTTCCATCAATGTAAAGACGAAGTCTAATTTTCAATTAGAAAAAATTGAGATGAATTAAAATCAAGGAATTATTTTTGTCAGTGTGAGTGAAAAATTATTTCAAGCAATGTAGAGACAATGTCTAATGTTTATAAATTGAAAAATAAAAGTGTGAATATTTAAAAAGACCTCTAATTATTTTACACCTCTAATTTCTTTCACCACGATATGATTTACTTTATTAATTAAAGTAACATACGGATTTTATTTTGACGATGTTAGCATTTTATCGACGCTTGCAAAAAGTGCGTATTCTTTATAAGTTCAATATGTGGTTTATGAGTCTCGTGTGCAGAAGAATCCATTGGAAATAAAGTAACGACTAAATTTTAGTTTTACGGTGATTTTCAGAGAAGATAGTTGTTTTTATTTTTTGCGAACGCTTAAAAAAATAATAACATAAACATACAAATTGATAGCTGTTAAATTTTTAATAACACGTTAATATATTGAATTTCCCCGAGAAATTTGACCTATTTTTAAAAATACTTTTTTCTTAAAAAAAACCGCGTCAAAAATGACAAATTCTCGTTTTAAATAGAATTTCCTACAAGAAAATATTAAACAGAAAATATCAGTTTCTTTGATTTTTTTTTTGAAGAATCTTACAAAAACGAATTTTTTATTTTCCTTTTAGCTGACATGTAGTGCATCTTCATCTTATAGATTACACTAATCTTTTGTCTCAGTTATTGACACGCTTTTTAAAAAGGGAATTATGGGCAATTCTCACTGCTGCCTTCAAGAAGAGAAAAGGGTAAGTGTCTTAAAATATTTAAAAAACCATTTTTATTTTTAAAGTTTAAATGTATTTCAATATGAAATTATGTTGATTTGGAATGTTAACTGCGGTAAAAAAGGCATAACTTATTTTAAGATACTTTGGTAGTCGCTTTTAAGTTGTTTCCCAAAAATTATGAAAAGTATCTTCAAATGCTTTGGTTTCAAAGAATTAAGATTTAAAAATAAGATGTTTTAAAAGTTTGAAAAGTACAATGTACTAACAATGTATTTTAAGATTTATTTTTGCAGTGCTTGTTTCAATTTGTTGAAGAGGAAAACTTATCATGAGTAAATGGCTTTTTTCTTTGAATTGGATGAGAAAATTGCTGGTCTTAATATTTGTGTGATAAGAATAAGTTTAATTGTAACTGAAGTAACTCAGAATGAACTTTTAGAGTAAAGATGCATAGATGTCTAATGATTAGCTGCATCAAAAGAAAATATACTTGATTACTTGCTTTGTAACATAACAATCGCTATAAAACGCTTTTTTAGTATATTTCAATGTTAGTCACTTAATGCATCAGTCAATATGAAAATGAAGTAATAAATAGGCACATGAGGCACATTTTAATGGCGCTTTTATAAGTGGGCGGTACGTAGAAGTAACAAGGTTACAGAAATGACAGGTATGAATTTCTTGATTGTCGCAGAAGCAATTTTTTTCGAAAAAAATTAATATTTACGATTGATATGACACGTCTTTAACGAATAATAAATAAAAATAATTTTCAATACTTGTTCAATATACTACTTCAATATACACTAATATTTAAAAATGTACCTTAATAAGATTGAGTACTTGCTGGTAAAAATTTGGAAGCCACAAATTTTTAAAAAGCAAGTATATACTCAATCTTTAAATGACAAAAATTAAGTATCTTAAAAGTCACTGCAAGGTTACTTAAAACATCTTATAACATCTACTATTAAGGTGTTTCTGACCCTTCTGGCCTAAAACTTAATCTGAACTGTTTCTTAAGCTAAAAAATTAAGTATCTTAAAAGTGACCACAAAGTTACCTAAAACATCTTATAAGATCTTATATTAAGATGTTTAGGCCAGAAACATTAAGATGTTATAATTGTTTTAAGTAACTTTGTTATCACTTTTAAGATACTTAATTTTTGCAGTGATTCACATACAATTTGACATCATCTTCATGAAATTTGATTCTTTTATACCTTTAAAATTCTATACTTGCAAGGAGAAAAATTTCCTAAATTCCTAGCAAGGACTAAATTAAATTTTTGCCTTTTCCAATTATATTTATTCTCCCACTATTGTTCAGCTAGTCGAGACGTGATAACTTTAGTGCACTCTGTACAGTGTGCGCCTCCGTCAGAGTAGATTCTCGTTCGCCTTAATACTCTCACCTTGGTGTTGGTTTCTGGTACTATTTTCCGCGTTTATTTTTCGCAACATGAGCTCTCAAAGCTCAACAATTATTAGTTTCCAAAATTCTCGACTGAAACCACGAGCTTACTCGGATAAAATAATTTTATTCTCCTCAAAGAAATTAAAATCATAAAGTAGGACTTTAAAGTGTCAAAAAAATTGAATAATCACTATTAGAAATTGAAAACTAAGTACTTAATTAACAAAAAGTGTTTGTGTGTTTACAAAGTTTTCATAAAACTGGTGCTTGTCAGAACTCAAAACTTTTTATGCGACAATATGTTTATAAGAAAAAAAGAAATTAATTTCACGAAAACATTTCTCTTTTTTTGATTTTGAAACTTAGTTCATGTGCTTAGTTGAAGATAAAGAACAGAATTTTGGAGAAAAACTATTCAATGACGAAAGAGAATATAGTCTGTATGATTTTTTCTTCTAAGAAACAAAATTTAAAAAAAAACATTTTCAAAAGAAGTTTACATCAATGAATATAAAAAATATGGTGAAAATTTAGAGGAAACAAGATGACAACCAACACGACAATTCGAACATCGACGCCACATCGTGGTGTTCGGCAATTTCGACATAGCCTGTCTACTCCAAACGCTGGGGTCCAAATGGATTACAGGAATAGATTGGTGAGCGATGAAAGCAAATTGATTTCAATATTTTTAAACAAAAATCTATTTTTAACGTAAATGGGAAAAATAAACGAAAACACAACTTCATCTCAATAGTACCATTTTTTAACCATTGTCCAAAATTAATCAGTTTTACACTATTGGATGTTAGGGATGACTTAATATTTAATATTTAATATTTCTAATTGTACGGAAAATTAGAGAATAGAATATTCTCGAATTCGAGACAATTGGGATTTATTCCAAGTTTCTGAGAATTCAAAAACAATTCCATCAAGAAGAAGAAGAAGATTAGTCTTGATGATGTACATGAAAGCAGTGAAAAGGGCTTTCGAAGAACTTCTTGTCTTTGGTAACGAGTTCGATGTTCTCCGTCGGCTATTATTAACTTTCTGTCGACGAGGGCTTTACTCGCAGATAAATTTTCACTTTACTCTATTTTTTTACCCTTTTCGGAACTGAGACACCTTAAGTGCAAAGCAATCACTTTGATGCAAACTAAAATATAATTGTATTACAATATCGAATTGAGTATTTATAAACATTAATCATGATTAATTTATATGATCATATACGAAAGATCCTATATAAATACATTTATATATTTTTGAATACTATACGGGAAAATTTTGGGATCAGTCACCTTATGGTGCATCTGTTATCCCTATATCTAAAAATTTTACTATTCAACTCACTTTACTCTTATTATTTCCTATTGTTTTTTATATGAAGTGAAGTTAATTATTGGACAAATTTTTTTATAGGTATGCATCTGCACCTTAAATTTTTCCGTGTGTAATTTATGTTTATAGTTAAGGGAATCAAGCTAATAGTTTATTTTGTTATTTTTGTTTTTTGACCGTATTCTACAAACTATAATAGTTTATGTTAAAGTTATGTATAAAAATTCGCATCGACTTTGATATCTCCTTAAGCGTCTGCAATCTGGATTATAAGACATAAGTTTTCTTTTAATTTTTCTTATAAGAAATTCTTTGGTATTTTTCTAACAGGAAAAGATATCCTTAGTCTTCAAAATATCCATAGAAGTCCCTATGGGATAGTCTACAGATATTCTTAATAAATGCTGTTGAAGTTTGAAAGATGAGTGCTACTCGGGAAGATTTGACGAGCTCAAGACTTGATTGCATAGTTAATAATCTGCAGTTTTGTAAAGCAGTAATCATCGTATTTCGCAATAACTGATTACTTGATATATGAACGATTTGCGACCGGTTGGCCGCATTTGTTTAAATCGCGTCCGGTCGCCCACGTGCCAATACATAAATATGCCAGCAACGTATACTCGAATGTAAAATACACCGATTTTAATTTCATTCAACGATCAACTGATACCGGTTAGCCTTTCTCTCATGTGAAGATATCAACTATTATCTTTTGCTTTATTACTATTGTTATTGCCTGCAAATGTTACTCCAGTTATCCAAAAAGTATCTAAATTGGTCCTGAAGATATTTAAATATTTTTTTGTCCTACCTGCACGGAAAGTATGTCATTTCGGGCACTTAAGGCGGGCGCAAAGTAACACATTACGCCCGGGAGTGGGGGAAGCGGGCGGAAAAGTATTTTGCGCCCGCTTGTATGACGTCAGCGGGCGGTAAAGTATTTTCCGCCCGCTTCCCCTACCACCGAGCGGGCGGAAAAGTATTTTGCGCCCGCTTGTTAATTATTCGATTTTCTTCATTAAAATGCGACATTTTCGACTTTCTTTTTAAGTTGACTATAGAACTGCAAATATTTTGAACTTGTTTTATTTTACCTTTAAAAATTTGCAAGTTTTTTTTATTTTCTCTAAAAAAACTTATGAGACATTTGGTTTTGTTCCCATTTCGTTTATCAAAATTGTCAATTTTAAAAGTTCTTGTTTCAGTTTTGTTTAATTATTAATTACTACGTTCTAAATAAATACTATGTTTCCAGAATACATTATTTTTTTATTTCTATTTTAAAACTTCTATCATTATAAGACTTCATTCGATATAATGTTTATATAGAGCTTAATTTTTAACTAATATGAGTGTTTAATCGTGCGTGCCCTCAATGCCATACTTTCCATGCAGTTAGGACAAAAAATTATGTTCGCATCATGGGCGCAAAGGTGATTACGACTTTGGCGAAATTTCGGGACCTCGAGGACACTTTCGCTCCCTCGGCTTCGCCTCGGGCGCGAAATTGTGTCCCCTCGGTCCCTTCATTTCGCCATCGTCGCAATCACCTATTTTGCGCCCTTGTTACGAAAATAACTATTATATTCACCTTTCTATCTTCATTGTCTTATAATCGAATTGTTCAATATTTACCTTTTTACTCTTTATCCTAAATTACTTTAGTAGGATTAGGAAACTAAATTAGTTTCCTTCCCCTCTGACAGGGGAAAAGCTTCAACTATTCAAAACACTATCCGCCTCATTAAGGAATTAAAATTTATTCATAAACATTTTTACGGGCAGTGCCCATTCGTAAAATACATATAATATCTTACACCGGATTTCGGAAATTGAAAATTAGTAAAAAAACAATCTTAATAGTTTTGGGTTAAACACACGGAATTTTGAACCTATTTGACAACTGCAAGGGTACTTTCATCTGTGACTAAATAATTACCACTAACATTTAATGTCACCACCTACCTTCCTTCTAAGAAATATATGATTCAAAAATCTATTTCAAGCAGTTAATAATCTTGAAATAGACTTTATCATAAGTGGAGAAAACGGATTCTATTTTAAAGTCACATGTGCACGAGAATTAATTTTCTTACGCGACATTGCACAATAAATTTTACACACTTGGTTGTTTTCATGCGTTACTTTATAAAATTCTACCTACATATATGAAAAATTTAATATCCTAATTTTTAATTTAATATGCAAAATCAAAGAAACTGCACTGCAAAAATTAAGTATCTTGAAAGTGACTATACAGTTACTTAAAACCTGACCTGTGGCAATGCCTGATACATTTTCATATTCGCCAAATAATGTTCCAAAACATTTTAAAAACATGGATGTTGATGGATGTTCAAATAATGTTCTAGAAAATTATTTGACAGACAAGAAAATTCTAAAAACGTTTTAAGAACCTTTTTTTGAACGAGCATGTTTTTTCTAAACAGAGGATGGTAGAGATCATTAAGATAATTTTACATTTACCTTCATTTGAGAACTAAAATGCAAACCTTCCTTGGTGGTAGCATAAGCGGGAGAGCAGAATTCTTCTTATTCTGTTAAACTCCTGAATAGACTTTTCATGACTACGGTAGGCAACAGCAGGCAACAGTTACAGAGGGTTTGCGAATAATCCGTTGTGCGGCGCAATTCAGTCATTCGAGACTACGAGATTTAACGAGACATCTTCATATCCTCTATTTTGTGGTCGGCTAGAGTGAAATGACGTCTGCTACACGTTTTGTGTTTGTCTCGAAAATCTCGCGTCTTTTCTCGAATGTGAAACTCATGTTGTGATGATGCTGATGATGATGATGATGATAAACTGAATAACTGTTACACAATATTAAAAGGTCATCCAAAAATACTTTCTTCCCAATTTACTTCTTTACTTCGCGAATATATTTATACAATATTACTATCGAAAAGTTTTCTTCTGAATTTCCTTAATAGTTCAAATTTCGTTGAAAAAAAATGGATCCAGACGAACCAAAGAGGAAAAAATTCAAACTTCTAATGAAGGCGTCAATAACGGAAATGTTTGATATTTCCAAAGATTGGATGAATGGTGAAAAGTTTGCAGTTTGCCGCATGTGTTCCGATCAACGAGCTATTAAAATGACAAATTCAAATACTTCGGGTCTTCACAGACATCTAAAATCTCATCATTCTAAGATTTATGAAGGGATTCTTAACGAGTGTCACGGAGAGGTTCAGTTTAATTTTTTTTTTAAATTTAGATCTAATTTATCTTCAAATCACATCTCTTTTGCTTAATTCATTTGCTAATTGCTATTTTTTTTACTATTTTTCAATATAAAAAACAATTTTTGTTAATTTCACGGCAATTTTAGATTTTTAATTTTTCAAGTTGGTACTAATGGTTTGGTTATAGGGATCCCCCTATTTATACATATTAAAATTTAATAATTTATTAACGCTTAAAAATATATACTTAAAGTAAATCTTAAATCTGCAGGATACTTCGCCTATTTTCATTCAAGTTGATGATTTAAGAAAAGAACAAGAACGAGAACCGATTTCGAAATCAGAATTAATGAGTATGTTTGATATTAAACGTGATGAAATTAATGGTGAAAAATATGCTGTGTGCAAATTTTGCAAAGATTATCGGGTTATAAAAATGACTAAATCGAATACATCAGGATTGCATAGGCACGTGACTAGGTACCACAATAGAGTTTACAACAAAGGACCACAAGAAGAAACGTTTGAAGAGGTAAAAACATTTTTTTAATTACAGCTATAATACAGAGTTGCCACACAAAATTTAATTTTGTTTTTTCCTGATTTCCAGACAAAATTTTCACTTTTTCCCTTTTGTTACTTTCATGAAAAATAATTTAAAATTCTATAAAATAATAATTGAATTAAAATGATGAAAATTATAGTTACAGTAACAATATTATTATAATATAAAATAATGATTTTATTGCTTGAAAATTTTTAATTATTATAAACATGAAGAAATCGATCACTCCGAGTCTTCGACTCGGAGCAGTCGATATCTTCATGTTTTATAAATAATATACTTTTATAAGTTGTTTAATTTAAAAAAAGTTTGTATTTGAATGTTTTGAATGTCTTCATTCCTGTGGAAAATCCTGTTTTAAAAATAAGATTAAAAACAGAAATTGTGCAAATATTTCTCTTCATTTTCTAAAACAAGATAATAATTTTGTTAAAAAAATTGTTATTCATAAACAAAAATAATGCAAAATAAATAAATTTTCTATTTCTTAATCATAGTTGTTTAACAATTTTCTAATTTTCTTTAGAAGTTAAAAAACAAAAATAATTTCAATTTGTCAAAACATAATATTTAATAAAATTTTAGTCTTAATGAAAAGAAGTGGAAAAAATTCTGATGATTTCTATTTGTCATTACAATTTTGATTATAAAATAAAAATTACGTGAAATTTCGATTATTCGAAAATTCTTCAATTAAATATACATAATAGAAAATAAAAACTTTAAATAATTTTAAAAAATTTCGATTAAGCTTTTTGATAAATATTAGTTTCATAGAATTTTTAGCTATAATTAAAAGTATAAAAAGTTCAAATTTTCAAAGATTTCAATTTATAACCTTTACAAAATTCAATTATTTCTAAAAATTACAATTAGATTAGTAACTTATTCAAAATTCAATTGTTATTTAAACCTTTAACTGAAATTAATTTTTAAATCAATTTTTAATTAGAAAATTCTACGAGAATTCAATTATCAAAAACAAACATAGATAATTATTTGAATAATTGAATGTTTCTTAGAATTGAATTCTCACAAAGAATTTTATCAACAAATTTTGAAATAATTAAATTCTTTCGACAAATTTTAATAACATTTTTCGAGGATTTCGATTAAAATTGTATTAAAAATAATTGAAATTCAATTATGAGTTTTATCATTTATGAAAATAATTGAATTATTGCAGAGAATTTTATAAAATAAATTTCAAACAATTAATTTTTTTTCGAAAAAATTTATACAAATTCTATTTTTAATAATTGAGTTCCTGTAAAATTTTAATTATTTAAAAAAATAATTGAATAATCGTGTAGAACTTTGTCAAACTTGTTTTTAAATAATTGAATTCTTTTGGGAAATTTTATTAAAATAATAAATATACAAATTATTGAATTAAGAAAAATATTTGAAAATAATTGAATTTTATTACTTTTGAAAATAATTGAATTCTTGTGATGAATATTGTTATTTATTTAAAAATAATTGAATTTTACAATTCATTTTAAATAAAATTCCTGAAAATAATTGAATCTTGTTATTCATTTATAAAGATAATTGAAATATTGACCATTTTTTTTCTATATTTTTTGAAAATAATTGAATTTCTGTGAAGAATTTTGTTAATTTTTAAAATAATTGAATTCTTGTGATGAATATTGTTATTTACTTGAAAATAATTGAATTTTGCAATAAATTTTATAAAAATTCCTGAAAATAATTAAATTTTGCTATTTATTTATAAAGATAATAATTGAAATATTAACCATTTTTTTTAGATTTTTTGAAAATAATTAAATTTTGCAATGAATTTTATAAAAATTCCTGATAATTGAATTTCGGCGTAGAATTTTGCAATTTATAAAGATAATTGAAATGTTGACGACAATTTTTTTTTTTTTAAATATTGAAAATAATTTAATTCTGTTAAAATTTTTAAAATTGTAACTAATTTGACATCTTTAGAAAAATTGTGAGAGAAAGAAGTGTAGTTTCTGAAAATGTAGGTATTCAGTGTCATTATAACAAAGCCTATGAAGGGTATTATATAAGACATTAGCAATCAATGAAACCTACACGTGAATTTTAATTTTCATTATTTCTTTATAATTCCTAATGTCCATACAACAGTTTCTTGTTGAAACTGGACAGGAAATTGTCAATTGCTTGTAAAAGTAATAAATCTTCAAACTAACACGACTTTCCGGTATATAAGTATAAATATTTTTTTTTTATTAAAGAAATAAAAAATCGAAAACAACAATTGAAATTGTTGAAATACCACAGTCCCACTTGATTAATGCATGTTTATCTTATTATTCAAGTTAGTTTTATTTTTTTTCCGTTGATCTTCGATAGAGAACCTGAATCTAATTAAACGATGTATAGACAATGGAAAATGCATTAACAATGGCCCACATTGAATTCTCCTGTTATCTCTCTGCGCATATTTTCAAATAAACAATTTATAGAAAAGATGGTGCTTAATGTGCGGCATTAATCTTATTTCTTTAAAAAAAAATAAAAAAAAAAATTTTTATTTTCAGTATAATTTACTGAATTCAACGATATAGTCATATTGTAACTCGAAAACAAAACATCTGTAAAAATCGGTAAGAATATCAAATTAATAAATTTTTTATTAACATTTTTATGTTAGAAACTTTACATCAGAGAATTCCTATTACACTCTCATTTTATTATTCAAAACAGGTTAAATTTCTATTTATAAATTTTGATAAACGGTTATAATAGAAATTCAAGCGGTAAAGGCCTTGAGACGAAATGGACATTGACACTAGTTGGACAAAGTGATTGTCTGCTACAATTTATATGTATAAAAAATAAACAATATTACCCGTCAACAGGTTTTTTCAAAATAAAATTTTCAAGTGTGATTAATTTCGTGTTTAGTCCACCTTTGCAAAATAGTGTTTCAGTTTTCTTTCTTTTCTCTCAAAAGAAACAAAGATTGTTTCTCAAGTAAAAATATCTATTGATTTAACAACTTTAATTACAACTTTTAGTAAAGTAGGTAAAACTTATTCAAACATGACTATAATCTATTTTTATTTTTAAAAAAATGAAAAATGTTTAAAGTTATTAAAGCGTTTGCAAGTTTATGAAGCTGACTGAACCACCTTCATAAAAATTATTTTTTATTATGCTATTAATTAGTGCTCAAATAGTACTAATTTTTTTAAATAATGCCGAATTTAGTGCTCAAAGTTTATTTAAAAAAAAAACACTGGTTCTGCTAAATGACTAGATCCGTAAATACCGTAAAGGTCCGTAAATTTGCTTGAAGTCCGTAAAAGTCAGTTTTTTTTTTAAAAAATGTCCGTAAAGTCCGTAATTTGTTCGAAAAAGGACGAAAAATTCGTAAATTCTACGAAATAATTTGGAGAATTATTAAGAAGTTAGAAATGATTGCAGAAATTCAATTATTTTCAAAATTTCTAATAAAATTCGTTGCAAGAATTCAATTATTTTCATAAATAATAACATTTTCACAGAGATTTAATTATTTAATTAACTTAATTTAATTTGATTTCAATTATTTTTAATACAATTTTAAATGAATTCTTTAAAAAATGCAATTATTTGAAATACAATTTTCATTAAATTTTTAATTATTTTCAATACAATTTTACAAAAATATAATTATTCTTAAACATTTAATTTCAATTCCTCGAAAAAATAAAATATTTAAAAAATGTTTTTTTTAAATTCTTAGCAAGAATTCAATTATTTACAAAAATATTAGAATTTTTCACAAGAATTCAATTATTTTCCAATATTTTAATAAAATTGTTCTAAAGACATCAATTATTTTAAATACCATTTTAATTAATTTTTTTTTTTGAAATAATTCAATTATTCTTTTAGATTTTAATAAAACTCTTCCCTAGAATTCAATTATTTACATAAATAATTCTTCGAAAGAATTCAATTATTAAAGATAAATAACAAAATTATTCCCGAAAATTCAATTATTTTGAGGCATTTTAATAAAATTCTTTGCAAAATTAAATTATTTTCATAAATAACAATTTTCATCACAAGAATTCAATTATTTTGAAAAGTAATAAATTTCTTCTGGGAAATTCAATTATTTAAAAAATTCTAATAAAATCTTTCGCAAGAATTCAATTATTTTTGAAAAAATTTAATAAAATACCACAGAGACTTTCAATTATTGCGAACAATTTTAATAGAACTCTTTGTAAAATTTAATTATTTTTATAAACTTTTCGCAATTCAATGATTTTCAATATTTACTATATCCATAAAATTTCCAAACAGAATTTCAATTATTTAAAAAATTTTTTGTAAAACTTTTTGTAAGAATTCAATTCTTTTCATGAACAATAAAAATTTCTCTGGAATTCAATTATTTAAAGTAGAATTTGCATAAATTTAGTCGAAAGATGAAATTAATTATTTAATTTTTATAAAATTCTTTGCAAGAATTAAATTATTTTTATAAATATTTAAATTCTTTCGCATGAATAATAAAATTCGTTGCAGGAATTCAATTTATTAGCAGGATAAGAAAGAAGTAAATATTTTTGATGAAAATTAAGAAAATAAAATATAGAATGGAATTTTCGTCAGTTTTGTAAAGTTTCTAAAACTAATTTTTTTGGTCGTCAAGTTTAATTTTTTGATAGCTACCTTTTTACTATTTTTTTTTATTTTGAAAGCTACTTTTTGGTACTTTGTTAAATTTAATTATCAAATGCAAAGTCTGCACACATTTTGACGTTTTTCTGTAAATTGATAGCAGCGTTTATTCTTCAAAAGGGAAGTCATAAAATATTCCATTTGATGACAGTAAGAAAGATCGTTATTTCTAATATTAGGATCGTTGGTCTCTGAAACTTAATGATCGGAAACATCAATTGTCATTAAAATGTCGAGTCAGAATGCGCACCTACTTTTCAAACTATTGATAATGTCTCGTATTA